AAGTTAAGGGGACAGTTAAGGGGACAGTTAAGGGAACAGTAATGGAAAATTAAGGGTACAATAATGGTAGATTTGAATAGCAACTACAAAGTGGGACCCCCGTTTACGATAACTATAAGTTGGGGTTCACATAACTCCAATTTCACTATGGTTCATCGTACGCAAATAACGAACTAGTTACTGGGGATTATAAACCAACGTTCACATCACGTTTGGGGGCCCCACATTGTATAGACTATACAGATTTAGACCAGAAAAATGGAGATTGAGCCATGCAGCCAACTTGTTTTATGGAATTTTAAGCAGCAAACATCATGAATCTAACACCGAAGACTGAGATTTTGCCAAACACAATTAAGACTTAGACATCAGAAACGGAGATTTGTCATCAAAGATTTTCTGTCACTGAATCTGCAATGTGGGGCCCCCAGTGATGTTTGTTGGTTGATATATAATCCCCAGATAGTTATATAAGTACCATAAACTATAGATATACCATAGATATACCATCATAATAGTTCCTTATCAACCATAGATAAATCAGTATAATTCCCAGCAATTATAGTTATAAGTACCTATTTTCCATAGTGAAGTTGTAGTTATGTGAACCCCAACTTGTCGCGATAACTCGTGGCCGTTTCCTTATTGGGGGGGCCCACTGAAACTTACGTGGTGAAAGTTCAGCGACATCCTCCAAAAAATCACGAAGGTTTGTGGTACAAAAATCACGAACTACTTATAAGGCTGTTCTTTAGGCCCGTTACGTAGAAACCCCGTTATAAGTATAGTTATATAGAAAACCCCTATCAAAATAGAATGTCTGTTTGATTTTCCCATAAAAATAACCAGTTACAACTGATAGCCATGGCCATAACTGTGGGGCTTATAAACCAACTAACATCACTGGGGGGGCTCACATTGTATGGTTATAAATTCATGGTTATCATGAACCATAAACTGGGTGACTTACTGAGTCCTAACTGTTTTTTTTCGGGCCAGATTTTTCGAGTTGCTTTCCCTACCCGTCCAAACTATTTTGATGTATTTTGATCATGACTACAATGTGGGCCGCCCCCATTTATAACTTGGTTAATAATCCCCAGCAACTATAGTTACAAGTATCATAAACTATAGTTATCGGAGTTATAAACCAACTTAGCTATATATCGTAAATGGGAGCCCCACTTTGTATGTTTAAGTTCCCCACAGTTGCCAACTACTTCCGAACTTCAATGATCATCATTGTCCCACGTGGACTTTTGGTGTCATTGTGATATTTACCTTTCTCCATATAAAACAACTTACAGTTAAGGCCCGAAATACCAGTTATAAATGGTTATGTTCTATGGTCATGTATGGTTATAAATGGTTCTAAATGGTTATAAATAGCTATGGTTATTTCTATGGGGTGAGTATTATTCCATAGATGGGGTGACTTACTGACTTATAGCTTATAACATCCATTGGTGGGGACAATAGTAAATATTAAACATATTCCTGATGTGAGACCCGTATGGGGTCCATGAGCCAATACAGGCAACATGGAGCTTTCCTAAAATGGGAGTACCCAAAAATGGGTGGTTTATTTGAACGAAATTCTGTTAAAATAGATGATTTTCAGGGGTAAACCCCATTTTAGGAAACCTCCACATTGTGAGCATGAAGCACTAGCCGTTTGTTTCATTTTGTCAGAAAGAGGGTGTTTTTCCATCGTCCGAAGACGACAAGTGGTTTGGAGCATGGCAGGACATCATTTCAACTTTGATTGATTCGTATGAGCTGTGAATGAGCAGTGCCCAGTTTTCACAAGGGCCCACTTGGTTCACCATTGTTTATCAGCTGGCAGGTTGCAATTACGTGTAATCACACTTACATTTATGTACATCTGGTTGGTGGTTTGGAACATGAATTTTATGACTTTCCATATATTGGGAATGTCATCATCCCAACTGACAAAATCCATCATTTTTCAGAGGGATTGAAACCACCAACCAGCTATAGTTACTGGGGTTTATAAATCACCATTTAGTTCGTGAATTTTCCCATGCAAAATGGTGATTTTCCAGTTCGTTATGTTGAATTACCAGAGGGTACATGTATGTACATTTATGTACATTTATGTCGGAAGTTGAGTTCCTACTGAGAGGGATTTCCACGTTGCGGGTCCACCAGTCCACTTTGCGTTTTGCGTACTTGATAGGGGTTTCATAGTAACCTCGTTTCATAGCGGCAAACAACCATAAATCCACCATATATATATATATATATCCACCATAAATAGTTGGTCTACAATTTTGACAGCCATATATCCACCATAAACCACAAGCTGTAGATAGATGCCTTACCTTGGCGAACATGTTTCGTGCGATTCCTTGTCCTGTGAGGGTGACAAAAAATCATCTTGATCCCTACATCTTGATCCACGGAACTTGCAATTTATAACCGGTGGTTTAACAACAAATACCGATGTATATAAACCAACAAAAATGGTGGTATAGCATAATGGGATATGATATTTCATGGTGTTTTGATGAGGATATTCATCAATTCAAGATCTTAAAAAAGGGCTTTCTTAAATGGGGGATCCCCAAGTACGGTGGTTTCAATTCTAATATGATCTCATGACTTGGATGATTTGGGGTACCCCTATGACTTCGGAAACCTCCGTGTATTTTTGGTACATACAAGTGGTATCAGCTTGTAAAAGTCGTATCGGGAGGCCGTGCGCCTGGAAAAAGTTCAAATAAATTGAAACCAAAACTTCAAATCCAAGCTTTGGGTCGAGCATAGACCAAGAGACATGACCTTTTTATCACTACTCGTACTAGGTTACTAGGTGTTGTTTGGTCAAAAATTGGCTGAGTTACTCGAAAGGTGATATATGGATTGGGGTAACAATATATACAGGATTGGGGTAACTCTATCCCAGAGTGACACAATTTCATTCTGTTGAGATATTATAGTTGACCCCTTTCTACATATGTGTTTATATATATACATATATATATATGATTATTTATAGATGCCTATCAATGCAAGAACTTTCTTAGGCAGTATGTCTTTGGAGATTAAGTACATTCTCTTTATGTTTTATTTTGCAAGTACATAGGTGGCTCAATGAAACATTATTCCATCAACAAACCTCATTTCAGTTTGGTGAACAATTCGCATTTCCCCATATATATATAGACGATATATATATATATACGATATATATATATGTATATATACGATATATGTATATATATAATATGTATATATATATATATACATATGTTGTAAACATAATATAGTATATATAAGAATTATTTATACGTATATACAATATTATATTTATTTTGATATTTTTTATACTTGTGATAGGTTGGCTCAATGATCTCCTGCGGATGTTTCAAACTTTGCCCACGATCTTCCAATCCAATCCAAGAAGAGGTTGGAGCCCGAGCGAGGGCGCGGAAAAGTTGTGCCGGTGAAGCGCCGTACACGGCTTGGGATGGCAGCTGGGTGACAACTGATATGGAAAAAAAAGCAGAGACATAGACATACCCTCTGGTGAACTAACATAGCTATGGAAAATGGCCCATTTACAGTTGATTTACCTATTCAGAGTGGTGATTTTCAATAATCATCTTAGTTTACCAGAGGGTATATAGAAATATACTTTGTGGCTCATCTCACGTAGTAAGTGGGTTATAACAAGTGGGTTAGTTCACCCCAGTGATTTACATGGAATGAGCAGGATTAATCCACTCAAAAAACTGGGGTGAGTTCTAACCCACGAGCCCACGAGCCGTGGGTAGTTCGTCACGCCACCAAGTATTGTGGAAGGTCGAAATGTACCCTCTGGTAAACATACAAAAAACTATAGAAAATCACCATTTTGAATGGGAAAATCAACTATTTCTATCGCCATTAAACAAAAAATTAGGCCTTAGCTGTGTTAGTTTACCAGAGGGTAAGACACAGTAGGCTATTTCTATGGCTAAATGATTTTGGCAAAGACACATGGCCTACATGGCCGTTGCTTTATGGTTTGTTTTGGTGAAAAAATGGTGGAGATCTGGATGAAAAAATGGCCTCACGGCCTGACGATGCTATGACCATAGCCATAGCCTGCCATGACCATAGTGAGATAAAGTTTATAATACCCTGTGGTGACCCATACCTGTATGTATATGTATATATAGTGCATAATTACATGAATAGAGGGGATATATGCAAATTAAAAAAGAGGAACAAATGGGCATGTCCGAGTGTCTGGGGTATAGCCTAAACTTGCTGTTTAAATAGAAAACATTCTGATAAACCAGCACATGTTGGGTGCCATGTTCTCAGACAAACCCAAGTGAGTTATTTATTTTCGGGATTGACAGTGGAGATGGGACAGGAATGGCCGCTAGAACCAGCCAAACAATGAACAACAAAAGTGACAAGTATATGCATGATATGAATGAACTCGGACAGTAACCAATGCCAACAGAAATAGAATAAGCTCAGAACCAAGAACATATAACAACCACTTGATTATGAATTAACATGTCAATACATTTAATAATTGGAACATCAAGTAAGAAGGGATGCGGCTAAGCAGCAAAACTGCCTTCAGTTAAGGCCGTTTACCAGGTATAAATGATTATGTGTATCTCTATAAATAGGGGGTTATAATTCGATAAATTGTGATATTTCATGTTATGTCACTGACTTATAGTGGTATTTCGGGAAAAGACTGTTAGGTCATCAAGACTGCTTCTGACTCACCATGTCAGGGTCGACCTTCATGTCCTTCCGACTTCTCCTTTAGCTTGCACAGATTGGCAGATGTGTCAGGCTGACAACTTCTTTGACATCAGGTTGGGTCTGAAAATGGGGACGTTTACAATATGAATCATAGATTATGGCCATGATCAACTGGGGGGAAATGATGATGATATACTAGTAAACCTTCAGTGAAACATAGGGAGACCAGTTTTTTCAGACACATCTTGGCTTTCGCGACACACATTTGCCAATGCGTCAGTCGAATTCAGCGGATGACTTTCGGTCGCAAGCACGGAGTGCTAGCGACGCTTCAAGGGCAAGAGGTACCTTGGAGGAAAACCATGGCTAGTTGGTGGTTTGGAACGAGTCTCGGCCCGAGACCTTCCAGCCGTGGTGAGGCTGAGCTAGCTAACTCGGGAGTTTTCGTTCACCATGAAAGGTTCAAAGGGACCAACTATGGAAGATTTGCAATGGCTTTTCACCCCAAACTGGCAATCTACCCCCATTGGGTCCAGGGTGTCAGTTGTGGTGACTGACATCGTATGGCATGGTTCGACAGGTGTTGGAAAGGTTACCCCGGGTGAGCAAAGAACTAGGGTAGTTGGACTTGTCCCCCCGGAAGCTTTTGGGGTCTCCACAGTCACGCTGCTGTCTGCCACGTTCTTGGACTTGTCGCCCATGGTGGAATTGTCCGTTGATGCCTCCAGTTCTGTCTTGTGCCACAGTCTGCCGCAGATGTCCCATGTCCATAACTATGTGGAGTTGTGTGCTGGGGGTGGATTTTCGTCCCTTGGGTTTTCTCATGTGGGTTTCATGCCGAAGTGTGCAGTAGAGCTTCAGCCGAAGCTAGCAGCCTTGCATAAGACCATGCACCCGTCTGTCCCAGTCCTGACGGCAGACATCACTGATGATAGCACAGCGGCAAAGATACATGCTATCTGCCCAGAACCAGCGACGATCATGGCAGGAGTGGCATGCCAGCCATACAGCCGAGCTGGCAAGCAAGAGGGTGGACAGGACACCCGTGCAGCAACGTTGCCAGCCACACTCAAGATGGCACACTACCTGCAGGCACCGGCTCTGATCATTGAGTGCGTTGTCCCAGCCAGGGATAATCAGTATGTGACAGCTCACATCCAAGCACTTGAACACCAGTTGAAGTATCATGTGGTCAACTGCACCATGAAACTTGAAGAGGTTTGGTCAGGTCAACGATACAGGTGGTGGCTCGTGGCAACTCATAGCAGATTGGGTCGAGTGATCATCCCTGCCTTTCCCAAAGGGTCCACGCTTGTTGTTAGAGACCTCATGCCTTATACCCGAAGATGGTCTGATGAAGAGGAATCTCAACTGACCCTGACAGCCCAGGAGCTCGACCGGTTCCAACTTGGAGGTGAACCTTTGCGGAAGTACCTGGTGCAGGCTGACCAGAAACTCCCCACAGCCTTGCACAGTTGGGGAGGCCAAACACAAAGCTGCGCATGTGAATGCAGGCCTCAAGGTTTTGCAGACTACACGTTGCAATCCAGGGGCCTTTTTGCCCAATTGCTCCAGATCCCAGGCTTAGGCAACCAAATTAAGTATCGCCACTTGCATGCAATCGAAGTTGCCATCCACAACGGGGTGCCACCAATGCAAACATGGAGCTCAGATGCCCGTCTCAACTTGTGTGCAGTAGGTCAGCTTGCCAGCCCTTTTCATGCCACATGGATTGCCTCTGCACTGAAAGCCCATGTTCAGAAACTGTTCACGCATGAAGAACCCGTGGACCCTTTGCAGTCACTTGGATCCTTGAAGCAATTGGTGATGCAGCAGAGCAGGGAATTTTTCCCGACCATCCCCAGGATCCTTGGACAACCGTCCACTCATGAGGACCCAGTTGAAGAGGCGTCCCATCAGCTTCAAGTGTCTGATCATGCAGGAGTGACATGGACTTTGGAACATCACAGAAGTTGCACGGTTCGTCAATTGATTGAAGCTGAATGTGATCTCCTCAGGGTCCCATTGTTCGATGTTCAGGTTTGCAACATGGATGGTCAAGTTCTGCCAGACACAGCCAAGCTGTCCGATCAACATGGTGTGTTGTTGGTTAAGTCTTGGATCAATGAGCCTGCCGCCATTACCAAACCACCTGAAGTGCCATTCACACTTGAAGACCTGCAGCCATGCCCAGAACAGGACGATCCTATCAGCCCAGTCGACCGAATAGGCCCGGTTGCCACTCAGGTAGATTCAGATGCCGACATTGCAGCCCAGGTGGACCCACCTGTCAGCACTGAGACACATGTCTTGGCACCTCAATCCAGCTACCAAGCATCCGATGCATCCGTCTTGCCTTTGATGCAGTTGACACCAGCCAGTTTGCTTGAGATGCTCCCGCCCAGAACTGATGATGTGGAAGTTTGCAATGGACTCAGGTTTTTGAGCATTTCTTGGACTTGCCGCTCTGACCTGCTGGATCGTCAGGAACATGCTTGGGCAGATGACGAAATGTTGTGGCACATGCAGGCCACAGTCATGCATGCAAGGAAGTCTGCGGTAGTGCTCGATCCTCTGTTGGCAACAACATGGATGACCTCAGGAACAGAAACAGCAGTGACAACATGGTTGGAATCCATCCAACAGCCATCCGACCGAATCATTACAGCAGTGCTTAGCCACGGACATTGGACACCTGTGATTTGGCTTGTCAAGGCAGACAGGTTGGAAGTGCACACCAATGATCATGCCGATGTGGACTTGAATGGACTCAATCCTTTGCATGGTCTCCTGTGTCATGTCCTTGCACTCCCATCCTACAATGTCTCATGTCACCGTCGCAGTTTTGGAGCGAACCTGTGCGGAGCAGCAGCCATCGCTTTTTTGATAGCCAAACTCAATGATGGCTACATGCCAGCCACCGAATCAGCCTTGCAAGCCTTTAGCACCAGACTGCGAGACCAGTTCCGAGTTTCCCATGCTGAGGCGCCAAGTGTAGTACGGCCGTGGTGTTGGGGCACAGGGGCAGATGAACTGCCCACACTCCTTGCTACAATGTTGCAGTTTCATGGAGTGCCACAATCTGCAGCGAAACAACGCGCCAAGCTTGTCCTCCAGAGCTTGGGCAAGGAGTCTGTGCAGAAGGCATTGGAAGGGGTTCACCGTGGAAGAGTTTGAAACAGATTGCCAACCAACACAAGCCTGTCATCCAGTTGGTTCTGCCGGATGAATTAGCCATGGTTGTCAAAGGGAAGACCAAAAAAGGGGGCAAAGACCAACCTTCATCTCAGCCAAAGGTGACCCCCTCGAAGCCATTGGACTTAGATCCCAGTCGACTGCAGTTGGAACCCGATACATTTTGTACGATGCCAGACACCATGATGCACCAAATCCCCGTCAGCCAGGTTGGTCCATTAGCCTCAGGTATTGCCTTGGTCACCCATGCGGAAGCCATGCCATTCCTTCATGCAAACCAGGTCTTGACCACCAAAGGCCTGGCACTGTTGATTGTTAATGGCCCGCAAGAACTGAGCACAGATTTGCAATGGAGTTCCATCAGATTTGCAGCCAGATGTGCAGTCAACCAGCAGCCGGTGTTACTTCATGGGTTTTTGGTTCAGTTGGGTAATGCCACAGTCTGTCCCTTCAAGCGTCCAACCAGTGTGTCAGTGCCTGATGTCCCAGTTACATGTGCTCGGATCACGGTGTTCCAAGACCAATGGCCTCAAGACTGGGAGACGTTCTCAGCACACCCAGTCAAGGAAGTTCTACAGCACATACCTGCACTGCAAACGTGTCGCACAGAGGGCTGCACTTGCCCAAAGTGGCATCGCGATCCGATGGACCATGCACAAGATGTCGTCCTGGATGTCTTCAAACGTCAGTTCTTCACAGAGGGAGGCCGACCCACCAAAGCCAGTCATGCCAGCCACTTTAGTGTGCAGATCAGGTACTTGAAACACCAAGAACCGGCCGTGCTGCAAAGCAGTGGAGCCTATGGAGTGTACATAGAGCCACGACTGCCGGACTCGTCAACTCCGTCGGATGAGTACCAAGTTGTATGATGGTTGCCCCAGGCAACGTTGCAAGAAGCTCAGCACAGCATGCAGTGTGAACCACTGAGCATAGGGCTGGCAAGAGCAGGTCGCCGATATGGCATCAGAGTCCAGGCCAGACACTTCCAAACCATGTTTGCCAAGCTCAAACCAGACAGCCAGTTCCTGGCCCCTGGCGAACGCCTTAATTGGCACTGCGGCCCTTGGCCATTTGGATCTGACCGCAAGATGATCGCCAAGGTGTTTGGGGACATGCAATGGCAAGCCCGACCATTGCAACCACACCGTACGGTTGAGGGAGGGATCATGTGGCTTGTGCAAAGTGTCACGCCTCCGCCTCAGTCTGTTTGGAACATGTCCCATGGTCCAGTTGTTGTGTCCCAGTGTGAGTCAGCCTCAGCCAGCATGACCCAGTCCAACCAGGTCATAGGACCACAGGCAACGGTAGAGCTGTGTAGCACAACAGCTGCAGTTGACCCTTGGCTGACCAAAGATCCATGGCAGGGAGCTCTGAAAACAATGCCTGTTCAGGCCAGTCCCAACGTGACAACCCAGATTCAGGAACTGGAAGAACGCCTGGAGAAGACCATTCTGGCCAAGCTCCCCTACGAGAAGATGGACACAGACGACGACGATGGACGAGTCAGCCAACTCGAGCTGCAGATCCAGCAATTGGCACAACGCCAACAATCCCTTGAAGGGATGGTGAACGAACACCACCACCAGCACACGGCCCAGGTACAGACCCTTCAAACACAGATGATGTCCCAACTTGAGGTCCAGCGATCCCAGATGAAGGGCATGTTCGATGATCAAATGAGCCGGTTAGAGGCCATTTTGGCCAAGAAAGGGCGCTTCGATTGAAAGCCCGGCAGCCGTAGGTCAAAGGCCGCACCTGCGGTGAGCCAGTTTCCATCAGTGCCACGAATGTTTGCAAAGTTTTGGTTGATCTTTCTGATGTTTTTCGGCCTTTCCTGCAGGATCGGCGAAGCCGACAAGCCTGGTCCAGTTCCAACCGATCAAGCCTGTTGGTCCATCGGGGTTTGCAACCCGAGCGGGTTGCTGGGGAAAAGCACACTTTTGGCTGATGTCAATTCAGACATCATTGCAGTCAGTGAAACACATCTCACCAGTGTTTCTAGTTCCTGTTTGTTGCAAAGCCTTCGAACCAGAAGTGCTTACAAATACCTAGTTACCGGACACCCCATGTGCCCACGCACCACAGCCAGCGCAGCAGGGCAGTATGCAGGGGTCGCAGTGGTTTCCAAGCACCCATCCAGAGCACTTTGCTCAGATTGGCCGCAAGACTTGTACGAGACAGGGCGGGTTCACATTGTTGGCTCACTCGTAGGTCAAGACTAGATCACAGGGGCAGTTACCTATGGATACCCCCAAAGCAAGTTCCACACACAAGCTTTGGAGAAAACAGCTGGCATGCTTGCCCATGTGTTGGACCACATGCTCACTTATGCGCAAGGACCCAGGTACATGGCAGGAGATTGGAATTTCACCCAAGACCAATTGGCCATCACCCAGCAACTGCTTGACGCCGGTTGGCAAGAGGTTCAAACCCTGGAGTTCCTGCGTACGGGCATCCAGCCCCAATACACATGCAAGGGCAAGACACAGAAGGACTTCTTGTGGCTGTCACCAGAACTTGTAACGGCCTTCCAAGGGGTGACAATCCATGCCGACACTTTCCCAGATCACGTTGTCATGCAAGCCAACTTCAAGATGGACTCTCAACACTTTGTGCGGTACCTGTGGCCCACACCTCAGGAAACCCCATGGAGCCAAGTTCCAGATATTGCCCAGCCTGTGCCCTTTCAGGCAGGAAACCCCACCGAGCAATATGCAGAAGTTTGGCAACAACGTGAAACCTCCGCCCAAGAGGTGCTGCAACATGCATGGAGTCCCCAAATGCGAGGTAGAGGCCAAAGGACTTCCACCATAACCAAGAAAGGTTGGCCGACACCTCCAAAGCAAGGCCGAAGCAGGGACCCTCAGCCAGGTTTTTATGGTTATGATGTCCAACATGCCCGTTGGCTCAAACAACTGAGACGCCTTGTCAACTACAACAACTGGGCCCAAAGCAATTGGCATGCAGCCTCCGTTCAATCTTGGACACATGGGCTCTTGCTTTGGCGTAGTATCTTGGATGCTCCAGGTTTTGGGCACAGCTTTGCCAGTTGGTGGATAGGTAGAGGGTGCATTGGACTTTCTGACCCGGGCTTCGTGCCATTGCACCCACCAACTCCGGACATTGCTTTGCAGTTGTGTGAATGCTTTTCCAGCGAGGTCAGGTGTTTTGAACGCCGCCTGATGCAAGCCAGAAAGACGGCCAGAGTCTTGGCTCACGTGCACAACCCAAACCTGGTCTTTCGTGACACCCAACGACCGGTGCCTGAACCTGTCTCCACCTTGTTGGTTCACCAAAGTTCCCAAGTTGCCGAAGTGGATGAAGATGATGTTGCAATCGTCCTTGACCCACCCTGCCTTTTTGACGATACCAAACCTGTCATGGTAGGAACTCAAGCCACGGAAGTTATCCATGCCACCGAAACCAAAGTGTACTTGGCCTCAGTCAGAGACGCACAAGTTGGCCAGCCCGTCACTCAGACTCAGCCAGTCGGAGCTTTGGACGAAGTTTTCCAAGCCTTCCACGAACAATGGCGGAAGCGCTGGTGCAGGCATGACCAGGTGCCTCACTCGCACTGGGAAAATCTTATAGCCTTTGCCAGAGATAAGATGCCGCAGAATTCCTTGCCGAGCCTTGAAATCAACCCTGCCTTGCTCCAAGCGGAAGTTGCCTTCAAGAAGCCTACCTCAGCTACAGGGATGGATGGAGTATCCCGGAAAGACCTTCTGGCAGCTGGCCCCAACCTTTTGCAAAGCCTGTGCAACATGTTCGAAAGGGCAGCTTCGGACGGAGCCTGGCCGGCCAATTACAGTCTTTAGCATGGCATACAGGTGCTTCAGTTCCCTGCAAGCCAGGCATTTGCTGTCCCTCGCCGACGACTGGTGCGATGCAGACATACACGGGAACAGAAGACAACACCAAACTGCCCACTTTTGGCGTTGCTTGGTGGACCAGATCCAGTGTGCCTACGACCAAGGCCAATGCTTGAGCGGTTTGACAGCCGACATAGAGAAAGCCTATAACTGCCTCCCTAGGTACCCAGTCCTTGCCATGGCCCTTCATGTAGGCACACCGTTTGGCCTTTTGCAAGCCTGGTCAGGGGCGCTTGCAGGTATGCTCCGCAGGTTCAAAGTCCGAGACAGCTTTAGCTCAGGGTTTGCCACAAGCACCGGCCTGGCAGAGGGTTGCGCCCTTAGCTGCTACGGCATGCTCCTTGTAGATGATGTCATGCACAGGTACGTCCATGCCCAATGCCCCAGTTTGCGGGTGCTCAGTTTTGTCGACAACTGGGACTTCTTAACTTGGGACCCTGAAGCAGCCACCCGGCAGCTGGACTTGCTTTTGGAATTTGCCGGTTTGGTTGACCTTACAGTCGACAAGGGTAAGACGTTTGGTTGGTCGACTTCCCCAGTGGTTCGTTCCACCCTCCGTAACCAAGGCCTCCAGGTCAAACACTTTGCCAAGGACTTAGGTGCTCATGTGGCCTTTTCGAAGCAACGTACCAACAAAACGTTAGCTCAACGACTTGACTCACTGGCACCGTTTTGGGCCCAACTCAAAAGTAGCAAAGCCAGCTATGCCAGCAAGCTGAGAGCCCTGCGTTGCGTTGCATGGCCAAGGGGCCTTTTTGGGGTGGCCAGTGCCCCACTGGGTTCAGCAGTTTGGTTGCGTCACCGACGTTTAGCCGTCCAAAGTTTGTCCTTTGATAAGCCTGGCATCAATCCCATGCTCCTGCTTGGGATAGTTGAAGCTCAAGTTGACCCAGAATGGCTAGGCATCATCCACACAATAGCGAAAAGCCGCCTCATGTGCCCTCTGGACTTTTGGGCTGCAGAACTAGCCAGTGCGGCAAACGGACACCTGGAACCTCCCCCTGCCTCACCTACAGCAGTTTTGCTGTCCAGAATCCAGCGATTAGGGCTCCACATACATGCCAATGGACAATGGGAAGACCCTATCGGTCGCTTTGACCCAAGCCAACTCAACTTTGCTGAACTGCCCATGCGGTTGCAGTGGTGTTGGTACAGGTTTGCTGCACAAGCTGTTGAGCATCGCAAAGATTTCGCAGGCCTGTTGCATGCAGATGTAGCGGCCACCAGAAGAAGCCTTGCGGCGTTACCGCCAGACCAACAGGCCCTGATGAGGCTCAACCTTGCCGGAGGGTTGTACACTCAAGATGCACACGCGCATTGGAATGAGGGCTCAGGCACTTGCAAGTGGTGTGGAGCCCCAGATTCCATCCACCACAGACACTACCAGTGCCCAGCAACACAACACATCCGACAACAAGTTGCCCCTGATGTCACCAGACTGCAAGACAGGTTGCCTGATGCTTTGAAACTCCGCAGCTGGGCCATTGTGCCTCCTTCCCACTTGACTTGGCTGCAAACTTTGGATTCTACGCCCCAAACGGTTCCACCATGTTCAGTGGATTTGTCGCAACATGGTTGGAACCATGTCTTCACGGACGGTTCTTGCTTGTGGCAGTCGCTTCCAGAAGTCCGTGTTGCTGCCTGGAGTGCTGTTCTTGCTCCCCCGTTGTCAGGCCATTGGACTTTCGCCGGCCACTCTGTTTTGTGTTCTGGTGTCCTTCCTGGTCTTTGTCAAACTGCGTTCCGTGCCGAACTCTATGCACTCTGTGTCGTCCTTCACCATGCAGCAGTGGGGGGCTTCCGGGTAAAAGTGTTTTCTGACTGTTTGGGTGTGGTTAATAGGTTTAATTTGCTCACCCGGGGGCAGGTCAAACTGAAGCTGAACACACCCAATGGTGACCTTTGGAGATGGGCGCTGGATTCACTGGACAGGCTGGGTCTTTCCAATGTGCAGGTGATCAAGGTGCCCGCGCATCGTATGGTCGCCTCTGCGACAAACAGAACAGAGGCTTGGCAGTTTTGGCACAACAATGCAGCAGACTGGGCCGCCAAAGTGGCTAATCTGGATCGAGGAAATGCTTTCTGGACAATTTGGCAGGCGCACGTCACCGAGGTCTTTGCGGCCAAGGAGCTCCACAGACAAGCGTGGCAATTACAACTGCAAGTGGCACTGCTGAGCGTGAAGCAGGACCAGACCACGACTTTGGATGAGGTTGAAGTGACAGCTCCGACAGACGAGGAGTTTCACAAAAGTTTTCGAGATCACTGCTTGGCAAGGGAACCTTCCGTTGGAGTTTGCGACGGAGTACGGAGCAGGCATGACCTCCAGAGTAGCAACCTGGTGGAAAGCCCGCACGGGCGCAGGGGGCACGACAGTCAAGTGGATTTCGTTCATCCACTTGTACCTGGATTACCAGTTAACCTGGGGCTGCCCAGGCCCTTTGCAGAGCGGCAAGAGATGGTTGGACTGCAAGGTGAGGCCATACTTGGATGCACAGAGCTATCCGTTTCTCAAAAGACTGAAGTGGTTTCGCAGATGCATGAAGCAATTTTGGAGCAAAAGCCATCAAAAGGTGGGCTTGGAGACGTGCCGTTGTGAGAGCGAGGTGCTCCAGTCACACGTGGCAGCAGCTTCAGTTTGCTGGGACGCTGCAACACTGCAGATCGTGGAACATTGGTTCACTGAGCATTGCCGAGGACCAGTGGCTAGGGGAACTAGACAGGTTCAAACTCTCCCCATAGCAAACGCTATGGCTGGCATGAGTTTGACACGTAGCGCATCAAATGATGCAGCTTGATGCGCAAACAGCGCATAGGTGAGAACCAAGGCCTCGGTCCAACACCTGACCAGGCCTGACTGCAGGAAATAGTGGAAATAGTGGTGGTTTGAAACATTTTTTTTTCTCCCCAATAGTTGGGATGATGATCCAATCTGACTTTCATATTTTTCAGAGGGGTAGGTCAACCACCAACCAGATGGAAAATCCGCTGCGGCATGTGCCAAATCCTGGGCTTTTAGGGCCCAGTATCGATCTTCGTAGCTCCAGAGCTGCTACAAAAAGATTGACACCGGGACGACCGGGACGACCCGGGACGCGGGGCCACGGGGGGATGCCACAGGGGGAATTACCATGGGATATGGGGTACCCTCTGGTAAATTAACATAGACCCTGGCAGATACGGGGTGGAAGACTAGTTTCCATTAAAAATGGGTGATTTTCAGGGTCTATGTTAATTTACTGGATGGTAATTCTCCAGAAATTGGGAATCCACTTGAAACAATGATGTTTTTTGATGTTTTTTGTCGGACTGTCCTTCTGGAACGTCCTCTGGAACCCAAGTTTTGGCATGTTTGTTCCCCTGGGTCCTCTGAAGCCATTGACAAAACCGTTGACTTCCTCTTGGAAAGCATGCAGAGGAAGTTTCTAGTTTATGTACAGCTAAGGCCCTTTACCAGTTGTAAGTACTTAGAAAACCACATTTATAGAATGTATAATCCCATAGAAATAAGCAGTTATAACTAATAGCCATGGCCATAAGTGTAAATGTTGATTAATACAAGAAAGCAACCCCGAATATCCGGGGTTGGTAAATGTTCCGTTTTGGATATTTGGAACATCACCTTCAAAGTATTGGTGATCATATCCTGCAGTAGTTGATGTTCTATGGAAGGAAATTTACCAATCCCTGAGCCTTGCTCCAACCCATAGGTGAATGATAGCCACTCAGACTCGGGTCTCTTTATCTCCTTAACTTTTTTTTGTATCCGGGGTGTTGGGAGCAGCGCTGCTGAACATGGAATGCAACTATACATCTAAGATCATCTAAGGTATATATATATAAGTATCATAAACCGCAGCTATTGGAGTTATGTTCACCAACATTTGTTCTTGAGGGCCCCACAAATCGTTGGAATTCCAGTCGCAAATCCTTGGGCCAAAACAAGGTTCGGGGAACAAAGATCACTCTGACAACTAGCTAGCTTCCAGGCTTCGTCATGCACTACTTGGTGGCTCATCCCACGAATTGTAAGTGGGTTAGTTCACCCCAGTGATTTACATGGGATAAGGAGCGGGTTAATCCCCTCAAAAAACTGGGGTGAACTAACCCACTTACGAGCCGTGGGATGAGCCACCAAGTACGAATCCGGGAATTTTCCATAACCGGTGTCATGGCTGGCATGGCCACGGCTCGAAAATCACCAGTTTTTGCGAACTTCCCAGCGATTTACACTTCCAAGATGTTCCACAATTAAAGCCCGAGTCATACCAGTTATAAGTACTAAGAAAACCCCATCAAAATAGAATGTATAATGTAGTTATAACATCTTATTAATAACCCCATTTATAGAATGTATATATTATCCCATAGAAATGACCAGTTAGTTCACTAAAAACGCCATGGCCATAACTGCAAGTAAGACTTCGGGGAGTCGCCATCGCCACCTTTGATGACACCGGTACTCAAATTGACCGATTTCCATGTCCAGGCCTCAAGTGGAGATGGGGTCTCATAGAATGATTATTCCAACAAAACGAATTACATACAATGTGGTGCCCCAACAAAAATCATAGGAAAATGGGGATTTCATGGGATTTATAGCTGATTTATGATAGCTGACTTGGTTTGTAACTCTAATTTCACTAGGACTTATGGTAGATATATCTAGAGTTCATGGGATTATAAACCAACAAACATCACTGGGGGGGCACCACCTTGTACCCTCTGGTGTCATCAAACGTGGCTTGCTGGAAATATGGAACATCGACCGTTGATGGATGATTTTCACATGGATGATCCGCAGAAAATCACGCTTGATGACACCGGCTATGGAAAATTCCCGGATTCATAGAGTTATGGCCATGGCTATTAGTGAACTAACTGGTCATTTCTATGGGATTATACATTCTATAAATGGGGTTTTGTCAGTACTTATAACTGGCAAAGGGCCTTAACTGCAATGGATTGGTTTAAGAGAAAATCTACAGGAAACCATAGATTTTCCCATTAAATATGAGGTTTTCCTGTAAATTTTCAGTTCAACCAATCCATTGAAAAAAATGACCAGCAAAGTTCGTCTGGAAGTGCCATTTAGTGTTTGCTTCCATCTGGAATTTGTCACCCCTATTTGGTACGCTGTGGTTTGACGATGTTTGACGATGACTCGACCAGATCCACGCTGCAAATGTGTCATGGTTTTTGTCTCCAATACCTCCAAGGAATGATTGAAATATATTCAAACAAGTCACAAGATGACATGACTTCACCAAACAGCCATCCATCCTCAAAAAAAACACGCCTTGGATGCTTGGATGAATTGAAACTTATGTTTTCATATATAACATGCAACATCATGTTTAAAGGTAATGTATACAGCGTGAATCTTTGTTTCATGTTGGAGAATCCAAGCCGAACGTAGCCATCATATGCCATGACTGACTGGCACACAACCTGTTGCAGCTCGGCTTTTTGAGCCAGTGGTGAGAATGATAGACCCTCCAAGCAGCACAGGGTGAGTCCCCTAAATGTTATGCTAAGTTGGTTGATGACTTGGTTAACGTGGGTTTTTGGGAGATGCAATTTTACTCTGGTTGGTGCTTTCAAACATTTTTTTTATATTCCAATAATATATGGGATAACCCTTCCCATTGACGAACTCATATTTTCTAGATGGTGAAAAAACCACCCAGTTACTTGATGGGTTTAAGGAAGAAAACAAGCCAACTTGTATCTGACCCACCTTGAATGGTTTTCGAACATGGGAAAATGGATGGGGTTTTCGCATGGGAAAATGGAGGGCCCCTAGGGCCCATTATGGGGCCCATAATCCAAGGGTTTGGATGATCATTTGCCCAAGATATTACAGTTATGGCCATTTATTAGTTATAACTGGTTATAAATGGGATTATACATTCTATAAATGGGGTTACAAGTACTTATAACTGGTAAAGGGCCTTAACTGTAGGCAACTTTTGTTGGGCAAAACTGAGAGCACTGATCATGCCATGTACTTGATAACTTTTTAACTGCTTGGTGGTGACTGGAACATTGGTTTAGTATGGGGTAATGATGTTTAATGATGGTTAATGATGGTTAATAATCACTGCGTGGTGGTGGCTGGAACCATGGAATTTTATGACTTTCCATTCAGTTGGGAATTTCCATCCATCCCAACTGACTTTCACTCCATCATTTTTCAGAGGGGTTGAAACCACCAAGCAGTGAATAGTTGGGATACAGAAGTTGGATCTTTTCGGATTCCCCAGCTGTATATACTGGCTAATTTTAGATACCCTGCATGTGTTTTTTTGCTGCATAGCTGGTGAGCTTGCATCCCTATGTCGAAAGGTTTTGAGGTATCAAATGAGCCAAGGTGGATTTGAGCCATTTGCCTAGACCATACTAGAACCTCCAAGTACCCTTCAAAGTGATGATTACCTCACAAATCTTAGATAATCTTAGATAGTCTTAGATAGTCTTAGTACCTTTATCATAGTTTTGGGCTATTTGGATGATATAGCTTACATATATTGATTCAATTTGATCCTTGTCCTACCCCTGAGGGAAAACCCAATCATCGCCCCCTTCAGAATGTTTCAGTTGGATCAGCGAAAGTGGGGACCGTGGCCAACATCGCCCAGTTGGGAGCCTCCAATAGTAACTGTGGTTGAAGGATGTCAGTGACGTCAGCATCAAAAAGGAACCCACGTGAAGCAGTGAAGAAAGCAAACAGCGCAAGCAGAAACACATGGCGAAGGCATGGCTATATCGATGCCCACAGTTATGGCCATTTATTAGTTATAAATGGTTATAAATGGGATTATACATTCTATAAATGGGGTTTTGTTAGTACTTAAAACTGGTAAAGGGCCTTAACTGCAGGCTTCAAGCCTGGATCCTGAAGTGGCTTTGGCATGACCCAACTGGGAGGACGTCTCAAACTTCGATGGTCTGAGTAAGTCTTGCTGGTGCGTTTTACGTAGGGAATGGATGGGACTGGGGGTTGCTGCAGTTAAGGCCCTTTACCAGTTTTAAGTACTTATAACCCCATTTATAGAATGTACAATCCCATTTATAACCAGTTATAACTAATAAATGACCATAACTGTGTGATGATGACATTACTAGTGATGAAATGGATCATTCCCGAAAATTCCCTGCTTAAAGTTTAGCACCAGTAAGAAGTCTTTAAGTGGAAGGTCAAAAAAACATTTCCCAAGACCCCCAGGAACACCATGAAATCCATGAAGGAGACCGCACCAAAGAGACAGCCCGCAGCGAAGAAGTAAACCGCAGCCAAGTTTCCCAAGACATTCCATTGATGGGATGATCAGCCCGTGCAAAAACCATCGAAATAAGTGGGAAAGGACCATAACTGCCAGAAACCATGGGTTCTGACAGGTTTTTACCATCAAATTCATTGGGCTTGCCGGTTTCACTGTTCTTTTAATCCAAGCCAAATAAAGAAAAAATGAAAATAACTGGGAAAGGGCTTTGACTGTAGTTAATTAGTTAATTTCAATGGAATAGAATTCAGGATTTTATCCAACTATAGTTGATTAATCATTTTTATAATCAATATCCAACCAAGAATATTCCAAATTAATTTGAAGTGTTTTGAAATAGGTGCAACCAGTTCAACCATTTGAATATTATTTTAACTATAAGCATATTAATATCAACAACCAAATCGATCTACAATAGTTATTTTGAATAATGATATTGATCATAATAGTAGTTTCATGGTGCATATACAGTTATGGCCGTTTACCAGTTAGAAGTCAATTATAACCACATTTATGTACTTATAAGTCCATAGAATTAACAACTTATAACCAATTATAACTAATAAATGACCATAACTGTATGGGTTTGGTTTGGCACTATTTTATAATAGCATAATAACATACGTAATTTTATTTATGCTGAAATTGGGGATGGTTTATGGCATTGCTTTACCCACATTATACCCCCAAATAGCCATTTTGAGTAGGGGAAATAGATTAACAATACATATTTTGAATCTAAATATGAAGTATATGGAATTGGTCGGTGAATTGTGGTTAACTTACATTAGATAGTTTATTGATAATTATGTATTATGTATTTTGTATTGTGCTAATATTATATATATGAAAATAAAGTATACTTACATTCTTACGATTTTTACTATTATCCTATGCTGTACAGTGGATGGAAGAAATCCTGCACCACCTTGGATGATTGAGACCCAAACAAAATCGTGGGACAAATCACCTATCAATTGGTGCAGGATTTCGCAACCATCCACAGATATCACTATCAATATTGCTATTACCCTCTGGTAATTTAACTTAGCTATTGAAAATGGCCATAGAAATAGTGGATTTACCCATTCAAAATGGTGATTTTCTATAGTTTTTTTGTATGTTTACTAGGCCGGGTAATGGGAAAATCGGTGGTTTCCTGTATATTTTCCCTTAGACCAATCCATTGACAGTCACATGGCTTGAAAATCACCCAATAGTTAGTTTACCAGAGGGTAGCTATTATTTTAGGATGGGGCCCCTAAGATAGCTAAGTTGCCTTATAAGTCCCTTAACTATGGTTTATGGTTATAGCTGGGGGGCCCCATCCTGTATCAATATTGCTATATTGCTATTATAGTCACTTGTGGTTAATTGAGATGCGCCTTTTGACACCTCAGGTCAGGCCTTACGGCAAGGCCGCTCGCAAGCGGCCCCTGGGCCAAAACAACCAGCCGCACCTGTGGGCTGGTGCAGCCGTTAAAAGATGATAGGAAAAATGGTGATTTGTGGTGATTTTGAATGGAACAAACCATAGAAAAACCATAGAAAAACGGTGAGTTACGGTGAGTTATGGTGTTTTTAAATGGAAACAACATAGGAAAACAATGGTAAACATTGCATTATGTAATTGTAGAAAAAACAATAAAACAATATGGATATCATGGGATTTAATGGAATCTACAGCTTATTTTTGATAGCTAAGTTGTGGACCACCTAAGTCCAATTTCACCATGGTTTATGGGATTTAGGTTGAACTAGTTCATGGATGTTAATGGGGTGTATAAACCAACTGAGCTAAGTGCAGGGGCCCCACATTCTAGGAGTTTTGTTCCCATGGCAGCCAAGGACGATTTGGGATTCCAAACACTTTTCTATCATTTTTGGGGGCTGCTGTAGGCCCAAAACATATCAAACAACGGTGTTAAGACCTCTTGATAGCAACAGCAATGAACATGTGTGATTTTTTACCACACAATGTTGTTGATTCATGTTGAAGTCAACGGAGATGAGGGATGTTTACGACAGAATAGGGTTGAAACATCTTGAAAACCATGAACATGGTGGAACGATAGAAACAACAGCGAAGCTGTTGAAACTTCATGGGGATTTAACTAATCCCCAATCAAAAAGATGATAAGGCTATTCTTACAGTTATGGCCCGAAATACCAGTTTTATATTTATATATAAGTCAATTATAACATATTATAACCCCATATATGGAATTATAAGTCCATAGAAGTAACAATTGATGACCAATTATAACTAATAAATGGCCATAACTGTAAGCACCAAGAATCACCATTTTCTCCGTTCTAATCATATCGGGCTGCAACCTCACTGGTTTGTAGGGGTAACTATCCCTGATCTACTAGCCATTGAATTCATCTAATTTACCCTCTGGTAAACATACAAAAAACGATGGAAAATTGCCCATTTATAGTGGATTTACCAATAAACAATGGTGATTTCCCATAGTAAACAGCCACATAACTATGGAAAATCATCTTTTTTAATGGGCAAATCAACTATAAATGGCCTTTTTCAATAGCTTCTTGTATGTTTACTAGATGAAATAAACCAGTAAGTATCCCTGACTTGCTAGGGGTAATTATCCATTTATCAAATTTCAGGTAGGTGAAGTCTTCTAATTTACCCAGAGTACGAAAAGGACCAGCCAGTGATGGTTGAGACGCTACCGGGCATGGGAGATTGAGATGTTGGATGATGTTGGAGTGATTGGCCTATGAATTGGGTGAAGCTTGGCAAATGATTGACGATTTGACGATTTGTAGATAGTTTGGTGAAAACATCGTTGATAATATGGCTGTGTCCAACAACGGGGTATACTAGTATACCATTGTATTTGTATATTAACAATTACCACTTAAATGAGAAAGCTGATGATGAACCATTGACTAAATTGAGGGCCAAGTATGACTATTTTCAGACAGACCCATGCAGGGTCCAGGACATGTTATGCGTTTGATGAACATATCCCTAAAGATTTTTGCAATGAAGTGAAAACGACATTATTTCAGGTTGGTGATAGTTTGTCCAGACTGAGTGGGAGATTCAATGCAGATTTTCATGTCAAACTGTCACGTCAAAAATGTTAATTATGCAACTTGAGGCCTGCAACAGCCGCTGGTGCCCGTGGGATGAGTCCCTTGATCCAGAGAAGCAGCTACATTTTCTGGTGACTGAAGTCGGGCTCTACGTGCGCATCCAAGAGCACCTCACCCGACACAACTTTGTGATCACCTTGTCCACATCAAGCAACCCTGACATGGTCAAGACTATGCCCTTTGAAGTTCATCTTCTTTTGCATATCGAAACCATTGAGTTGCTGGGACGAATGTACCGCGAATACAGGTCGCTCAAGGCCGAGCTGGAGGCCCTCAAGCAGGAAGCGAGGCAGATGCGTCGCACTTTCGGGGCCGATTTTGAAAGCTTCACCCCCTGGAACAGTGATCTCATCCCCCTTTTGGGGCTGTTACAGCCCGTGAGCCGGCGACAGAGCCTGATGCACCGGCACAGATTCATCGTCACTGACGGAGCTTCGATTTTTCAGCAACTTTTCAGTTCACATCGCACACATGGCTACCATTTATGGCTACTTTTTTCCTTTTGAAGCTGGATTGGACTTCGTTGCCGAGTTTTCCAATGCAAATTTCCATGCTTGAGCCATCCAAGGATATTGTGAACGGCAGATGCTGTATCCCTTTAGGTCAAAATGATTCGCACTAGTTTGGCATGTCTTTGACTGCTTTGGTTCCTGGTTTCCAAGTACGTTACACCTTGAAAATTCAATAAGGAATGCAACACGTTGGTTTTCAAACAGGTTCAAAAGCGATTTCACTACTGGATATGGTATTTTTGGGGGTTGTAGATTTGTTTAATTTTCCAGTATATTGTATATATTGCCATATTTCAAATTCATTCCCCAAGTGAAGTCGCATACATGATCCCAATATGCAAATGTTCTTTACAGTTATGGCCCTTTGTATACCATTTGTTTTTCGTGAGTAAGTCACCCCATTTATGGAAGAATAACCACATAGAAATAGCAAAAAAAAACTGTCTAGCCATTTATAACTGGTATACAAAGGGCCTTAACTGCATCATCAACCTGTCAAACAATCTATGCACACAGCTGGGATCCACAGTTAAGGCTCTTTATATACAAGTTATAAAAGGTTTGAACTGGTTATACATGGGTTTATATTATTTCACAAATGGGGTTAGCACTGACATATGTATATATATATATATATTGCAATGATGGCTGTAAATGGGAAGTACCAATTATATATGATTATAAATGGTTGTGGGGTCATGCTTCCATAAATGGGTTTTTGAATGAGGTACAAGGTGGTGACCCCCCAGTTATAAGTTGGTTTATAATCCCAATAACTAGTTCGATATATCTACCATAAGTCCTAGTGGAATTAGAGTTATGTGAGCCAACTTAGCTATCTTGGGGGCCCCACTTTGTATAAATATGTATGTATGTATATATATATACCCTCTGGTTATTTAACATAGCTATGGAACATATATAATAACTACATTACATCAGTTCTATCAGTGCTATCCCGCGGCCCTCAACCATAAGTGCAACCATCTTTTTCCCAGGTCTTGTTCCGAGATGGCACCGCGGGAGATTTCGCCTTCGAAATCTTGCACCTTGGCGCGCACGGCGGGTCCCCCAGATGTGAGCGTTAGTTGATAATCCCGAGTAACTAGTTCCTCATAAGCACCATAAACCGTAGCTAGTTATTGGAGTTATGTGGCCCCCCAACTTTGCTCGTTTGGGGCCCCCACTTTGTACATATCTATCTATCTATCTATCGATCTATCTATCTATCTATCGATCTATCTTTCTTTCTTTCTATTCTATCTATCTATCTATCTATCGATCTATCTACCTATCTATCTATCTATCTTTCTTTCGTTTTTTCTTTCTTTCTATTCCTATCCTATTCTATTCTATTCTATTCTTTTCTATTCTATTCTATTCTAGTCAATTCTATTCTATTCTATTCTATTCTTTTCTATTCTATTCTATTCTATTATATCTATCTATCTAGTATATATTTAGTATATATAGTATTTATATATATAGTATATATATCTATACACATACTACACATATATATTTACACACTACATATATATATATATATGTATACATACATACATACTACACGTAAAGCCAACAGTGATCTTCAGTGATCTTCACCAGTCATATCATCTTACCTTCGGTTCTTGGTTCGGTTTCTGGCAGTGATGCCTTGGTGGCTCATCCGACGGTTTTTTTTCAGCGTTCACCCCAGTGATTTAGATGGGATAAGGAGTGGGTTAATGTGGGTAAAACAATGTTTTTTTCTTTACGGAATCCCCATTTTAAAGGTGACAAATCGCCATTGTTTGATAGTTAAATCATACAAAGTGGGGCCCCCGTTTACGATAGCTAAGTTGGTTAATAACTCCAATTTCACAATGGTTTATGGTACACAATCAACTATAGTTACTGGGGATCATAAACCTTTTTTTTACCACCCATCTGGGTAAATTATAACGACCGAACCCTGTTCTCCCTAAGCCTGAAGTCATGGTTAATTTTAGGGAAATCATCCCCTTTTATGGCCGCAAGATTCTGATTAGTGAAATATTATAATTTACCCAGACCCATATGTTGAGGGTTTCTACACCCTATGAAAATGGTGATGACTGGGGGATGGTTTCTGATTGTTTTACCCACATCAATCCACTAAAAGTTATAACCCACGAACCCACGAAAATCGTGGTAGGAACTCGCCACCAAGTACTCTTCAGTTCGTCAGATGACGACTCGATGGGTATAACTAACGATGTCGGCGGATAACCCCACAAGTTGGGATATGTCGGGATATGACCGCGACATAAATTGAGGTAATATACCCATAGAAATAGTTGATTTACCGAACTTAAAAATGGTGATTTTCTATAGTGATGTTAGTGTACCAGAGGGTATTCACTTAGTTGGAACTGCGCACTTGGGGGCGCCCATTTGTTCTTGAAAAGGAAGAGAAACTGTTCGCAGCTATCGAGAAAGGGTTCGTGTTGACCCAAGAGGCTGTGATTTTTTTTGGAAAGAATCACAGCAAGGCCATTCGTACTGGCCAGGACGACCTTCACTCAATTGGGAGCGAGGTCTCAAGTAAAATGATTTCTGACAAGCACCTTCTGTCCCAAATCAATGAGCAGTTCAAGACTTTGACCAGGATAGCATGGACTCTGAATGGGAGTCGCAACGAATCCCAAACGAGCCTGAAGAGTATCTGCAACCAGATGCTGGTCACCCAAAAAAAAGTTCAGGAAGAGCTGGTCTGGCATTCTCCTATTAAAGCCCACTCAAATCCATTCAAATCCACATTTTCCCAGCAAGTACTGCAGATTGCTGAAGCTGGACGCCACATGAGAGGCAGGGAAGCCCCTTTTACCACGTCTTAGATGGTAAAGATAACTGTATATATATATATTGTTGAAATTTTTGGTTACGTGTGTATAGCATTTTTTGCAGTATAGGTACAACGTGGGCCCCAAGATACTAAGACTTTGATTTATGGTACTTATATGTACTTATAACTATGGTTGCTGGGGTTTCTAAACCAACTTATAAGTGGAGGGCCCCACATTGTATAAGTCAGTTATAAACCCATTTATGCAAGTATCCCTCTATTTTTTATAAGGTACTCATAACTATAAGGTATTTATAACTATAAGGTACTTAAAAGGTACTTATAATCAATGGCCATTTCAGGAACCTAAATTGGAGGTACCTACCATATATAAGGCCTATCTTTTAGGCCTATGTAAGGGGATAAACCCCCAAAATATGGCCAAACATATGGCACTAACGCACCTCCATTTTAGGATCCTGGAGATCTCCCATTGATTATAACTATTTACCAACTTAGAACTGAGGGGCCCACCTCTGCGCGCTCATCACCTGGCTCTGTATCACAGGGATTGCTTGCCAGCACCAGAAATACTTGGGAAGCATCCCACGTTTAATATGGCCTACATTTGCTGCTTGGTGGTTTGGAACATGAATTTTATTTTTTCCGTTCAGTTGGGATAATTATCATCCCAACTGACGAACTCCATCATTTTTCAGAGGGTAGGTCAGTTTGGTTAATATGGCGTTTAAAGCACTTAAGCACTTACGATTCATGGGGCACGATGCACGATGCCGATTTTCACAGGTGATCTGGCCGTCTCCAGTCATGTGGAAAAAACCGACTGCCACCATACACGTTTTCCCAAATCATGAATACCCATGATTGGGATGTGTTTATTGATTTTATCCATATTCCCACCCTTAATTTGTGGTTCACCAAAATCATGTTCCCCCCCCAAAAGAAAGGACTTACCCTCTGGTAATGACTAACAGTTCGCTATTGAAAATGGACCATAGAAATAGTTGATTTACCTGTTAAAAATGGTGGTTTTCAATAGCTATGTTAATTTACCAGAGAGTAAATCCTTTTTTGTATCCTTTTTGTTTTGACATACGTGTGGAGCTCAGTTGAATGTGTCAGATGTCGTGTCTTTGCGGCCCTTACCATGCCCGGCAACTATATGTTTGGTCTATGGCCCTTACCATGCCCGGCAACTATATGTTTAGTCTGTGGCCCTTACCATGCCAGGCAACTATATGTTACTGTTTGGTGGTCATACTTGTATGTTGGTTACATGTTTGCACTGCAGTATGCATATTATAATATATGTATGTATAATTATGTATGTATATATATATATATATATCATTGTTCATCATTGTAGGTTGGGAAAGGGGCTTTATGTTGTGAGAACATGTGTTTCTATATATATATACACACTGCGCCATGTATGTATCTACAATATATATATATATTTATATTTATATATATATACAAGTTGCAGTATACATATACTACAGCATGTATGTACAATGTGGGCCCCCTCAGTTATAAGTTGGTTTGTAAACCCCAGTAACTATAGTTATAAATACCATAAACCATAGTTATTGGAGTGATGTGAACCCCAACTTAGCTATTGTTTGGGGGCCCCACTTTGTAGAATGTATATATTGGGTATATGGGTCAAAATTAGGTACCCCAAAATTATGGATGGTTAATACTAAACTAGACATTCACATCTGTGGTCCCACATCGGTCTTCCATTTTGACCCACATCCAATATGTAGACGACATGACATCCAATTCTACATCTCCATGAAAGGTTGCTGTTCCCAGGAAAGTCTTGCGCGACATTTGTGCTCAAGATCCAGAGGCTTGTTCCAGCGCTGTGCGGAAGCTTCAAAGCCCAGCGCTGTTGAAACGGAACCCTAGGAAAACTATAGGAAAACCATAGGAAAACCATAGGAAAACCATAGGAAAACTATAGGAAAACCATAGGAAAACTATAGGAAAACCATAGGAAAACTATAGGAACACTATGGATGTAATGGATTGATATGGATATGTACAGTTATGGCCCTTTGTATACCAGTTTTTTGAGTCAGTGACATAACCCCATAGAAATGGAATTATAACTCTATAGAAACAGCCAATTTATAATCATTTAAAGCTGATCAACGGCCAAACAAGCGTCAGAGAAAAGTGTTTCAACCAAGTGTTCCCCTGTGATTTAATCATCTATCAAGATGGGTTTAGGAGACACTGCTGCAATAATGGCGTTGGCCCAAAATGATTGGAATTCACTTCATTACATTAACATAGCGAACTGGAAAATGACCATTTTTGGTAGGTAAATCATCTATACATGGCCATCATGGCCCATGTTTGGGTTATTGCTGCTGATATCTAGGCCTCGGTACAAAGTAGAAAAAACATCGAAATTGATTTGTTCATTGCTAATGACGAACAAAACATGAGTGCACAATCAGGAAAATACAGTGACATTGTTGGAATACAGCTGGTGATGGGTAGTGTAGTGCAACTCGATATGTTGCAAATTTCATGGACATATCTAGAACCAGCTGAACTTGTTTTGTTGCAGGATATCTGGGATACCGGGATGGGCAATTTTAACCCGACTAGCCAAATATGGCCTCCAATCTACAAACGCCAAAAGCGTTCTCTAACAACAGAAGAACACCCAAAATCGAAACCTGGAAACCTGCAGTTAAGGCCCGAGTTATACCAGTTATAAATACTAAGAAAACCCAATTTATAGAATGTATAATCCCATAGAAATAACAAGTTATAACTAATAAATGGCCATAACTGTGGAAACTGTGAGGTCAATATCCTGGATGATGATTTTGCGACCGAAACCTGGATAACCTGGGACATTTCCAGAGTCTCAGAGGTTTTTGAGGTTCAAAAGGGAGAGCAGTTCAAGCTTACAGGTACTTGGTGGCTCATCCCACGAATCGTAAGTGGGTTATAACCCCAGTTATAAATGGGATAAGTAGGCTTAATCCACTTATAATTGGGGTTAAAACCCACTTACGATTCGTGGGATGAGCCACCAAGTATACCTTCTTTTGGGGTTGGAGACTCAACGCCACTTTTGGCCACTGAATGAGCCTTAGTTTGCAGCGTCGCCTCATGGAGCGGACGATGGATTCAGATGGGAAATGAGTGGTCAACCGAGGACGCTCCACTCGCCATGTCACTCATGCCCTTCGTTTCTTACCGGTCTCTTACGACATCTCCACTCACTCCTTTCCTCGTTCGGTTACGGAAGGCATCGGTAACGGTCGATCTCTTCTCTCATGTTTTTTCGTACCCATTCCCTGGGTTTGTGCCCTAGATTTTCTGTTATCGCTATCGCACTACACCCGATCATATCCTTGCCAAAAATGATTGGTAAATCGGCTGTGAATCCATTCGTACTTTGGATTTGTTTTCTTCCTATTGGGAATTTTACAATCCCAATTGACTTTCATATTTTTCAGAGGGGTAGGTATACCACCAACCAGATAATGATTATCATTTTGTTTGGCTAGTGTTTTGCGCAACGGTTCTTATAAAGTTCACTTGCCAACCACGTGGCAGAATCCGTTCATGGGATGAAACGGAAATTTGTGATAGGAAAAGCAGGCTGAACTGTGGAAAGCCATGGGTTTCAAAACATTCCCTTAAACCAATCTCAAGCTTAAGTTTCCGTGAGAGAGTACTAGTTACTAGTTTCAGCAAGTTTGGTCGCTTAAATCCCCTTGGGAGTACAGTTCCACTTATAAAGTGAATTATATCCCAGTTATATATGGGATATCCCAAGTTTTATAGGAGTTATGAGCCACTTACTATATAACTCTGATGCGCATATCTAAGTTTCACTTATATTGTCTAAAAGTGTCACCATGGTTCACTTTTTTTTTCACAAACCACTTACTGGGATGACATAATGGTATATTTCACCAGGTTCGGTGGCTGAAATCGCCCTTCTCCGGAGGCGCAATGTCTGCTGCTCTGTGCGAAGTCGGAGTTGAGAAATCCCATGGTGGCAGAGAAGGTTCGACTCGAGGCCGCCCGAACTTCGGCCTGAACTTCTTGCAGTTAAGGCCCTTTACCAGTTATAAGTACTAAGAAAACACCATTTATAGAATGTATAAACCCATTTATAACCAGTTATAACTAATAAATGGCCATAACTGTGGAACTTGTCTGGTTGGTGGTTTGGAACCTGAATTTTATGTTTCCATATATTGGGAATTTCATCATCCCAACTGACAAACTCATATTTTTTCAGAGGCGCAGGTATACCACCAACCAGATGTGGTGAGGTGGTAGCATCGAAATCGCGAGATGATGTTGGTGCAAATAGATGCTGGTTAGTGAATTCTATGGTTGATTTGGGGGATATAACTTGATATAAATCAACCATAGTTAAGTAACCAAACAAAACTGTGAATTCTATGCTTGATTTTTGGGATGAACTATGTTGATTGAATCAACCATGATTGATATTAAACGATAGTTCATGAGGTTTTAAACCAACGTTGACATCACGGGCTGGGGCCCCCGTCCCATGTGGTGAAAGATATAAAACAACATGGGTCAAAATGTTGTCCCAAGAAAGACCCCCCCCGAAATCATACCCTCTGGTTATGACTAACATAGCCATGGTATAGATGGCCCATAGAAATAGATGGTTTACCAAACTTAAAAATGGGTGGATCTTTCCATGGCTATGTTAGTCACAACCAGATGGTAGGTTTTGGTTGTTTTTGGTGATATTGTATGGTTCAAAACATGGCAGATATCGAGTTGGAGTTGGAGTTTGATGAGTTGGAGTTGCTATAGATTACTAGACCAACTCAACCAACTCAGGGGACCGTCCCGTGGCCCCTTGCTTCGAAACGGTGAGTGTTTTTTCTTTTGCTATACTGTAATTATTGTGAAATAGACCAACAGGCTGAAAGACATATTATATTGCAGGTTAAACCCGATGAACCAATGATAAATGGATATTTTTGGCAAACTAAAGCACATTGTAGAACAAAATGAGCACATGTCAATTGTGTCTTGCGATTACGAATTCCTTACATAGTGTCATGGAGTTATTACCATGTGCTTTTTTTTCCGGATGGTGTTTCTTGTCGTTTGGTGTCGATTTGGGGTCACCCTTTTTTTGTATGTATTATTCACCCCTGGGTCCAGAAAGAATGTTCGGAAGGAACGTCAAGTTGGTGCATTGCAAACATATCCCAAAAATATCCACGCACTCGACGGCCCAAAATCATCCAAGAGATTTGTCTTCTCAGCCTGGCATTTCAACGGCCTTGTCGATGGCAAAAGATCATACTCGATCCAAGTGGGCAAGAAGCCAGCTCTGAAACCAGTGCCAGAATCAAACACAACTCGACTAATTAATTACAGTTATTGTGTACCTTAACTTATGTCTAATTTACTACAGAATTAATTAATCAGAATTACTGCATGAATTACTGTGATTCACCAGTACGATTTACATCGATTTACATCGATTTACATAGTACTAATAGTACTAATAGTACTAATCGTACTAATAGTACTATTAGTGCTATGAATTACTAACGTGCTGAACCCAATCATAAACCATCCCCAAAATCACATCTTCGTCGGCAGGACCCTGCGCTTGATGAGGTGGGCTAATTACAGGGTTGGACCCTGTGGATGTGGCACTAGCCTAGGTGGAGACCGAAGCAAAGCCAAATGGTGATTTTGCCAAGTAAAATATTCAGATTCCTTCGGATTTATATGGATATAGAAGTTCAAAAAAAAATGGCGCGATGTTGGTAAACACAACTATACAATAACACAACTAGGTTATAGACGTTTTATATATATAGGGCTTATTCACCAACGTTGACATAACTTGGAAGCCCACCTTCAGCCAATTGGGATCATCATCCATCACCTGTTACGACGTAGTTAGTCCTCCAGATTCCAGGGGGGTTTCCATCAATGAGGCTACCCAACATGCAGTTAAGGCCCTCTACCAGTTATAAGTACTAAGAAAACCCCATTTATAGAATGTATAAACCAATTTATAACCAGTTATAACTAATAAATGGCCATAACTGTGGATAATAATGGAAACTAGTAATAATGGAAACATCAATGAGGGTACCCACCATAGTTTATATGGATGCTTTTTCATAATCCCTAGTGATCCAAATACCCTCTGAGAAGGTGTTCAGACCCCAAAAAGCAACTCCAAATACAGTCTCAGAAGTTGTTTGGAGCTGTAGGGAATGGAAAATCCGAAAATAAAAGAATGATAACTTCGGGATTACCCCGCCAACAATAGATCTGGCTAAATTATGTTGCGACCGAACCCTGTTCTCCCGAAGCCTGGAATCATGGTTAATTTTAGGGAAATCATCCCCTTTTATGGCCGAACTATTCAGGTTAGTGAAATATTAAGGTTTACCCAGATAAATGGGGATTCCCCAATAGCTGGATGTTTTTATATAATGGAAAATCCATCTATAAATGAATGATAACTAAGGGTACCCTCATTTAAGGAAACCTCCATATGTCAAGCAGCACGAATATTTAAGCCAAAATCTCATAGTATTTAAGCTAATCATGAAATACTATTGACACTCATGAACAAATATATTTAAGCTAATCATGAAACAGTTGATTACGCCAAACATCTCATAATTATTTCAGCAGCATGACATACTTTAGGAACATATTCATCATATCTCCGACATTTTCATGGAATATTTATCAGGATACGGATGTTTTTTTTAAAAAAAAAACATTTTTATATAGCCACAATGTGGGCCCCCCCAGTGATGTTTGTTGGTTTTATAATCCCCAGTAACTAGTTCGTTATTTGCGTACCATAAACCATAGTGAAATTGGAGTGATGTGAACCCCAACTTAGCTATCATAAATCAGCGATTAAAATCCCATGAAATCCCCATTTTCCTATGGTTTTTCCTATGATTTTTCCTTGGGGGCCACCACATATAGCTATCGATTTTCACAGTTTTTTTTACAGCCAGATTTCTCGGGATGCTATGGGACGGTTATCGTGTCTTTCAGTTTTTGGCCGGAAATATCAGTTATTTTTATCAATGGCCATGCAACAGGGTTTATGAGGGGTTTATGAGTGGTTTATGGTGATTGATACAGTTAAGGCCCGAGTTTATATCAGTTATAAGTACGAATAGAAAACCCCATTTATAGAATGTATAATCCCATAGAAATAACCAGTAGTTGTAACTAATAAATGGCCATAACTGTAATGATTAACCAAATTGGATTTATCAATGGCAATTATCAATGTGGTCATTCCAGGATCCTAATGGGGATATAATGGGGATCTATTATGGGGATATTATGGTGATAATATATTTTTCTAATAGTAAAAATTACAAATATAATCAATGGCCATTTCAAGAGCCGATTGATTGGAGGTACCGATTCCATATATTTTTGGCCTATTTTTAGGCCTAAATTTCAGGGAATATCCCCAGAAAATATGGCCAAACATAAGGTACGTTTACGTACCTCCAATTTAGGAACCTGGAATGGCCATTGATTTAATGATTTTTTCTATGGCCATTCCTACGGGGCTATGATTCCATTTCTATGGGGTTAGTTTATAAGTTATAACTGACTCAAAAAGCTGGTATACAAAGGGCCATAACTGTACATACCCATATCAATCCCATTACATCCATATGTTCCTATAGTTTTCCTATAGTTTCCCTATGGTTTTTCTAGGAATGTTTGTTCATCCATACGATGTCTCTCAGGATGCCAAGACTCCATGAAGATCGAAGATAGTACCACTTACCCTCTGGTAAACTAACACAGTGAACTGGAAAATCACCACTGTTTATAGGTAATTCAATGTAATTCATCTACAAATGGGCCATGTTCCATAGTTTTGTTAGTTTATTGGATGGTAAGAGTCTTTGAAATAGCAATATATATATATACAATAATACAAATATTAAACATGCTGACACACACACACAATTTTGGAGCATGGATGTATCACCATTTTTACTACTGAGGTCATTTATATAATTGTTTTCCCATGCCTTGGCCCCTTGCAACATGCCTGGCATAGCACCATAGCACCAGGCACTTCAAAGAGTGCACATCAAATACATTTCCGACGCGCCGGTGTCTTGCCATTTTCTGGAAAATTGAAATCCAGAAATGGGGCAGGGGAAAATGGGAGTCATGTTTTTTTTTGGGGTCATCTTAAGCAAATCCAAGTAAATTAAGTAAATGAATAGTTGGAGGCTGATTGTTTTTAGATGTTTTTAGTTTTAGTTGATATTATATCCTAAGTGTCATGTGTTTTAGCTGATTTTAGTCCGTTTTTCAGGTGATGAACTTGTGAAAAGAAGGTAAAGATGGGGAAAACTGGCGAGGATGCTACGATGATGGGCCTCTGAGAAAACACATGAACTACTTGTGGATTTGGTATAGAAACGACAGCGGAGAGTCGTAGATCCTACTGTGGATGGGCCAGCGAAATCCTGCACCACCAATTTGGGATGGTTGAAACCCTATAGATAATGGGATTTTGCCCATTTATCAAGTGGTGATTGGATTTCGCAACCATCCACAGTTGTTGCTCGTAGCTGGTTGTCTCTACCGCTGTCACACAGCACTAAAGTCAAAGGCGGAAAAAATCCACAGTTGTTGCACGTGCACTTCAGCACTTATCGAGTCACTGAATTGCTGGGTTTTCTTTTCTTTCGGCCTGGATTTGATTGTTTTTGAAGCCAGGATTTAAGTATAGCATTTAAGTGGTTCTTTTTTTTTAGAGGTACCACATTTCATGGCAATCTGGGGATATGTGAGTATTACTGGTTTACTTAACTTAAGTTTTATTAATGCGTTTAACTTGCAGATTATTTCATGTCTGAGCGATACCCATTGGCCGTGCTTACGCATGTTGGAACAATGATGAAGCGAAAGGGGAGTTCACTGAAGTTTAGAGGATGCCATTGAAGGCTTTTCACACCCCCAACATGGCATCATTACACAGTGGGGCGGGCCCCCAAACGATAGCTAAGTTGGTCAATAATTCTGATAACTATATGCTTTATAAAGTACTTATGACTGTAGTTACTGTTTTTTTTACCAACGTTCACAGAAAACGTGGCTGGGTGGCCCAACATTGGATTCGAATGGGATGAATATCGCCGGAGTTGTGGCTTCCTCCTATGAAATCATACAATTCCCTAGCCAAGCGTCTGTTTGATTAGTGGATGGTCTACCGTCATCACCCCCAACAGTTAAGGCCCGTTACGTTATACCAGTTATAAGTACAACAAGAAAACCCCATCAGAATAGACTGCTGTTAATCCCATAGAAATCACCGGTTTGTTCACTAATAGCCATGGCCATAACTGCAATTTGTTGGTTTTATATCATGAATACCTCGTGGTTGGTGAAATCCCCCGTTGGCTCAATATGTTAAAATCCATTGCTTTATTGGGCGGGTAGATCCGACATGATCCACCATGTTTTGCTGATTGCACTTATGGCCATGGCTATTATTAGTGAACTAACTAGTGATTTGTATGGGATTATACAATAGTATACATTCTATTTTGATGGGATTTTCTATTCGTACTTATAGCTGGTATAACGTAACGGGCCTTAACTGTAGAACTATCTATTATTTCTTATAAATGGGGTTATAAGTACTTATAACTGGGTTTTCTTAGTACTTTCCACCATGTTTTGCTGATTAGGTCCAAGTATTTTCTTTCTGACATTCACTCTTATCTTTGGTGAAGTCCCTTCTTTGTTGGTTGATTAGATCCTTGTTGTTGGTTGTTTGTGAAATATCCTTTTTTGGGAGGTCGGATTCAATTTTTAATGTTTAATTTAATTTGCATCTATGGACATGGAACTGTTAAAACAATGTTAATCAAAATAAACATGGTCATATTGTTGTTTTCCTTTTCTCTGCGAAATTGAACCTGTGAAACATCGTAAAATTCTCCAGCTCTGCTGGTTCATTCCCGATGATGATCGATGAACCAAACAGCACACCTTTGATGTTGTTTGGTGAAAGCAGCATTTTATCAAATGTAGATTTCTTTAAATGGTGTTACCCAAACGGATGGTTTATCATGGACCGTCCTATTAAAATTGATGATTGGTGGTACTCCTCATTTTAGCAAACCCCAGATATAGTTAACATTAAATCACCCATTACATTGCCATTCTTGAGCCGATTTAATCCCCTCTAATTTTAGGGTGGTGAAATTCATTGAAATTCCGAATTTGGCCAACTCAATCCTAATCATCTATACAGTTATCGTACTTATAAGGCAGTAAGTCACTCCATTTATATCCATTTTTTGAATAATAACCACATTTATAACATTTTATAACCATCTATTTCTGGTAAATCGCCTTCATTGTATGAAATTCATTAAACCTATTTAACTGGATGAACATACGCACACAAATACACTAAGCCCTGTTGTTGAAAGACTATATGGGAGTAGAGTGTACACTAAGCAATAAACATATACACACATTATATTGGGTGATGCTCACAACTCACAAAATTATTTGAATTCGTTTCTTGACCACACTTAAAACCCTTTCCAAGTTGTAGATTGTGCTTTCTTTTTTAAAGAAGTTATCATTCCATAAATGGAGTTAGAACATTTGTCTGGTAAAGGGCTATAATTGCAGGCAGTTCTCACAAAGCAGGGTCCCCAAACGATAGCAAAGTTGGTGCAAATTAACATCAAATAACTATAACTAGGTGAAATTCATGGTTTATGCTACTTATAACATCTAAAGTATCATCTAAAATAACGAGTCGTAGTTTTATCGGATGTCAATTTTGGGTGAACCATGCAGTTAAGGCCCGAGTTATACCAGTTATAAGGACTAACAAAACCCCATTTATAGAATGTTTTTTATCCCATAGAAATAACAAGTTAGTTCACTAATAGCCATGGCCGTAACTGTGGGTTTCACCAAACGGTACCCTCTGGTAAACTAACATAACTATGGAAAATTACCATTTTAATGGGAAAACTCACTATTTCTATGGCCATTTTCAATAGCAAACTGTTAGTTTACCAAAGGGTAAACCAAACACATCAGGCCCCGGCGACCCGGCGATCGCGCCGCCGAGGTTTCGCAGCTGTTGGCGCTCCAAGCGCTGCCCTTTCGGCCCAAAGTGGTGGCCACATCGGGCGCCGCTGCGCAGGATGGGGGGGCCCTGGGGGTGGCCTGAAAAAAGTGGCTGAATTCTATGGTAAATGGGGATTGAACTGAGAAAAAACTCAGAAAACATTGTGATTTTTGATATGGGATTTTTTTAATCGCTGATTGTTGATAGATAAGTTGGGGTTCACATAACTCCAATAACTTTGGTTTCTGATACTTATAACGAACTAGTTACTGGGGATTATAAACCAACGTTGACATCACTGGGAGGCACCATCCTGCGGGTTTGTTTCTTGAAATCATGGGGATTCTTGGTGGCGAACTACCCACTTAGTCGTCGTGGGCTCGTGGGTTAGTTCACCCCAGAGATAAGTGGATGAACCCTCAATCACTGGGGTGAACTAACCCACGAGCCCACGACGAGCCGTGGGTAGTTCGCCACCAAGTCATGATGATCATAGCCTTCCAAATTTTATCGGATTTTCAATGGGATTGAATGGAACTATGCAGGATTTGCTGAGTTCTGCAAGCAAATCCACGGCATGGTCATGGATCGGTAGGTGAGGCCCCAAAGTGAGATGTTTATTGGAACCCCATTAATACATACAGGTAAGGCCCGAAATACCAGAAATGAATGGTTATAAATTGTTTTACATTGGGTTATTATTCCACAAATGGGGTGACTTACTGACTGAAAAAACAGGTATATTTTGGGCCATAACTGTACCAATACTATAATTTATATAATTCCTAATCATAGATAACCACTAGTTGGTGGTTTAGTACATTTCTTCTTGCTGCGAATGGAATTTTGATGAGCACTTTTGTGGCATGATATATATGTAAAGCCCTCAAGTCAGGTTGTCTTCATTTTATCTAAGATTGGCAACACGGCTTAGTCAATGTGCGCGACAAAGTATGAACAAGGCAGGGTATCTAAGATTGCTGATGCTGCTTCATCAACTCATATTGGATCGTGAACGATAAAATATTGACAACAACATAATCAGCATTTCTTAGGGCACAAAACACAATTAATCATCAACAAAAGTACTTAAAAGTGTGGATGTAGCAATAGAAAAAATACTTTACTTCGTGTGATCCCCACCATGACATTTATACATTTTGTTACTGGCAAATCTTCTGGCATTCTATCTGACATTTTATCTGGCATTCTATCTGGCATACCTTCTGCATTCTATTTGGCATATCTTCTGGCATATCTTCTGGCATTCTATCTGGCATATCTTCTGGCATATTATTTGGCGAATCTTCTGGCATTCTATCTGGCAAACATTCTGGCACTTTATCTGGCATACCTTCTGGCATTCTATCTGGCATATCTTCTGGCATTCTACCTGGCATATCTTCTGGCATATGTTCTGGCATTCTATCTGGCATTCTATCTGGCATATCTTCTGGCATTCTATCTGGCATATCTTATGGCATATTATCTGGCAAATCTTCTGGCATTCTATCTGGCAAACATTCTGGCACTTTACCTGGCATATCTTCTGGCATTCTATCTGACATTTTATCTGGCATTCTATCTGGCATACCTTCTGGCATTCTATCTGGCATATCTTCTGGCATTCTATCCTACATTCCATCTGGCATATCTTCTGGCATTCTATCTGGCCGTTGAGGTCCAGCGGTGCACACTGAGCTGGGCAGGTCCCCGGTTGAGGTCCAGCGGTGCACACTGAGCTGGGCAGCTCGCAGGTTGAGGTCCAGCAGTGCACACTGAGCTGGGCAGCTCGCAGGTTGACGTCCAGCGGTGCACACTGAGCTGGGCAGCTCGCAGGTTGAGGTCCAGCGGTGCACACTGAGCTGGGCAGCTGGCAGGTTGACGTCCAGCGGTGCACACTGAGCTGGGAAGTTGGCGAAGAGCTTGGCGACGAGTTGGCAAGGTTGGGAAGGCGGAAGTGGAGGTGGAGCAAGGCGGAAGTGGAGGTGGAAGAGGCGGAGGCGAGGAGGAGGGCGAGGAGGAGGGCGAGGAGGACAGCTAGTCGCGGGCATGCGCTCTGATAAAATCTAACAACCCTCACCTGGCAGGTGGGGAACAACACTTGGTTTCAAACAGCCGTGACTTCCCAAGCCTCCCAGCGGTGGGGGCTGGCCATGCAAATCTTGGGTAGGTGTGGCCAGTACTTTTTGTAGGAATGTTTCCTGTTGACTTCGCAGCCATGGACAGGGGCACCACCTTCCACATCGTGGCCAAAGTGATTTTCTTTGACTCATCTCATGAAGCCCATGTGTTGCAAGAATGTGCAACAGGACGTAGGTTTGGATACAAAGGGTTACTGGAACTTGGTTACCATAACCATACTCTGTTGAATGCAGTTTTCCTGAAGCAGTACCCCTTCCCGAAAGTTGCAGCAGATGGCCACACGAAGGTCCTCAATCACGAGGTTCCATCGTGGCACTCTCTGAAGAATGTCATCGACGTTTGTTCAGGAATTGGAGCTCTTTCAGAAGGAGTTCTGGCTGCCGGCTTTGATCCGATCCTCTCAGTTGATGTCATCCTAAGATGACTGACTTATGTGCGGGTACAGCATCATGGGACTGTATCACCTGTGACATTGGTGACAATGAAACTGCTCATGAAATCTGGACCAAAGCGAGGTATGCAAAGACCATGACGGCTGGTTTTAGTTGTCAACCTTTTTCCAAGCTTGGAGATGGCCTGGGTAGGAATGACCCACGATCGAGCTGTCTTACCAAGGTTTTGCAGGCGGCTCACCTCCTTCAGACACAGATCCTGGTTCTCGAGTGTGTGCTCCCTGCAGCATCCAATGAGTTTGTTCAGAGTGAAATCAAGAAATTTCAGCAGCTGACAGGATTTAACTGCAAACAGATCAATTTGAAACTGCAAGACATCTGGCCTACGAGAAGGGATAGGGCTTGGTGGATCCTTTCATCGCCTGCTCTTTCCCCAATTGATGCTAAGAGTTGGACTGAGTTGCCAGAACTGCCTGCGGTTGAATGCGTGATCCCCAAAATTTTTCCTTGGGACCCCAAAGATGAGACTGCTTTACAACTGGATGATATTGAAGCCTCTGCTTTTGGTTTGAATGACGATACTTTCCATAAAACATAGTATTATTGCTTTGGTTTTCATGGCCATTTTAACATGACCGAATACTAAAAGTAAAAGGACACAATTGAAAACAAATACAGCAATAATTATGGGTCAGCCGGTTTTTTTCAATTATTGAGATGGTTTTACTAATCGGATCTTAAGATTGCTTGGTGTTTACCCCTGCTAGTGAATGGGTTGTAGCCTCAGCTATGAGTATGCTGAATAGGGTCGGTTCACTTACAAACTGGGCTTAACTAACCCACTTACCAACTCGTTTAATTCTCTTTGTTTAATGTTAAATCCCAAGTTTTAGTGGTTTCTCAGAACCATGTGGTGCTGGGTAAGTACAAGTGGGCCTCCCCAGTTATAAGTTGGATTTTAATCCCCATTAACTAGATATGACCCCTATAAACCAACCGTAGATCCGTAGCTACTGCAGTTATAACCTAACTTAGCCAACTATGGGGCACCATCCTGAAATAACCACCTTGGTGTAGGAGAAAAAACTGTGCTTGGCGGCGTCTTTGTTGCTGGATGCTTGCCATCAGTTGACTCGATGCACATCGGAGCCTCGGCAGGTTCAACCGTGCCCAAGAACCCTCCAAATTTGGAGTTGTTTAACATGTTTTGATGAGTTTGCCACATTATGGCATACATGGAGGATGAATATCCACATATTCTACCAGCTATCTTGGGTCAGGCTACCAGGGCTATGGCCATGGCTATTAGTTATCACTGGCTATTTTTTTGGGATTATACAGTCATTCTATTTTGATGGGGTTTTCTTAGTACTTATAACTGGTATAACTCGGGCCTAAAAAACAGCATCCTATAGCTAGCCATTCACCTAAGACATTTCGTGGTAATGTACACCTCATCAAAAGTACTAAGAAAACCCCATCAAAATAGAATGTCTGTATAATCCCATAGAAATAGCCAGTGATAACTAATAGCCATGGCCATAACTGTGGGCCATAGGCTATAATCTATTGAAAATAATCACAAGCTGGCCGCCGCTGGTTTCGGTGGAGATCATCTTGCAGATCCTGTTTTTAGAGAGTGGTGGATCATTCTGTAGCAATCTAGGGTGGGTGAGAATCAAGAATGTAGCTGTAAATTATACAGCGAAGGCCCTTCAACAATTATAAATGGTTATAGTCGGTAATTAATGTGGTTGTTCCATAAATGGGGTAATAGCTGACTTATGAATTGTTAAGGACAGTATATAACTATATGATACTATATGGACATGCTTTTTGCTGAAGATTTTGTTCGATAATGTTGTTGATGTCATTCCAATATCCCACAATGTGGGGCCCCCAAACGTTATAAGTTGGTTTATAAGCCCCAATAACTAGTTCGTGATTTGCGTACCATTCAAACCAGTCCGTGAAATTGGAGTGATGTGAACCCCAATTTAGCTATCAAGAATCAGCGATTAAAATCCCATGAAATCACAGTTTTTGCTGAGTTCCATCCCCATTTTCCATATGGTTTCTACAGTTAAGGCCCGAAATACCAGTTATAAGTACTAACAGAACCCCATCGAAATAGAATGTCTTTTATCCCATAGAAATAGGCAGTTAGTTCACTAATAGCCATGGCCATAACCCTGGTAGCCTGACCCAAGATAGCTGGTAGAATATGTGGAGATTCATCCTCCATGTATGCCATAGTGTGGCAAAGTCATTAAAACATTGCCATTCATAGAAATGATAGTGATCTTCCATAATCCATCACCTTATTATAGAAATTATGATGATTATGGATGAGCCACAACCATATAAACATAACATTATCGAACAAAATTATATATCTTAATTATAACCTGATAATGATGATCGATTATTGCTGAGGATTTATTGCTGATTATATAATTTCACTAATAGCCATGGCCATAACTCTTAGCCATTCATAGGGGGCCCCACTATCCCAAAAGGGCCTTTGACTTCGATGTGGTCCCGGGCCTGAGGAACCTTGCGCAGCCTTGTTGCTGGACGCGAGGGACGGAGAAGGTTTAGACTCACCGCTACAATGTGGTGGCCCCCATAGGACAAATCATAGGGAAAATCATAGGAAAATGGGGATTTCATGGGATTTATAGATGATTTATGATGGCGAAGTTGGTGAACATAACTATAATAACTAAGACTTATGGTAGATATATCGAACTAGTTAATGGGATTATAAACAAACTTATAACTGGAGGACACCACCTTGTACAATGAGCGTTAAAGATGTCAATGAAGGTACCCCCTTAACTCCTCCAAAACTATGGATTATGTTGGTATTGAAACCGTTTGAAACCCCATGCTGACTTGGGGATCCCCCATTTAAGAACCCCTCTGTGAAGTTTGCCTGCAGTAACATAATAAACAATATCAGAGTTACACGACCTCTGAAATACCTGGTAAGATTGGCAAAATGACACGTGCAGCATAAAGTCATCTGGTTGGTGGTTTGGAACATTGTCTATTTTTCCATATATTGGGAATAATAATCTTCATCATCCCAACTGACGAACTCCATCATTTTTCAGAGGGGTAGGTATACCACTAGTCCTAGTCATGGTTGCTTGGTGGTTTCAAATATGTGTTGGTTGATGTTCGAAGCTTATTTGCTGATGGTCCCCACTTTCCGTTTTTTCCTTGGGTGGCGGAACCCGGAACCACAAAGCACGTGATTACTGTAGCTATGTTTCTTGCATTTTGTTGGTTTATAAATCCCATGAATACCTACAAGGTGGGGCCCCCCAGTGATGTGAACGTTGGTTTATAATTCCCAGCAACTAGTTCGTTATAAGTACCATAAACCATTGTGAAATTGGAGTTATGTTCACCAACTTAGCTATCGTAAACGGGGGTCCCGCTTTGTAGAGTAGTTATCAATAGTTGAGCTACTTATAACCAACTTAGCTATCGTAAACGGGGGCCTAGCCTTGTAGGGACTTGGCCCTTCTCAGTGCCTCAGTGCAGGGTCAAGAGCGACACTGTTCAGTAAAATACAGGGCAAATATGTGACTTTTTCCCGAAACCAATTTAGGGAGCTGGAATCTGATGTGAAACACGTTCAAAGCTGGATGCTGGTTTGATTGGTGACTGGATCGTTGGTAACTCTTTGCCCGTTTGAATGTGAGATTTCAGATTGTTCGGCTACGGTTATGGCCCGAAATACCAGTGACAGGTCGGTAAGTCATGCCATTCATGGAATGATAATCCCATCGAAATAAGCATAGAAACAACTGGTATTTCGGGCTGGTTTTAACTGTAGGTTGTTGAGGATCATACCTTTGTCATTGATTGAGTCGGATAGCATTCATAGAGGCTTGGTCGAACACGGAATTTCCCAAGTGGCCCCTTGGGTCCAAAGTGTCAAGAAATTTCCCCCTGATGAGTGGCATGGGTGTGGGTTTTTTGACCCTCTACCCCTGGTTAAGGTCAAGATATATCAACACATGGAGGCCTACGTATTAGATTTTTTGATCTATCCTCACCATGTTTGAAAAACAGCTTCGCCAGAATCCAGGTTGTTTTTCGTGGGTGTGCATTCCACATGGAGGTTTCCTAACATGGTGGTACCACCGAAATCATCCATTCTAATATGACTTTTCCCATATAAACCATTCATTTTGAGGTGCCCTCACTTATGGAAGCCCAATGAAACCCACATATCTGCTGCCACTTTTGAGCACGCCACTCCGATTTTTTTTTTCGAGGCAATGCCTGGAGGAAAGCTGTTGTTTTTGCGCAAAAAAACGGGACTCCGTCGTAAAATCTGCTTGGTGGTTTGGAACCATGGAATTTTATGCATTTCCATCTATTGGGAATGTCATCATCCCAACTGACGAACTCCATTATTTTTCAGAGGGGTAGGTATACCACCAATTAGACATGGTACAACTTCCCATCATCCAATTCCGGACGCACATTGCTCTGAGGTTTTACGAATCTTCGGCCAACATTCGATCTGCCGAGAGTTTCTTGCGTTTTTTTGCTAGGGGGCTGGGGGTTTGCACGAGCCTCATTAGGATGAAGCCTGATTAGGAGTCCACATTGAATTTCTTGGGTCGAAGGGTTTGAATGTTCCCATTGGTTGATACACCATAAAAAAAAAAACTATACATACAATGTGAGGCCCCCCAGTGATGTGAACGTTGGTTTAGATTCGCCCCAGCAACTATAGCTATAAATGCCATAAACCATAGTGAAATTTGACTTATAAACCAACTTAGCTATCTTGGGGGCCTCACATTGTAACTAATCATAAATAGATCCTCCAGATCCCTCCAGATCGTGGCTGGGAAATCCCCTGAAACCTTTGCGATTGGAGGAGGTGAAAATCCTCTCTGGGAAAATCATCAAACTCGGTGATTGATGAACAGCCAGGTGCAATGGAAACACTATCTCTTGACTGTATATACTGCTTGTACCGACTTACTTGTACATTCCAATTGTGTCTTCCCCACGGAAACCTAGTGAGTATGCACTTGACTATCCAAATCTTTCCTAAGAAAGTACATGGTTTAGATCTACGAGGAAGGCATGATGGTTGTTTTCTCATCTCTACTTGGAAGTGCAATTCCAGTTATGAGATGTTATAAGAAATAAGTAGATATATCTCGCCATCATGATAGCAGTCCGTATCCCAACTTATGGAGGTTACAACGCCATGGTTACATACCCCATAAGAAGGGTTGGTGCCTCGTCTGTACACGAGTCAAAGTTGCGTGCGCAGATGAGCCAGAAATGTTCTGCGATAAAACCATGTGTGCGCAGACGAGGCAGTCTTGTGTGCGCAGATGAGTTAGTTGCTTACCCATAAGAAGGAACCCCGGCTGCGTTCCCAAGTAGCTTATATCTCCCATTGTACTGCCATGAATACCTTTTTAAATCCCTTCAAAGATCACATTTTTTGGGGGTTAACTGCGCCCCTCAAGTCCATGTGCTCGCCCTTTGGATCGTTGAAAGGGGTGCTATTCATGGGACTCAGCCATGTCTTCTTGGAAGTTTTAGACAGTCGAGGCCCTTTACCAGTTATACATGGTTATATAATGTTATATATGGTTGCCATTGTAGTTACTATTGGGTAATGTGGTTATAGCCTTATAGCTGACTTATTCGGGCCACAACTGTAGGGTCTAAAGGAGTATCGAAGATATGGGGTGACAGATGATGTTTGGTTGATGACTACAGTTAAGGCCCTTTACCAGTTATAAGTACTTATAACCCCATTTATAGAATGTATAATCCCATTTATAACCAGTTATAACTAGTTATAACTAATAAATGGCCATAACTGTATAGGTTTCAACGGAATGCTATTTCTCCTTGTTTTGAACACTGCTCAGTTGCCTTTTCGCCATCGGTTTTCACAAATGGCGCGATGGCGGTACCCCAAAATGGTTGGTTTATAATGGAAAACACACTTGTAAATGGATGATAACTAAGGGTACCCCATTTTAGGAAACCTCATCAGTAATTGCTCTTTTCCAGTTGTACGTCAGTTATAACCCAATTATGGAACAATAACCCCATGAATAACAATTTCCAACAATTCATAACTGGTATATCGGGCCTTAAATGCAATTATTTACAGCTATGGCCATTTATTAATTATATCTGGTTATAAATGGGATTATACATTCTATAAATGGGGTTTTGTTTGTACTTTTAAAGAATGGTACGGCATTAGGGATGTTGGATCCTACTGTTTTACCCACATTTTAATCACTATAACCATTATAACCCACTATTAAAAATCATTTAACCGTTGTTTACTGGGCCAGCCTTTGTTAGAGATTTTAGTACTTTAATCTTTTGCTATCAATGGTTAAATTAGTCATAATCAGCTACACAATATATTTTTTGCGGCAGGTATTCCAGATTCAGCAGGATCATGTTGGTAAAAACTAATGATAACAGTTAAGGCCCTTTACCAGTTATAAGTACTTATAACCCCATTTATAGAATGTATAATCCCATAAAAATAACCAGTTATAACTAATAAATGGCCATAACTGTAATGATATGATAACCATCTGCAAATTTACCAGCGTAAAAAAATATGTTTCATGGATGGGACAAAAACCATCAATCCTTTCGGGTGGTTTATGTTTTTGCAGTAAACTAACATACCCGGCCTGGTAAACATACAAAAAACGCTGGAAAGATTCACCATGCTATTAATAGGTAAATCAACTATTTCTATGGCAATGTTCAATAGCTTTTTGTATGTTTACCAGAGGGTAAATGTCTTAGGGAGGAAGATGGCAGCCTTGGTCCGTTGGTCCTACTCAGTTCTTTTCAGGAAGATCTGAGGGAAGATGATGGTCGCGTTTTTGGTGGACGATAGTCCCAATGTACAGTTCTGGCCTGAGAACCAAGTAAAAAAATCAGTGAAATAACACAATGTATGGATTTATGGAATGATAACCCATAGCAATATTCATTTATAACCTTTTATAACTGGTATTTCGGGCCTTAACTGTGGTGGAGGCATACCCTTTGGTTATTTAACAGTTTGCTATGGAAGCCATGGCCAATGTATAGGTGATAAACATGAGAATTTCCCTGTCCAACGATTTTATAATTCCTACAGCTACGTTAAATAACTAGAGGGTATTTGGCACACACATCTTTAAAGTATTTGAAGGATTCTTAAATAACAGATCACTGGTGATGGTTTATGGGTCTTCCCTTTAGATCTTGGGGCATCCCAGCAAGTCTCTTTGCGGATTTTGTTTTTCAGGGATTCTGCAGTCCCCGCATTGAACAGAAATACAACTGATTGGTTGTAATTTGAAACGATTTCATCAGGGTAGAATTTCCCATGGGTTCCCAGTTGTCAAATTCCGGCACGTATGGATTCATATGGTAGTATGGAAGTCTGAGTGCATGTGAACAGTGCGTGGCAGGCGCAGTACTTTAGACATACATCAAAATTTCGTGGCAGGCGCAGCATCTGCGTTGCACGATGTTGCCGGTCTTATCTGTAGGAAGAAAAGGAAGACGAGGATTGCAATGCTGACACGCGGCGTAGCGGCGCAATGTTGTGACAACACGACCTTCAAAGCCAGGGCTGCGAGAAGCGAGCATTGGACCAGGGCCTTGATGGGCGACGACGGACGGGCGCTTCTGGGGGGCTATACTAAATTGCAACGGCCGAGCATTCGTCAAAGAAAAACGCACCATACATGGTCCAGGTAGATCTGATAGATCTGGCGCTGGCAGTGGTTGGACTGTTTCTTTTGTAAGTCCTCCATCATTTCTTTTGTCATTTGTTGATGTTCACCCGCAATAAGTCGCCTTTTTTGGGCAGCCTCTAACTCTAACTGATTTGCACCTCTTTGGGCCCCGGTACCTTCAACCCTGTTGGCGCCAAGACGGCCAAGACAGACGCAGGAGTTGATTTGTTTTGCTGTTCAACGTCTGTGGTTCTTGGTGTTGGAAACTATACTTGATGATTTTCGCCCGTATACTTAATCACAAGCAAGGCAGGAAAGACATTTTACAGAAGGATGAGGTTTTGTGGCTTTACGTGTGTTACATGGATGTTTCGGGACAGAAACTGTAGCCGAATGTAGCCCCAAGTACGGAATTTTCTCCAGAACCACTCCCCTAACATGAAACACTCCCATGGTATGGTCCTAAAATGCTCCAAATATGTGTTTTTACCCCTTACTGTTTCTACCCCTTGCCAGGTTGTGTTTAACATCAGGTGGTTTCCCACTTAATTTCCAGGCAAATATCCATTCGTAGCTGACCACTTAATATCCGGTTAATATCCATTAGTAGCTGAAATCCCAGCTATTGTTGGCATATATTTCCAACATTATTTCCACATATCTCCACAAAGGGAGCGTTTCATATTCGGAATTTCCGTACGATGGAAATTTAGAGTGTTAGATTAGCCTATTCAAATACTTTGATTTGCCATATTTTTTTCTCTGGCAATGAAATATCAATTCCAGTCATACAACCCTTAAATTACCATAATAATTGTCATATCATATGATATCCCTTTTTTATCCCCACAAAAAAAAAAACTTTATAGTTATTTCATGATATCCCCATATGAAAAAAGACTGATTATGTTTCATCAATGGGCATTTCAGGAACCTAAATTGGAGGTACCTACCATATATAAGGCTTATATAAAGCCTATGTAAGGGAATATTCCCTCAAAATATGGCCTAAAATATGGTACAGTACCTCCATTTTAGGATCCTGAAGATCTCCCATTGATTTCACCAGGTTGCCATCCCTTTCGGGCAAAAAAAATCATCAGGTTTCTTAGGGGCCATCTTCCCCGAGACCTTTGCGGTGCACCTCACAGATTCCAGGTTCCACGTGGACCCAGGGGACGCTGTGGGGATGAGGATTTCATGGGGTTTTACTGCGCAATGTGGGCCCCCCCAGTTATGTGAATGTTGGTTTTAATTAAACCCAGTGTCACTGTAGTTTTTTGAGTACCATAAACCATAGTGAATGTTGATTTATACGACCCAGTTACTGTGAATGTTGGTTTATAAAACCTACAGTTAAGGCCCAAGTTATGCCAGTTAGAAGTACTTAGAAAACCCTATTTATAGAATGTATAATCCCATTTATAGCCAGTTATAACTAATACATGGCCATAACTGTAAGTACCATAAACCATAGTGAAATTGTAGTTATGTGAACCCCAACTTGTCGCGATTTCGTGGCCACGGGGGTCCCACTTTGCACAATTTGGCACCTGTTTACGATAGCTAAGTTGGTGAACATAACTCCCATGGTAAAAACGGAAATAGGAGTTACTACAAAAAGGGGCCCCACAACGATAGCTAAGTTGGTTTACAATTCCAATTTTTATGGTTTATAGTATTCATAACTGTAGTTTTTGGGGTGAATCTAAACCAACTTATAACTGGGGGGGTTCACATTGTTAGGATTTTATGTTTTTCCGTGTTTGGAAAAAATTGACAATTTTAAATTATGGGGACACATTGAAACGACATACCGTCTTGAAAATACTTTTCGGCACCTTGTTTGGGGGTAACAATACATGAACTTGTCCTCAAACTGTTGTTTGATTTCCCATTCACAAAGTGGTGCCCCCAAGATAGCTAAGTTGGTTTATAACTCTAATACTTCGGACTTATGGTAGATATATCTATAGTTAATGGGATTATAAACCAACTTATAACTGGGGGGGGCACCACCTTGCACCTGTTTTTGTTTATTGATTTAGTACTGAAACTGTGTGATTCGACCTATTTCGTTTGGGATGTGCTGATCAAAACTGCACGTTTTTTTTTTTAGGCTGCCGCTAATTGCCATAGATGTTTGCAAGGGTTACTAGGTCAATCTTAGATGGGTAGTTTCATTTTTTAGTCCCTTGGTATCAATGGGATGATCTACTAAGCAGCTAAGTTTTTTTTGCAGGAATCACAGATTGGCCATGGTTAATGTGAGATGTGAAGTTGCAGAGAATCAAATATGATGGTTGCCATGTTTTCATATCATGCTAGGTAGTTGGAACCATGATGGATCCATGTCCAACCTAAAACCACTATAGATGATTTATGCTGATTTGGTAATTTTACTGTGTTGGTACTTTTTCCATAGCCATGTTGGTAATTGTTCCATAGCTATGTTGGTAAAGCCAAATGGGCCAAATGGGCCAAATGTTCTTTCGTGTGTGGTTCACTGTGTTTCCAGCCACGAAAAACCTGATTTTTCCAGCCACAACGACCAGGCTCCGGGCTGAAGAGTGTTTTCCCTGACCTCGGGGTGTCCAAATAAGGGGTGACTTTCGCCGAAATATGTGTCTCTCTGTTGAATTAACAGATGTTTTGCGATGTTTTTGGGGATGATGCAGTCATATGGATTGTGTAGTTTCTGTTTAAGACACAATGCGATAAAAACAGTTATGTACATTATGTTCTTCAGTTTTCGCTGTTGTCTTTAATTTGGACACACGCTTAAACAGGTCAACAGCCGCCCAGCATTGCGTTTCTATGCTGTTCTCGTGTATGAAGCCATAGCAGGGGACGTCAACTCGTCAATATTGGTTCCACATGGTTCCATCTGAACAAGGTGAGCCTGTTTTCACGATAGCAAGGTGAACAAGTCTGCTATAAGTTGGCTTATAAATGGGTGAATTCTATCTGGTTGGTGGTTTCAAAGATGAATGGATTATTTTCCATAATTGATATATGGGATGGGATAATCCGTCCCATTGACGAACTCCATCATTTTTCAAGATTTTATATGCACCACCCACCAGCTATGGTTGGGCTAAGTCAAGTTGGTGCCATTTTTCTGCTGAATTTTATGGATGCAAGAAGTTGGTTCTTAGCCTCACCCGGAAGTATCCCACCTCGGTGACTGGGAAAAGGGTTGATGTTTTTGTTTGTTTGACATGGAAAACTGGATCAATATAGCTCTAAGTATCGTTAGATTTTTGGGAGTAACTTGATGAACATCAATTTACCAACTATGTTGATGTGGACAGAAGGGCTAAAGGGTTTTGACCCATGATCGTTTTTTATTCAAGTTTTTTCCTTTGCAGTTATATTTGGGCTGTCGCTGGCGGAACCCCAACCAGTGGAGATGGAAGAAGTATGAGCAAGTACATTGCAACTGGAATCATTGCCTGTTTTCCATCTTAGTGAGAATCATGCCTCTGACATTAGTGTAGTAGGTCGAAACCCCCCAAGCATACAGCAAGCCACGTTCTGTTTCTGCGCTTATAACTTATAACTTGTACATGTGGGGATTATGTCCCTATACTGCACTTGGCTTTATTGTTAAGTGGGTAGCTGGCATGAATTCGTTTGAAAACTGGATCTATGCTAAGATATGTCGAGATATCTTCAAGCAGTTGGGTTCGAAGAATGCCACTTTAGAACGATAAGCTGAGTGTGGAAAAGGGCCCGGCCGGAGCAAAGATCTCCGATCGCGTGGTGCCCATTGAATCGGAGCTGATACGCTGCGGCATGGCTGTCGTAGGCGTTCGTTGAGCTCTCAGAGCGTTCGTTCTGTCGCGCTGGTGAAAACGATTGCTCTTTGTTGCGAGTTGTCACATGTTTTTCTTTACTAAATCCAACTATATCCAACTACCATGAGTTGTTTTGCCAGTTTGTTTTTGTTAGAAAACTGGGTTGCTAATCACTACAGTGAAGAAACAATATGAAGGAATTCAATTTCAGTTTTAGGGCTTCAGCCCTACAAAAAATCGCTAAGAAAAAGCCCTACATCAATTCCAGTGGTTAAGAGGGAGCAGTTCGGAGCTAAGAGTATCCAGAAAAATCCGGCCTTAAAATGGGGAGCTGTTCCGAGCTACGCATAGAGTTTCCCATCCGTTATAATATAATGATAGTTATACAATCAATGATAGTATAATGATAGTTATAGTATAATGATTTTCTATACCATATGATAGTTAATGATAATTTTACGATTATACAACGCTTTTTATAATGTGTTTTCCATCGCTTTCATACCATCCAGGTCGAGTAGAGCTCGGTGGCAGGGAGCTTAACATGAGGCGTTTCGCACCTTGTAACTCCAGTAATCAATGACCATTTCAGGTACCGATTTATTGGAGGCACCTACCATATATAAGGCCTAAATTTCAGGGGATATGCCCAAAAAATATGGTTTTGTGGTTTTAATGTTTTAGATGGTACAGTACCTCCAGTTTAGGTACCTGAGATGGTAATTGAAGTTATAAAACTGGTTCAAAACCCCTGCTGGCTGATGATTAATGAGGGAAATCAATGAAAATTATCTATAAATGTGAGTCTTGATGGGAAAATCTTCTGAGCCTTGTTCAAAACTACTTTTGGTTGATTCTTCTATAGGGGACTGCTATCCAATATTATTTAATAGATTGGGAATTATCACAACCCATGAGCACGGTGTTTGCTCAACTGGTTGGTGCTTTGGAACATGTTTTTATGTATATTGGGAATAATCATCGAACTCATATTTTGCAGAGCGGTTGAAACCACCCAGTCAATTATTGAGGGTGAAATGTTGGGTAATGAATTGATTACGAAGTGGGATGCGCATCCAAAAGGGGCAGACCTACCATAGGATGATCGTGGTGACTACCAGGAGTATTTTCCACATTACTATTTGGTGGCGAGCTACCCACGGCTCGTAAGTGGCTTATAACACCAGTTACAAAAGGGATAAGTAGGGGTAATCCACTTAGAACTGGGGTTATAACCCACTTACTAAGCGGGATGAGCCACCAAGTACCTGCAAGCTGCACATGTTTTTGACTACTTGGAGGACCATCCCAGTTAATCACTGGTCAATTGGTCAATGACTGCGGTGATAAGTTCTCAATTCCTGGGCTTGTCTCACATAGAAGTGGTTTATAGCCCCAGTAACCTGCTGACTGATCCAAGGGATGATTCTCCAAGTGCATCGCAATGTGGGGCCCCCCAGTGATGTTTGTTGGTTTATGAACCCTAGTAGCTACAGTTTTAAGTACTATAAACCATAGTGAAATTGGAATTATATGAACTCCAACTTGTCGCGATTTCGTGGCCACGGGGGCCCCATGCACTTTGCAGTGTCACCGCCTTTGGCTTCAGCATGTGACGGCACGCGCACGCACCGGGCACGCGCACGCACCGGGCACGCGCCGCCGTCTCTCGGGCTGACTGGGAACATGTTGGCCATGGATCAACCTTGGATTTATTGATACCTTAATATTTTGCTATATGGAGGTTCCCTGAGATAGGGCTACCCCCAGTTATCATCCATTTTAATTAATGGGATTGTCCATTATAAACCATCCATTTTGGGGATACCCCCTTTATGGAAACCCCCATATAGATTGCTGCAGATTGGTATATTTACTATTATTTACTGACTGACCGCTAAAACACATTGAAATTAAATGCATCTAAGACTGGCCAAGCATTATTTTGTATTTTTCGGATAGACGCATATACAGTTGTCGTAGTCCTTTTATCTACTCAGGGGTTGAATGTCTTAGAGCCCTTATATGTGGTTTTGTTTTTGTTTTGATTCACATTATCTTTGGGTGGCCGTTTTTTGTGTTTTTTTACGGACAACTTTCCAATTGTGACAAGGTGGTGCTCCCCAGTTATCACTGCAACTATAGATAATTATACACCATAAAAACATACAGCAACCCATCAACTTTCGATACTAGTTGGTTATACTTGGTCTATAAATGTTCATAAACTACCCATTTAACTACAGATATATCTACCATTATCTACCATAAACGATGGACCATTTACCAACCACTCTTTTTTTTTCGGGGCAGCACCTTGTATGCCATGCTCAGCCTTGAGGCTATGAAGGATCTGCTGGTGGGTCATTCTGGCAGAACTTCTGCACCTGGCATGGTGAGTTTTTGTGGCTCTAGATCTGGGCCCTGGGCACGAAAATGGCATTCTAATCGGGAAAAAACCATTGGCACCAGGGGATTTATTGGAAAACCACATTTTTAGACAAACCCATCTCGTGTCTTTTTCGAGCTGGTGAATAAGGTTGAGTTTCAGGCATTTTGACGGAGGAATATGTATGAATATGTGATATTCAATGATATTCAGCCAAAAAAGCTGGCTAGTGGTTTCATGTTTTCGCCAGCGGACCGAAAACCGTGCACGTAAACGCACGTTTTTTGCTAGCGTGTGCTCTCGCAGGTCATGAAGGGGCGGGGTGGGGTGGGGTGGGTGGGGTGGACGGGGGCATTTGTTAACGTTCCTTGTGCTTCTTCCAGTACATGTTGCTACACGGCACAGATGTCTGTAGTGTTTGCTTCGCTGTATACATGAAGGGGTGGGGTGGGGTGGGTGTGGAGTGGAGGGGGCATTTGTTAACGTTCCTTGTGCTTCTTCCGCTACATGTTGCTATGCTGCACAGATGTCTGATAGTGTTGCTTCGCTGTATACATGAAGGGGTGGGGTGGGTGGGGGGGCATGTTAACGTTTCTTGTGCTTCTTCCGGTACATGTTGCTACGCTGCACAGATGTCTGGTAGTGTTGCTTCGCTGGATACATGAAGGGGTGGGGTGGGGGGGAGGGGGGAATATCAGTTGCCACACTGGAACAATCGATGCCGCATGCTGTGCTGTCAAAGACTTGATCCCCAAATCATTGTGTTCAAAGAGCAAAGATCTTCTCCTCGATGTGAAGTGCTGGCAGTGGAGATATGTGAATCTGTACACCCATCTCCAGCAAAAAACAATTTCAACGCTGAAGCGCCTGCTTTGAAAAGAAATCAGGAAAAAAACTTGTCAACATGCCCCAACGAAATCCAAACCCCACACGAAGCGTGAAGTTTGCCAAATTCTCGCGCGAGAATTTGGCACAATTTGGCTTGCAGATATGTTTGTTTCGCTGTGGCGAAAATGTTTCGTTTAGAAAAACGTTGTTTTTACAAGCACGGTTTCCGGTCCGGATGTTTTTGCCGGTCCATATTTGGATGGTTATCATCTCCAATGACTTTCATATGTGGGTGGGTTGAAACCACCAACCACTAAATCGGGATGATAAAACCACTGGTGAACGGCGAAGGTTGAGGTATTCCGGATGATATTAGTATATATTAGTGAAATCCAGCTGTAACACATCGTTTCTTGGAAGAGTCCCTAAAGATAAGTATGCCGTACAATGTCGATGATCAAATCTCCCGAATCTTTTTAACGATGTGTTCATCGGTGAGGTTTAAAGTTCACCACTGAGCCCAGGATGGGAAGGGGTGTGGACAAGAGGACATCATAGGACCTATCTTTTTGTGCCGTGTTTTCTGAAACGATGGGATCAGTAAAATTGGATGGTTTAATGCTGAGCGGTGACAACTTTGAATGATTTTGGCCCTTCCCCAGCTTAAGAAACTAACATATTTGGTAAGAGCAAGGCAGAACCATCGGCGCCGGCCAGGCATCTTTGATGGGAAGATTCCTCCTGAGTTATTGAAGCCGTCCATTGGAAACGCTCCTTGATGCGTGTGGACGGTTGGCACCACTTCCTGTGTCAAAGGTTTCCTGATTCAATGTATGCAAATGCTATTTTTCTCAAGCTAGGGATCAAGATAAATTCTAACTTGGTGTTTGATTCGCACATGGGAACTCTGCGTTTGGAGGCGTTTCTTCAAAATGCGGGGATGCCAAAAACCAACCATTTGATGGCGTAATTTAGTAGGGGTATCATTTATGTTCGGGGGTCAAAGCTTGGAGCAAGAAACCAAATTTGTCTATTTCAATAGGGAAGCCAGTGTTTCTTCGCTTCCCCATTTTGAGAAAAACATAGAAAAACCAATATGGGTTCGGCTGAAAGCATGGCACCCAAAAAATCTTTTGGTTGAGAACAACATCTCCTTATATGTCAGCCTTCTACAAAGTAGCAAGATTTTGGGATGATTTCCATAGGTTCCCCACTGGCTAACGAACCCAACCTTTTGTTATGGCTTCCAGATTCAAGGGATTGTCGTCTTCAACTGCTTGGCCTGAAAGACTTGGTTCTTGACATCGCACGGGCAGAGTTCCATGTGGTTTGGTTGACTATCATCATTGGTTGAGCATCTGACTAAGGCGCCAAGAACCAACAGAATGCCCTGGAGGATGATGAACTGTAAATGGGAAGCGTCCTATTTCCGAAAATGGCGGTACCTTCTTGTTTGAGCTCAGCAGCCAAGACGCAGAAATGGCAGCAGCGGCGAAGGCACATCCAGATGTTGTTCCTCAATCAGGCTCCAACGTGCCTGATGAAGCTGAATGTGAAGAGCTTCTTGCATGGGGCGAAATTTGGGCAGGCGCTGAATGGACTTGCTTGGCCTGGTGCCTTTCAACTCTTATTTGGTCTAGTCTTGTGATTTTATCCATTGTAGATTCTAGATTCTAGATTCTAGATCCTTTCATGCCTTGATCACCGCAGATCTCCTTCCCTCCAGCCTCTCATTGTAACTCAAGTCAGATTCTCTATACAGTACTTGGAGGTGCAGTTCCACTAGTAAGTGGCGTATATAACCATAGTTGTAGGGATTAGTTCGGGTGGTATAAGCATGGTTAAACCCATAAAAGTCATCCCCGGTCTGCACCCCCAAGTACGTGAAACAAATCTCAGTATCCTCCAATTCTATATCCTTTGAAATTCCATGAAAAACATTGTTAAAATTTTTTTGAACCCCATGAAATCACATGAAATCCCATTAAGTCACCATTAAGTTAAGTCACCATTTTTCTTAAGGGATCTCCACGGCCCCACGGATATCCACCTTGGGAATGCCATGAGTCGTCACCACCGTTGCACCGGCCGTGGGCCGATCGCTGAGATCCAGCCGAGCTTCGTCGACTATGACGAATCTGGAGACTCGACTTCCGGGGTGCTGAAAACCCCCATGGATTTACATGGGTTAAGTCTTAAGTAGGGTTAATCGACGTATCGAAGGAAGTTTAGAAGTCAAACTTCCGACAACATACAGATGGAAAAGCAGAGGTGGGAAGAGTCAGACAAGAGAGGAGCAGAAGAGAGAATATCAGAGCAGAGAAAGAGTGAGAAGAAAGAAGATGCAGGCGCGCGAAAAGGTAGCAAAGTCGCGAAGCACTGTGTTTTTGCAATATTTTGTGGCTCCGGAAGGTCGAAAAGTAGGCTCGCTAAAGCGGCGGGTGCGGAGCCATGTGGCCAGATGAGAGATAAAAAATTGCACGCCGTTGTGGCGTGAAGCACAGTTGGAAGTCAAAATGTACAAAACACTACACGTTCAGAGCACTTTTGGAAGTTGAGATGTTGAAAGAGTGCACAATGTTGTGGCGCGAAGCACATTTCCAAGTCAAAATGTAGAAAGCACTCCACGTTCTTTGCGCTTTTGGAAGTTGCGATGCTGGTTCCGTGCACGACGTCGTGGCGCGAAGCACATTTCGAAGTCAAAATGTTAAAAACACACCACGTTCAGAGCACTTTTGGAAGTTGAGATGTTCAAAAAGTGTATGCGGTTTGTGCCGCAAAGCACATCTCCAAGTTAAAAACTGAGGGGTACACTTTTGGACGTTCAGATGTTGTTTCGCGTGGCCAGCGCAAGGGATTGTGCACCATGTCAAAAGTGAGCAAAACGTAAGGGGTTTTGTAGCATTCGCAGCTACAACCACCACTACACTACTCTATACACTCCACCACACTACACTACAACTACAACTACGACTAAAGCTCAAACTACAACTACAACTACACTACATTACACTGCACTACACTGCACTAATTACATTACACTACACTCCACTACACTACACTACACTACAACTACAGCAACAACTACAACTACAACTGCAACTGCAACTACAACTCCACTACACTAATTACACTACACTACACTACACTCCACTTCACTCCACTCCACTCCACTCCACTACGCTACACTACACTAACTACAACTACAGCTACAACTACACCCCACTTCACTACACTACACTCAATTACCATACACTCCACTACAGCACACTACAACTACAACTACACTACTCTACGCTAATTACATTTTACTACACTACACCACACTACACTACACTACACTACACTACACTATATTACCCTATACTACACTACACTTCACTACACGACACGACACGAGACGACACGACACGACACGACACTACACACACTAACTACAACTTCAACGACAACTACAACTACAACTAAAAGTACACTACATTACACTACACTACGCTACACCACACTACACTAGACTAGACTAGACCACACCACAGCACGCAACACTACAGCACACTACACTACCTTACACTACATTACATTGCACTACACTCATTACACCACACCACAACTACAACTAGAACTGCAACTGCACCACGCTAACTACACAACAACTACAGCTACAGCTGCACTACACCACACTACATCCAGCAGTTGTGGGTGCGGTGGCCGCTGCAACCACTGCAACCACTCCAAAAAACACAACTCCAGCCACCTTTCGGTCCATCAGTGGATTCGCTCTGCCATCCGTGATTCACAACAAATCACCTCTCCTATGGTTTTCCTATTTTTGAAACTTCCGCCACCGCCTTGTGCGGTACTACTGGTAACTGAGGTGAACTAACCCACTTACTAAGCGGGATGAGCCACCAAGCACATGTTTAATTATCAGATATCATATGGTCAATTTTATCAATGGGAACGTATAATGGAGGTTTAGATATTTGGTGGAATAGTAAAAACCATATGTTTGAACCATGGTTAACCATAGTACTGTTTAAGCATGTTTATATCCAGTTGACAGTAAGCATGATAAGTATGTAATATTTTGCAGTATTAACATTAGTAATGGATATTGATCATACTATGGTGAATAATTATGCTTGTGATTAACATTCTTACCATCAAGAACTATATGTTAACCATGGGATAACAATCATGAGTAGCATTAACCAATGAAAATTCTCCAACAATATGGGAATGTGATTTTAATGGGATGGACCCTATAAATTTATGTGTTGTCGTGGTTTGGTTGGGTCCTCTAATGACTGCAGCACAAGGAAGGAAGCACACTCAGCAGGCATGGAAAATCAGGCTCGTCCAACAGGACGTGACATCGAATTGGCTGGGTCACCTACTGGGTATGCCCACGCCGGCTGGCAGCCGAAGGAGCGGCTCCCGGAGAATTTCAGTGATGTGTACGCATCCACGACAGAGTACACAAAGGCAACCAACCGACATGTTCTTGCAGAATGCCACCCGAACTCTTGGCACTGATATGATTTCTAAATGGTAGTTTAACGGGATATTGATACAAATGGGAAACTCTCCAACAAATCATGGTACAATTGGGATAGATATTTGGGATATATATATATATATATACACGCATAATTTGGATGGATCTGAATATTGTTTTGTACTTTTTTGGGATCACCCCACGGATCAGTGGTGAATAACCATCGTTCACCAGTTACTTGCTGATTAGGATGATCCCCCAAGTCGAGATTCCTCAGGAGTTGTCATGGCCATACTGTGGATGGAAGAAATCCTGCATCACCTTGGATGGTTGAAACCCTTTAAATAATGGGACAGACATGGATAAATCATGTATCAACTAGCGCAGGATTTCGCAACCATCCACCGCCAAACTGTACAGTGGAAATGCAGCCAGTATTGCGATCTACATTTTGGATTCAGTCACAACTAACATCCGGAATGCCGGGGGCGGAAGGTCACAACTGGGTAAACGCTGCTTGGGTAGTTTGTAAAATACCAAAATACAATAAGCGTATAGTGGAAGATATCATGATCGTAAAATGTTGGGTTGTATAGTTTTGTAATTATAAATATATATATATATTAAATTATTTGTGATATATACATATATATATATACATAGTTAAGTTTTTTGGGGGTTGCTTTTTCAGGTTTTGGTGAGTTCAAATGGTGTGGGTTTTGTGGGCGTCCGCCTAAGAGGCCACAACAGCCCAGCTGGCACCATTTATACAAAACTTGTTGGTTTAGCTGGTTTGCTTCAAAAAAAGAACAGAGTTGGCTCTGATAATTTTGTTGGTTTTCAGTTTTACTGGGTGTTCATTGTGTTTCTGTGGCTTGCCTGTTGGGTTTTGATGGGGTTATGCGGTGCACCCTTGAGAAATCCATGGGCCTAAGAAAGTCAATACAACATCTAGTAGTTAGAAGAACCGCATAAACCGTTGTATGACTACACCACGATAGCATCCTGGGCCGTTTACATTATATACGGACAAAAGCAAGGAGAATAAGAAGGAACAATGTTGATAACAACAACAACAACAACAACAATGATCACATACTGATTGGTGGTTTGGAACACTTTTTTTATTTTCCATACATTGGGAATAATTATCCCAACTGACTGATATTTTTTCAGAGGGGTTAAAACCACCAACTGGCATATATATATATATGCGTATTTGAATGCCTAATTCTGCGCATAGCAGCAATGGTTCTATAAGTTTTGCAAATACTCACACCCATCAGCACGAGATTAAACACGGACATATCTAAGAATCAATTTTACATATGTAATGAAAACACATATATATATATATACACATGTAATGTATGTATGTATGTCTGTATGTATGTATGTCTGTCTGTCTGTCTGTCTGTCTGTCTGTCTGTCTGTCTGTCTGTGTGTCTGTCTGTCTGTATGTATGTATGTATTTTTGTATGTATGTATGTATGTATGTATTTATGTATATAATCAAGATAGATATATGCAGTATATATATAGTGTATCTATTGCTATTGTCGTCACTTTCATTGACATTGACATTCATTTGTATATTATGTTCAATATTACCTATTGTTCCTTTAACATGATGTTGAAAACAAACAACTATGGGTTATTGACATTGCATATGAATGGGTAGAACTTTGGTAAAATAACAATGTTAATTAGTACCCATTGTTCATCATTTGCCATTTTGTTCATTACTATCATTATCCATATTAAATGATAATAATTATGCGCCATGCTTTGGTACAATACCATGATCCTTAAATTATAGTTTCCATAATCATCATAACTAGGGGGTTCCGTTTATTTTCCATGAACCATATTTAACCATCCATTAGCCAGCACTTTTATCAATGGGAATTCCAGGATCCTAAAATGGAGGTACTGTACCATATAAGGCCATTTTTTGGGGGGATATTCCCATAGGCCTTACATGGGCCTTATATATGGTAGGTACCTCCAATTTAGATTCCTGAAGTGGCCATAGAGATATAGGCTGCAGATTGCGGATTGGTTTATTTTGTTTATTTGCTACAAAGTGGGACCCCCTAGATAGCTAAGTTGGTTAATAACTCGAATAGCTATGGTTTATGGTACTTATAACGAAGTAGTTACTGGGGATTATAAACCAACTTATAACTGGGGGGCCCCACATTGTAACTTACCGCTAAAACTCATTGAAATGAAATGCCTCTACGGGCCAGGGTACCATCCGGGGGTCCCATGCCCCAGGCCACGTTTTGGCCAAGGGCTTCGACAACGATCGGGCCATCCAGGTGCGGCTTCACGGCGGTTCGCTGAGTTGGACCTCCGGTGTGTGTGTTTTTTTTTCAATGGGAAATCCACTGTATATATACATGGGTTATAACCCCAGTGATTTACATGGGATAAGTAGGGTTAATCCACTTATAATTGGGGTTATAAGTTATAACCCACTTACTAAGTGGGATGAGCCATCAAGTGCCCTCTGGTAAACTAGCTGTTGAAAATGGTTATTTATAGTTGATTTACCCATTAAACATGGTGATTTTCCATAGCTATGTTAGTTTACCAGGGGGTATATTATACTGGTTGGTGGTTTGGAACATGAATTTTATTTTTCCATATATTGGGAATAATAGTCCCAATTGACTGATATTTTTCAGAGGGGTTGAAACCACCAACCAGATATCTATTATACAGAAAAATAGATAATATATACATATATAGTTATCGCAACTATTGTTTTACCAATGATATTATCCCACTGGCAATCCACCAGAAATGGTGAATCTCAGTTTTACCATAGTTATACCCATTAATATATGCCATAGTTAATAACCCATAGTTGGTATTTTCTGAATAATATACAGCTAAGGCCCTTACCAGTTGTTTTTTTTGATTATTTGTATGGTTACGAATAGGGTTATTCCATAAATGTGGCGGTTTCACTGGCTTTGAACTGGTATTTTGGGCCATGACTGCAGAAATGGGGAATCTCTACAGTTATGGCCCGAAATGAGAATTATGTTTATTGTTGTTTCTATGGGGTTATGATTGGCGGGTTTACATGTTGGGAATGAAAAGGTAGCTATGAAAATCCACTATTTTTGATAGTAAATCATCATGAATCATCTATAGAGGAACATTTTTCCATAGCTATGTTAAGAAACGAACGAGTACCCGTTGGTAAATTCGCATAGGTGTGGAACACCGATGTTTTTCGTAGGAAAATGATCCACAAATGATTGGTTCTCGACATCTATGTTAGTTTACAGGAGTGTAGCCATTAAATTTAAATAGTAAATAGTATCGTAATGATTTCCCCAAAAAAATATTTTGGTAGTATTTTTTTGTACATGTTTAAAACTAGTTTAAAAACACGTTTATATACATGTTTTTTTTGGCAACTAGTTTTTTCCAAAAAAAACATGGTTTCACCAGCAACTACTGGGATTGATCGAGGAAAAAAATGCCAATTTACCCTCCGGTAATGAAACATGGTTATCTGGGGAATCCTTACAAATGGCGGTTCCGATAGGAAAATGTTCGAAGCACATGGGGGAATTTTCCAGCAAAACATGTTGGATTAACAAAAGGTGATTGGAGGATGTGGTGTTTTTCAAGGTGATGTGTTCTTCAATGCAACCATGTGTGTCGGGATATAGTGGGATATGTTCTCCAGCAAGTTAACATACATATCGAAAAAATCACCATTTGTATACGTTAGATCATGTGTTTAGGAAAAAACATTGTGTTCTATAAATATGTATATTTATGTTGATTTAACTAGGCAGTAAACAGGCGTGGATATTTCATATCCGTGGTAATCCAATTGGGGAAGTTGAAAGGAAAACATTATCAAATTTATAGTTAACCATGTATAAATTATATGAATCTGGACCATGGAACCAATCGACAAAAGACTTGCACGAACACATGAAAGTCAAACGAACATCGCTATGGACATACTATATTGTTTCAAATATTTTTTAGAGGGAACGTGAAACCTTTAAACCATTAATTTTTGCCGAATTTTCAGACAAACCTGCATCGTGTGCAGGAATATCCACATGGTATTTTTTTCCCAACTCAGCAAGTGGTTTTCCACCACTTTTCGATTGCCAGACGAGATTGCCAGAGGCTCCAAAAAAGGGCCAAAAATCCCGTTCAAGTAACAGAACATGTTCACTGTTCACCCCAGGTTCTATCTGGGTGATGGTAAACCAGTTCTTGGATGGGGGTTTCATGCAACAGCTTCTTTCACTGCCTCGAAGCGGCGCAAGACTGGCTGCAAGGGGCGAGGACGGCTTGCCCCTGGCAGATGATTGGGTCAATGGGATTCTTACGGCAGGTTCTGCAGCCGGGGAATGGAATCTAAAGATACACCCGCTCATCGAGGAGCAACTTGGCATGAAGCTAGATGCATTTATATGCCCGGAGCAATTACAACACTGGCTGAGCTTGCATGCCCAGCTTGTCCGCCTGACGCTCTGATGCAGAGATCGTCAGGGATATCTGTGGTGTTCGCACATGCGTGTGATGTTACTACAACTGGTCGGTGGTTTGGAACATGAATTTTATTTTTCCATATATTGGGAATAATCATCCCAACTGACGAACTCATATTTTTCAGAGGGGTGGCTCAACCACCAACCAGACAATTATTTCCTTCTTATCATATGTGGAACATTTCGATGAACATGTCCCCAAATGTCCCCTGGATGCCCCTGGTGCTCTGAAAAGGCCCACGCTCTTGAGGAAGAAGTGTGATTTTGGTTCCAAAGGGTTGAAACGACGAGCCACAGTTAAGGCCTTTTAACAGTTTTAGATGATTATACATGGGCTTATGATTCCATAAATGGGGTAGTTATTTCACTGACTTAGAACTGGTATACAAATGGCCAGAATTCTGCAGGGGGCTTCTTGGAGAATCATCCCTCTGACTGCTGAAGTGGGGTTGTACCCCAGTGGATGAAGTGGGAAAACCATATGGAAAACACATGAAATGGGGCGAAGAAACCAGGCTTTGCAGGTAGCAACTGATCCGGCTTATTCTTTTGGTATCGGGATCATCTACGTTCACCAGCTAAGAATTTGTCATTTTTTGCAGGCTATGTAAGATTGGCCATGTCAACTGGAATGATCCTTCCAGTCGGATTTTTGCCGGGCTTCTTCGCAGGATTACGAGGAAGCCTTGCAGGATATGATGGAAAATGGTGGTTTCGCGCAGGGTTTCCCAGAGGGTCTCTGCTGGTGTCATGGATTTTAAGGGAAACATCTAGACAAGGTCAGACCCTTTAGGTATTAAGTTGGTTTGTTACCCCCATTCACTATAGATATCTATAGTCTATAGTGAATGGGGGTATATATAGACTTTGGTTATATCCCCAAAAAAAAACTTTATGGTTAACCAACTTACTATCGCAACCTTTCAAACTCGCTTGTGTTAAAAGATTCATGCACCTTTGTGTCAGGGTAAAATGGGCTTTAGATCCAGAGCCAGATCTTGGGCAGCTACCCTGCAGTCAGTGATTTTTGGTGATCTTGTGGGATCCAAATGGGGGATTTCCCGATTTACGAAAACCCATGGGATGAAGGATGAAGGATCTGTGAATATTTTGGAAGTTCATGTCTAATGGGAGGTATGTTGTGAAAAGGACTAAGGGATTATGTCGATTATGTGGGCCCCCCCAGATATAAGCTGGTTGATAATCCCCAGTAGCTACAGTTATAAGTACCATAAACCATAGTTATTGGAGTTATGCTCACCAACTTTGCTATCCAGGGGCCCCACTTTGTAAAAAAAAACATGAAATATTGTGTTACTGAAATCATGGTTGACTCACCTTGCTTCCTGTTTGTTTAAGCCTGGTTATATCCATGGAAATTATGGGAACCCCCTGGCTGATGGGATCCGGATTCCTTTCTGTTTGGGAAGATGATGGGAATGAAGATTCCATCAGTGGTATTGGAATTTCAGGATCCTAAAATGTAGGTACGTAAAAGTACCATATGTTTGGCCATATTTGGGGGGCATATCCCCTTACATAGGCCTGAAGAATAGGCCTTATATATGGTAGGTACCTCCAATTTGGGTTCCTGAAATGGCCATTGATCAGTCTGGGCGGGGGTCCTGTAAATTCCATGTGCAAGTTAACCAAGTTAACCAACTACTCGAAGGTGCAGTTGGAGTCATTACAGTTAAGGCCCTTTACCAACTATAAGTACTTATAACCCCATTTATAGAATGTATAATCCCATTTATAACCAGTTATTAACTAATAAATGGCCATAACTGTAATGGGTATATATAACTACGTATGGTAATAACCACCAACACGTGGGTCATAACCCTTATAACTATAGTTCTATCTCCACTTATTTTTTTTGAACTGCACCCCCCCAAGTACCCATTTGTTGGCATCATATCCACATGTTCCCAACATTTGTTCACCGCAATTCCCCAAGGAACCCGGCTGTGGGGCAGATCTGCGCAGGGCTCATCACCCTCTATGATGCAAAGGTGCTCCCAGGGGTCATGCAGTCAAAGGCCTACAGTTATGGCCCTGGCTATTGTGAACTAACTGGTTATTTCTATGGGATAAAAGACATTCTATAAATGGTGTTTTCTTAGTACTTATAATTGGTATTTCGGGCCTTAGCTGTAGAAACCAGACATGTTTATGGTTCTACTTGGTGGCGAACTACCCACGAATCGTAAGTGGGTTATAACCCCAATGATTTGTGATAAGTACGGTTAATCCGCTTAGAACTGGGGTTATAGCCCACTTAGGATTCGTGGGCTGAGCCACCAAGTAAATGATTATTTCAAGGGGGCTGTCATTCCATATAAATGGGCTTATTTCACTGACTTATAACTGGTATTTCGGGCCAAAAGTGTGGGCACGATTTGAGTAGCCAACATTCACATCGGGCGAATGTGGGATATTAACATATGGTGTCTTCGCCATAACCGATTTGCGGCTAGCGGTGTCTGACGGGCATTTGGCACAATGACATAGCATTGTCTTACGATAAAATTCCAAGAATGATGGTTGCTATTCGTCCCAAAAAACGTGTGAACCTTGAAGAAAGCATTGTACCTATAAAAACAATCCTTACACAAAAAATGAAGTTGTTTTTTCCCCAAATATCTCCCAAAACGGTATGTGTTTCATTGTTTTTCGTTTGTTTTTCGTGTGAATTATTCGAATTTGCCCAGATATATACCGTACACATGATATGATACAAGGTGAGCCTTGCAAGGTACAAAGTGCTTTATAACCCCCAAAAAACTACCCTCTGGTTATTTAACATAGCCATGGAAAATGGTCCATTTATAGATGGTTTACCTGGGTTTACCTATTAAAACTGGTGTTTTTCCATGGCTATGTTAAATAGCCAGATGGTAATGCATAAAATTGTATATTATTTTTTATAAATGGTGTATTCCCGTATGAATAACAGGTCAGCAATTTATCAACTTAGCTATGCAATTGATGTGGGTAAAACAATAAACCAAGATGGTATAAACCATTCCCAAATGGGTGGTTTACTATTGTTTTAACCGCATTGCTACAACAAAATCTACAGCTCACATTGCTGGTATCTTGATATGTGACCAGCACAGGCGGGTATCACAAAGGATGCGCAGTACTACGACCGCGCGGTCGAGTGCTTTGGCTCTCTCGTGGAAGGTAGGGATGATTTCAGAACTTAGTGTTGCGTATTTCTTTGTAGTGTATATTCTTTATATTTCTTTATATAGGTGATATAGGTGATACCTGCGTTTGATGCCTCTTTAATTTCATATGCAGTGAGGGGTTCTGATATGAGGTGCCTGGGCTCATGCTGTTTGAGTTTATTGAGTTTATACCATCTTGTTATTTAACATAGCCATGGAAGGTGGCCCATTCATAGATTATTTTCCCATTAAAACCTCCATTTATAAGGGATTTTCCATGGCTATGTTAAATAGCCAGATGGTATGGGATTCATCATTTCACGACTGGTCAGCAAGTAGCCATTTAAGCAGTCAGACACAGATTAGTAGTTGGGTTCAACCGTTCGTTTAGACGAGATGTACCGAGATGCAACCCACGTGCATAGGAACTTTGGGCAAACTCAGTAGTTGCTCCAAGCACTGGTTTTTCCTACTGAAAAGTAGAGATTAATTGGAAGAATAGGTGCATATGTCACCAGTGAGGTGTTGAACTGTTGCATTTCGCCTTGAAGGTAACCCCACAGGGATTGGTCACACCAAAAGGGGTATCTAAACTAACATAGATGGGGAAACACATCCAGTTGCAGATGTTCCCCAATAAAAACCATAGGGCTTTCTACAGTTCCACATCTTTGTTGGTTTAGCCCAGGATACGTTGTTTTCCCACAACATGGCATATCATGCCAAAGTTCGCCTTCCTGTGGGGTACCTTGCCAATCCGACGAAAGTCCAGAAGATTCCAGTTGCGCCAAGCGGTCGGCGTCGGTGAGGAGACTGGCTTACAATCGAGGGTAGAACGATTCGGGTACATGGTGTTTGGTCTACAGTTAAGGCCCTTTACCTGTTATAAGTACTAACAGAAATGTATAATCCCATGGAAATAACCAGTTAGTTCACTAATAGCCATGGCCATTTTTCTGTATTTGCTTCCTTCGCGATGGCCATCCACGGCACGCCCACGGCCATCCACGGCATCACCACAGCCAGCAGTTTTGTCAAAGTCAGCCGAATGAATGACCAATGACCATACAGTCATGGCCATGGCAAATTGCCATGGCTATTAGTGAACTAACTGGTTATTTCTATGGGATAAAAGACATTCTATAAATGGGGTTATAAGTACTTAGAATTGGTAAAAGGGCCTTAACTGTAATGCACCCCAGTTTAAAACATCACCGTTGTTTTTGTTGGCAGCGATGCATCCGACTGGAAAGGGAATTCATTGACAGTAGCTGCGACATCAACGTTGACTCATTCTGCTCAAGCTGATGAGTTGGACTAGTTTCCTAGTGCAGTTTGGAGGGGTAGCCAGGGAAGCCTTGTCTACTAACTTCTGGGGTTTGGGGTGTCCCTATCATTGCGGTGGGAGTTCCCTTCCTGGTCTCTTTGCTGCCTACCTTCTTGGACTCATTTGCGGCTGCTGCCTTCCTTTCATTGCCTGGCTTTGGATTTTTGGCCTTCCTCATTCATCAACTCCTGTCCCCCGTGTCCCTTCATCTCTGATCACTTTGACCGAAAGAGCCAGGAGGAGACTTGAGGGCTATCAGCCCTCATCAAATGAGTGACAGCCATCAAGACGTTTCGAGTCTTGTCCGAGCCATTGAAAGGCTCAGCATTGCCATCGAGGGGTCCAATTCAGCACGGCGAGAACAGGGTAGTTGGGAAGTCATTAGCCCAAGGGCAGGACCCGCCAACCCCTCCATTTCTGATCTTCACCAGAGGCAAGATCGCGTGGATTTTGGTGATTACGAGTCTTTTGCTGAGCTGCTGCCTCCTTGTCCAGAAAGGTTGCAGGGTCTTTGCTCCAGACTGTCAGGAGGCAACTACTCCTCAGAGTATCGTGCAAAGAGGGCCTGGGAGGCCGGATATTGGGCTTCTTTGTGCCAGCGCAAGCGTATCAGAGTTCCCCGAGCTTCTCTCCCCTTTGATTTGCGACCTGCCGTCTACATCATCATTCAGGCCCCAGGATTGCAATCACCAACACGAGTGGCAAGGGCATCAGATTTGGCAAGAATCACAAAGAGATTTACTGAGGACGTTATCTGTCACGGATTTGCATCACTTGCAGAAGCAGAGGTGTACTGTGCCAGCTACGGCATTCCTTTGCCATGTCCGCATCAGTTTCAGCCGTAGATCTCAGTGTGGAAGCCGACCCTGGAGTTCCAGTCAGGGTGCTGCTATCATGGCCTCCTGGGCCTACTGTTCTGGTTCATTCCATACAAGCCTACGTCGTGATGAGAAGGTTTGGAGGGGTGATGCTTGTAGTTCCAGATCAAGTCATCGAGCCAGGCAGTTTGCTGCAGTTTTCAATGCTTCCCGAAGATGGATCAGAGCCTCTGATTGGGCCCCACAACGTGTTTTCAGTTCCTTTGGTGACGTTTACAGCAGATGGGGTCATCATGGATCCTGGAGAGATGGTTACAGTCATGGCCTTAGATATGAGCCTCCCAGATTTAAACGGTTTGGTAAAGCCGTATCCAGAAGACGAGGAGGAGGAGGAAGATTTGATCAATCACTTTTCTCCAGCAGACTCCAGAGCCAGGCCCAGTTTTCCAGAGCTTTTAGAAGCCATCCACGCTTGGTTAGCCACAGAGACAGCAGCAAGGACGGGCTTCTACACAGCAATGGAAGAAGGAGAACCCATTCCGTCCCCAAGAACAGCGCCAAAAGCAAAAGCCTCTGGCCCTGGTTCTACCACGCCAGGAAAAGCTTCCGCAGGGCCCAAACCAAAGCGGCACACTGTGGCAAGCCTTGCGGAACAGGTGGAGTTGCTCATGGGAACGTTACCACAAATCACAGAACAGCTTTCCCAATTAGCAATGCGGCAAGAGCAGCAGACTCAAGCTCAACCTTCCTCGGCAGTTCAGGCAACGCCTCAGCCGGGCTTCAAAGCTATGGGAGCCAGCAAAGCAGCCATGCCAGTTTCGGCTATGGTTTCAGGCGAGCCTGGTATGAATCTGTCTCGGCTGACAGGTATGTTGGGGCCACCGCCTACTTTGGGATCGCCGGGGCACTTAGGCACTTAGCAGGCAGTTAGCAAGCACTTAGGTTTTGAGGTTGCTAAGTCCGGCTAAGTGTAAGCTAAGTGACCGCTAAGTGAAGCTAAGTGTTTCATACGTTTTTTTAAAGTTTTCGAGTTTGAGTTGTTTTTACAATATTTCAGTAGTATTAGTGTTAACACTCAGTCGCTTTCTCATCTTTTTGGTACCGACCATTGCAGGGTCAGCGTAGAAGGCAAAGACCGTCTTGGTCTTCACGCAGCAATCGCATCGGCTCATGCTGCCGCAGCGCGGATGCTGCAATGATTTCCGTTCCTCTGCTGAGGCGCTTCCATTTGAGAATGGATGCCTCGGGCATGGCTTGCAATGTGTGCACCAGCACAGAAAGAGAATCTCCTTCTGCAAGGCCATGGATAATTTCAATGCTGCACGTAGCAGACATCTGCACAAAGGTACCGCGTGAGTACTCCACACAGTAGATCTGAATGCCTTTTCCAAAGACAACGTGATCTGGAAGGCCTAGTTCTCTTGCCTTATTCACGTCTTGCGTGGCCTTTCCCAGAAGTCGACCAGTGTATTCACTTTCCAAGTGACTCGTAGTCAGCTCTATTTCTGTTAATTGCAAAAGGGTGCTTCGAGTGAAGCAACTTAATTGCGACAGACGCGGTGCCACTATGGACTTAAACACACGATGTTTGCGCTCCCCCACAAAGCAATCGATGTGTCGATGCCATTTTTGAATTTGGCTTTGGAGACGCAACGAGTAGTGGAATTTGGGTCTTGCCCAAGCCACCGCCGCGTAGGCGACATCCCACTTCTCTTTATATCTTTTCAATTTTCCGGGTAGGTGCCGTGCCGCATCCGGGTGTACTTTGGTTCTTTGCAGCAGCTGGGACACTTCCTGCAATGCAAACAGTGCTTCGTTCGCCGGCTGCATGGCCACATTGTCTGCCAGCATTTCCTTACAGAAGCTGGCAATGAGAGGCAGTGCTTGCAACGTAGTATCTGCATCTCCACGGAAGTCTTGCCCTTCACGAAACAGTTTGTCATTGCAGCATTCCTTTGGGCTCGGTCCACCCATCAGGGTTTTCCAGCCGATGCCCACCCACCGTTGAAGAAAGCAAAGATCGAACCCATTTTGCTTAAACAGCGCATACCAGAGGCCAATGTCTTGTCCCACTAAGCCGTTTGCATAGAATTGATGCATCGAATCCACATACAGAGATTCGATGGATATCCAGTCTTGCAAGGACGTGGATCCCAAGATTCCCTTTTCCATGCTCGACAGACACCATCCCAGCAGTTTTTCTCCTTCCTGCAACTCTGTTTTGTTTCTGCATCCACGTAGGTATGCCACAACAGCTTGCAGACCGTCATCCGTCTGCAAACGTAGCAACGTTGTGTCAGCGTTCCCGAGATGCACATGCCCCGGAGGCAACCTGCGATTACCAGAAATCACGTTGACACAACGCCAGCAAGGTTTTAGGTTTTAGCCCCGCTGCGCCCTTACAGCCGGCAAAGGCACGTAGCCCTTCATGATCGCCCAACACCAGGACCTTGCAGATCCAGACCAACGAGTCACCTTGGCGCAGTGTGATTGCTATGCCATGTTGACATGCGTCGTGTACGTATTCAAGCACACACCGCAGATATTCCGCGTGGGAATACCCTTTCTCAGTGATCTCATTGTTTCTCATATTGCTCAACGGCAGCCAGCAAGAATCTTGAAATAAGATCTTTAGTTCCAAGAAGCTTGCATATATCATGCATGACTTTTTAGGCTGCCGAGCGGCCAAGATGTTGCCTGGTGTTGCATCATCTGAAAACACTACGAAGGTTAGGCGTCCATCATATTCTTCCCATGCATCGGACAGCAATCGTGCGAACAAAGGGCAAGCATCCACCTTAGCCTGCAAAAGATCTGGAAGAGAATTGACGTCCACTGGCACATTTTGACTTTGGCCGGACCAAAGCTGTCGCATCAGCTTGGATGCGTGGGGGTACGCGTGGTGTTCCCTCGTGCCAGTGCGCCGTCCCAAGTCATCATCGTGTAGCAAACTGATCACTTCACGACAATCTGCTTGACTAAGTCGCGGCAGCTGTCGTAAGGCTTGAAATTGCAACAGAGGATCATCGCCAGCTCTTAGCTTGCGTTTTCTCGGTTGCATGGCCGCTTCCACATCTCCTTTGAGCCACTGTAAACTCAACGGACACATATGTGTTCCCATGACATCCACAATATATATAGACCTGTCACTTGCATACGTCAAGACTTTTGATGCATTCTGTCTGTATGTCCGGTGAATCGGATACGACACGGTATGTGACGAAACAGACATGCACATGTGTCAGACATGAATGTTGCTATATCTTTCAAACATGGTGCTAACATGCGATGATACACCCCGAAACATACAAGAGGAGCTGCCGCAGAACAGAATATCTTTTTCACTGCAGTTGATAGTTCAACGCTGTGCTGTGCAGCAGAGACAATATACCCCAATGTCACTACCACAGACTGAAACCTAGAGATTGTGCTCGGCCCTTTCTGCTCTGCACGTGCGGACATACGCACTCCTTCACATAGGGATCGCGTGCGTGCGCCAATGACAGCGCTGCCTCTAACGTTGCTCCGGAGACCTTGCCACTTAGGCAGGTGCCTTCACACGACGCCTCTTGGGCGCGGGCTCTCCCGTGGAGGTCCCCTCAGCCTTTGCCTTGGCTTTTGGCTTCGGGAAGCTCTCACGCAGCGCCTTGATGCCTTCTTGCCCTTGTTTCGAAAGGACCTTGAGGTCACTTGCGTCAAATGGCAAGGGAGTCAGTTCCACGTGGGAATCGCCTTCACTCTTAGCCTTGTTGCTTTCCTGCTGATTCACTGCTGCCCGCGCTGCTTCCGCCCAACGCTTGACCTTGGCCAAGCTATCCTTGCAGACAACCATGGCAGGACCGTTAGCTTCGGGCACCATCTCGCCTTTGTTGATGATCTTGGAGAGAGCCGTCTCCGTCGATGCCATGCATCCCAAGCTCTTTGCCGCCAACGTCGCAATCTTCTGGTTGGACGTTTGTTTCTTCTTTTCGGCTGCTGCTTCCTTCCGTTCTTCTTGTTTCTCAGAACTTTGGCCACTTGGGCCTGCCGCCACCGGAACATCCAAATCGGCCGCTTGGGCACCACGCTTCTTCGATGCCTGTTTTTCGCGTTCTAATATCCTCTCTTCCACTGATTCAAAGACTTGCTTCCACGTTTGCTTCTTGATAGGCACATTGAACACCTCGCAGCCATACTCCGGCGACTCATAGCTCGGAAACCGACGCACGGTCTCTTCCTGCCAGCCCCTTTGCAGCAGAACGGACATGGGCAGCTCTTCGATGTCAATCTTGGCCGCATGGCTTTTAATCTGTTTCTCTGTCAGTTTCTTCACCAAAGACGCCCTGATGGTATGCCATTGCAGATGTGCCCCATTGACCTTCGATCCTGCCAGGCTTTTAAAAAAGTCCGTGGACTCTTCCGCGTCAAAGTCCTGCAGGTCAGCATTCGTGCCCAGATGCCTGCGGATGGTGCGGTCCACAGACATACACTGGGAACAACGGAAATATTTGCCATGTTGACGCCCATCCGTGCTGCCGTACAGGAGGCCACACACGACACACCGACATGTCTCCACTTGGGAGGTCTCAGCAGAAGTCATGCGGCGACACAACTATATAGAGTGAAGAAAAACCACGCCGGAGCCAGAAACCTCAGACTGAAAAGCCAAAATGCTGCGGAGCACAGGAATGCCAGGGAAGCGAAATGACAACGAAATGCTCCAAAGCCCGCGGACAAGGTACCAATCCATGCAATTTCAAAGAAGGTCAGGTCGCGGACATCCGCAGACAAAGGAACGTACTACCCCATTACATTCTATAGGCACTGCGGTCAACCACAGACAAACAGCGCCTCACCGGTCCTACTTTTTCCATCCGCGGTCAGCATCACGCGGACAAGTCGTCTGGGCTGTCTGAGACCGCGGTCACTCGCGCTCATCCGCGGTCAGTCCGCGGACAAGTGCGGAACCTGCTTCAGACGCTTCAAAGCTCAGCCGTCCTTTGCGCTCGTAGCGCCATTGCCGCAACATCTTCTGCACCAGTTCTGACGCCCTGCGGCTCCATTCGAACTCTCGCGCCCTATTATTTTTCATCGAGAAGTGCCATGCCAGTGTGCTTCCAGGCAATGCATTCCTTTTGGAACCAGTCGTCAGATTCCATGAGGAAGGTCCACCGGCAAGGCTCTGCGTCTACTCGATCGTGTGCCCTCACCAGGCAGTAGCCTGGAATCTTTGGATGCGGCGGTACGTCCAACGCCGTAGCGTGCGATACCCCCAAGTCTATGAGTGCTTCCATCCGCGACAGTACGCGGCGATCCCTAACCGTGGCCAGGAAACGTGCGTCCCGTAGACACACTGCTACCTTCCCCCACTTAGTGGCAAAGGTATCATATGGCACCGCTGCGACCGTAGCCGTCATTGCGGAAATCACTTCCTCCAAGCCATGCGGGGCTATTGCAAAGGAAACATCAACGGACATGACAGCACGAAACGCTGGGGATTCCCCGGAGCCACGCTAACAAAACAGCTGCGGGAACGAACACATTAACACGGCGGCCAAGCTGAACTGACAGTGGAACACGGCATAGCAGCACTAACAACCGGAAACCAGACCCCAAGTTCGGCAACTTCTTTTTGCCTCGGCTCGCAGCAGCTCTCGAAGGTTCACTTCGCCTGTAAGGACGCGCGTGGCACCTTGATCCACACCATGTCGGCTCCCTTGTCCTTGCCATGGCGCTTGGCCTTATGCCCGTCTCCGTCCGACTCATCCGTGCTGGGGGGAGGACGTCGCCGGCGGCTGCGATCCACCTCGGGGGTGGCAGAACGCGGCCTGTGCCTTCTTCTTTTCTTCTTATTTTTCTTCTCTGGCTTCGGCTCCTCTTCTTCCGGCGGCGGCTCTGGTTCGTGACGTACACGCTCTTCCACATATGCCCGATGCTTCGCCGAACTAGCGGGCAACACGTCGACGCCTGTGTCCCCCCGGGCACGCTCGGCGTGCTCCCCCCAGCCTTCCTGCTCGCGCCTGCTCTTGACCGCGTGGGCCCTGTGCAGCGCATCGTCCCAACTCACTTCCCCTTGGCTATATATTTGCCAAGCTATGCATTCAAAGTTCCACCACATATGTTGAGACAACCCAGAACCTCTAGGGGTCCATGCCACAGGAGTCCAGCAGTGCGGACAGTCCTGCGTGCGTTTCCCCTTGGCCTTGCCTTTGCTGCGCGTAGCAGCCATCCCATGACCTCCATCCATTCCATGCCGCGTAGGCCCATCTCGCTCAGCTTCTAGATCAGCAGGTGGCGAAACCGGTCGCGTAGACCGGTCCCGTGCATGCCCTGGCTCATCATCCCGCCTCCGATCCCGCACAGGACGTGCGTCCAGAGCCGGCACCGGGCGCACAGGGCTCCGGGATCTTGGTGGTAACTTCGGCCCTGGGTCATCCGAACTCGTCGACGGACTTGGGATTCGACGTTTCGACGTGGCACACGGAGGACCATGGGATACGGTGACCACAGCCTCCGGAAGATCTGCCGGGCCTGCGTCCACAGGCGCGGTACGTTCCGGCCCTGCCTTGGCAGCAGCAGGTTTTGGCGCTGCCTTAGCAGCTCTACGCACACGTGGTGCTCCACTGCCGGCAGCTTCCGGTTCTTCCTCCTCCTCATCGGTGACATAGGAGTACTCGGAATCATCGCCCTTGCCGCTCTTCTCTGCCATGAAGTCCTGCGAGAGGCGAATATATATTAGAGGACTGCATATGAATATAAAGAAGGACAGAAAAGGCTACCAACATCACAGAAGTGCAGGTCGACACTGTCCTATATATGGACGGCAACTCTTCCCACGGGAATGGGCAGCGACCCCTTACTGCTTGAGCCAATATACCCTTAACGAAACAACAGTGGCACCATCCGCATAGCAACACCCACAAAACGGAGTCTCCTTTCAAAGACAGAAGATCAAATCTCATACACATGCCTTCGTAGAGAGCAGACATGCACACAACCGACATACCCGCCCAAGTCCCCCTTTCCATGCGAGCATGCATTTGTAACGCCAAACAGGTTCTCAACGTCACGATGTCGGAGGCAATTCAAAGCCCCGATACCTCCAACACGACACCGTGCAGCGAGTGTAGCGACACTTCGAGCACCCTTTGCGATATTGCGCCTGGATCTTCTTTGGCACAGAAGCCAAGATAGCTTGACGCCTTGCTGCACGATCTGATGCAGCCACCTTGGCGCCCTTGGGCGTCACTGTGCCCTTGCCTTTGGAGCTTCTCTTCGCAACCTCCGGCTTCTTTGATGTTTTTGTCTTGCCCTTGGGCAATGCAGCCGCCGTAGCGACAGTGGATCTCTTAGATCCCACCGCTCCCGTAGGTAGCGTCATAGAGTCCTGCTCCCGTCCCATCGACTTATCTGTGCTCGTAGCAACTGCTGGCCTCTTGAGCCCTGCCTTCCTTACAGCCCTTGGCTTGCCTGTACCTGGTGGCCGCCCTCGTGGACGCAGCGTGCCAGGCCCTTTCTGACTTGCAGCAGGTTTTTTCATTGTCCCACCACGCGCAGCCGCTTCCAGCGGAGGATCCATGTCCGCTCGCAACGCGGCCAATTGTTCTGCGACCGACAGCGTAGCAGCGGGTTTAAGCTCCACAGACTCAGCAGTCTCCACCGGTGGACGGTCACAGATGGCCAACTGAGGAGGCCGTATCTGCGCGCATGACCCGGACGGAGCGGATTGGCTCGACTGCATCGTCGCAACACTTGGTTGCGCTGATTTGCATGCTTCCACAACTTTGCAGATATCTTCCACAGCCAAAAAGCCTGGCGGCACTTGGCCACTGGAGGGCAGCGCGTGGCTGCTTGATTGCAATAAACGGTTATCCTTGCGTAGAGGCATGTGTCGCACATATTTACAAATCTCTGCGGCAAGATCCGTGATCTGCGTCGGTTTCCCCGTAGGAAAGACGCGTGTCACAATGTCCTGGTCCAACTCTTCCCAAGCCACAGGCAAATCCAAGAGATACTTCGAATCCTCTGCCGCCGTCAGATACTTTGTCACAACCGGCTTGAAGCGACAAAACAAATCATGCTGTTGCCGCGGCGACAAGCCACGCTTGCACAAATTCCATTTGGCAAGCACCACAATCGTTGCCTTCGTGGCTTCTGATGCATTGCGCAATGTCATTTTTGCCGCATGTTGACACAATCTGCATAGCAGGCGATCCGAATCCGTGGCGGCATTCCCAACATCCTGCGCCAAATCATCACTTAGATAATACGGCAACATAGTAAAATCTTGGGTAACACCACCACGGTTGCTCTCGACCTCAACAGGACGTGTTTTGGCCGCAACAAGCTCACGGAAGCTATCCAACTGACCAACCGTCCAAAGATCTGCCTGAAGAAGCCTCAGCCATGATGCCGCTTGGGCAGCAGTGAAGGAGACTACCTTCTCCAACGATCTTTGCACCCCTTGAGCCTGCTTGTCCCTGACCTCCTCGTAGGAGGCCAGGGACTGAATTCCACGTAGGAATTTCTGCGCGGCATCTATCTGTTTTTCAGCTGCCATGACTGGAACCAAAATTGCTGCGCAACATGACTTTTCCTGCCAGATTGCCCACGACAATCGAACTATGTACGTTTTCAAGAAAAAGCTAAGTGATCGCTAAGTGATCGCTAAGTTACTACCACTTAGCACACACTACACTTATAAGTAACCTAAGTCAATAGTAAGTGCCACCTAAGTTTTGATCACTTAGCCATCACTTAAGTAACATAGCCATCATTTACCCAAAGGATAGATAACTTATAACTACATTTACTAAGTGCCTAAGTCCCCGGCGATCCCAAAGTATGGCACGTCCTTCAGTTGCCCCGGCAACGCCCTTGAGACCAGAGCAGACCTTGGAGGAGGACGAGCCCCTAGACCCTATGCTTATGGCAGAGGCAGAGAACCTGGGATCCCCTATGGTGCAAGCTTTGTTGGAGCAAACGAAGGTGCTACGCACCATCATGTCCCATTTCCATTCTACAAGCACAGATCCTATGTCAGACCTGTCGTCTTCTACACCCACCACGGGAATCAAGGGCACCATGGCCCGAGAAAAGCTGCAGAGAGATCTGTCCAATGGGTCTGGCCAGTTCTTCCTGAAAGTTTGCCAAGCCATTCAGAGACGTATGAGCCCAACATCTCGGCCAGCTTCCGATCTTTCAGAAGTTGCAGGAATCTCCCTTCTGGCGTACCTCGAGCGTTATGGGGGTTACGGCCAGAGTCGAGAGTTGGGCATGGTTCAGTGGTCCTTAGGCTACGCATTCGACGCGGCAGCTGCGGGAGATCTGGCCCTCGTGCGAGATCATCTCGCTTTGACTGCAGTTATGGTGGAACAGGCCAGTTTGGATCGGAATGTTTGGAACCTGGCGTGGCTCCTTCGGCTCTTGGACGACCCGCCTCAGAACTTGTGGTTGAACAGGGGCCAAACAGCGACAGGGGCCAGGAGACCTTTTGCTCCATTGTGCCCGCATCAGTGGACAACAGTGGCTTTGGCCTATCTGAAGGAGGCGGAGGTCTTGCAGGGAAAACGGAGCGAGGTGCTGGGGGGAGGAAAGAATGCTCAGGCGGAGGAGGGAGCAGCTCCAAAGCCAAACCCCAAACGCCGGCCAGGCCGAGGGGGAAAAGGAGCTCAGAATGCGGCATCAGCCTCGACAGAGGACAGCAAATGAGTGGCGCAGCTGCTCCCATGTCTGGTGATTGCACAAGTCCAAGTGACCGCTGTTGTCAGGATCCGGATAGGGGCCAGCTGCCTCACTCGTTGCCTGTTGTTGAAGCTTCAAGAGGGGCAAGCAGTTCTTGTGGTGTCCAACAGTCTCAGTATGGTAGTACAGATGGCGACTCAGACAGAGCGGCTCGTAATGAGCAGCCAGTGATTGGCTCACTTCTTTCTTCTGAAGATCGTCTGCCTTGCATGGTATCAGGTTCACAGGTGACAAATCCTGCGGGCGTGAGAACTGAATTTCAGAATGAGGTCTTGGAGAACTTTGCACGAGAAGGGGATGTTTCAACTATCTCTTTCAGCTTTGAGACCTGGTGCATGTCTATTGCTAGATGGTGTTTGAAGTCACGCACAGCTTTTGGCTTCTTCCTTAGCAAGACCCTCTGCATATCAAGGGATGGGCCACCTGCTCATCCTACCGCCTTGTTTCCGCTGCCCATGCCTTTTGTTAGGTTTGCAGCTGGCCCTGAGGAGTCCAAGGCTGTTTCAGCCCACAGCAGAGCTATTGACAGAGCCCTTCATGTCTTGGTGTGCGCTGTCAATTTTTCATTTATGTCAAGAACTCTGCCACCTTTGGATTTGATCAGGAGGCAACCCAATGAGATTCAAGCTGCGGCCATCTCCAAGTTGCGGTTGCTCTTAGAGGCGTGTGACCATGGCAAACCCATTGAAGTGGCGAGCTGCGGTCGTCGAAATTTGCAGTTAGTGACCCGCCTCAAAGAGCTGGCACGGGCTGCAGATGCATTGGGCTTTTCCTCGGGCCCTTACAGTGAAGTCAAAGAGAAATTGGCAGTCCCGGTTGACAACTCAGAGCATCCGCAGCTTCAGCCTTTTTCAAATTTGAAGCCTGACCGCCTCAAGATTTCGGGGCGTGGCCAGTGGGACCCCTCAGCCTACCTTGAGCCAGAACTGTACATGGCTTTTCGAGAGCCCCAGGTGATTGAGCTTGATCGTCCAGTTTTTGACAGAGGAGTTCCAAATTTTTTGGTGGATAGTCCAGAAACTGTCATGCAGCTGTTTGAAAGGTGGGATGCGTTAGGCTTGCTTACGTTGCACCCCAAAGAATCTATAACAACTGGAGATTCTGGCCGGGTCAAGATTTTCAACGCGTTCAAATCAGCAGAATGGGATCGCCAGATCGGCGACAGGAGAGAGAGGAACGGATGGGAGGCCAGGATTTCTGGCCCGTCCAGCGCTCTCCCCATTGGTTCCCTGATTGGGCGACTTTGCATCCCAGAGGGCTGTGGTGTCAAGCTCTGTGTAACAGACCGTTCGGACTATTACCACCAGATTGGAGTTTCTGATGAGAGAAGCCGCTCCAATGTAGTCTGGCCAGCCTTCCCTTTGCGGCAGTTTGCTCACCTTGAAGCCTACAAGAGATATATGCAGAAAGCCCAAGCTAGCTTGCGTCCCATTGACCGCACTGTGCATGGCGACCAACTGGGGGGCCATCGTCCTCAGAGGCTGCCCACAAATCCTGATGCTGATGTCTATGGTGCATTTCGGGCTATCCTGCAGGGTGATCACCTTGGGGTTGAGTTTGGCATTTCAGCTCATGTGGGCCTCTTGCAGGAGCATTCTCTTCTGCCTGACAAAGGCAGGCTGGTGACAGACCGACTTGTGCGTCCTGCGGAAGTTTACCAAGGCCTATGCATAGATGATTTCTTTGCGCTGTCACCGGTGCCAGCTGAGGATCTTGGCCAGCCCACGGCACCCAAGAGCAAGGCCTACCATGTCTTCCGACAGGCAAAGCAGTGCTATGAGGACGCCAATCTTGCCGGCTCCGACCCCAAAGATGTTGTTGATGCGGATTGTGGAGTTGTAGTTGGAGCTGAAGTTGACTCCCGGGCTTCCACAGTTGCTGGGGGTATTCTTCCAGTAGGATGCCCTGCCTCAAAAAGACTTGCTCTGTCATGGATTGCCGCAAAAGCTGCCGCATTGCCGTGCACCTCAGATGCGCTACATGCTTCACTGCTGGGAGGACTTGTGTCGGCTTTTTGCTTCAGGCGCTGTTCCATGGCTGTGCTGGAGGAGCTTTTTAAGGTCATTCCGGCAACAGAACTGCAGCCAGATCAGCCCCGCACTCATCCACTCAGCCGAAGAGCAGCCAATGAGCTCATTTTGAGCGCAGTTTTGCTTCCTGTTGCAACATCAGACATTTTGGCCCCCTTTCACAAGTGGATCTATGCTTCAGATGCGTCGAACGCCAAGGGTGCATTTTGTGAGTCTATTATTTCTCCGGGACTTGCTATGCCCCTTTGGCAAGCAGGAGATTTCAAAGGTGGCCATTCATTTCTGGATCCGTGGCAGAAGCGGGTCGTGCAGGAAGCTAGTGGATGGGATGAGGAAGACTGGCATGACCTTGGAGCAGCAGAAACCGACCAGAAGTTGCCTTTGAGCAGACCCCTTGCACAGTTCTTTGACTTCATAGAGATTTGCGGTGGAGCTGGAGCTATTTCAGAAGAGATGTCATCCTTGGGGTACACTGTTGGGCCCATCATTGACATCACGTACTCCAAGCAATACAACCTGGTCGATTTGAGAACGTTGGAATGGCTTCTGTTTCTAGTGCAGAATCGGAGGGTCAGGGCGTTGGCTTTGGAGCCCCCCTGTACGACATTTTCTGCTGCTGCTCATCCAGCATGTCGGAGCTATAGAGTTCCCAGAGGCTGGAACCAGAAGGTCCCAAAAGTTTGGTATGGAAACCGTCTCGCCTTTGCATGTTTGACCTTGATGTTGGCTGCGGCCCATGCTTATGTCATTGCATTGATGGAGACTCCAAGGAGATCGAAGATGGGATGGCTCAGGGAATGGCTTTTTCTTTTGAGCCTGCCAAACGTTGAGGAAACCTTCACAGCATCATGCTCTTTTGGAAGCGAGTTTCAAAAGGAGTTCAAGTTTCTGACATGCAACATGAGAGCAAAGAGCATCTGCAGGCCTTGCAAGCGCGACCATACACATGTCAGGGTTCAAGGACAGTTGACCAAAGGTAGCGCAGTTTACTGTAAGGGTTTGGCAGTTGCTTTGGCAGATCTTTTTCACCGGCATTTGAAAGCAGAAGCAGATTTTTCAGCAAAGCACAGAGTCAATTTCGAGGGGCTCGAGAGCATCTTTGTGAATGAGGTTATCAAGAAGCAGCAGTGGTCAGTAGGTTCTTTTTGGAAATGGACGGGTTCATCGCACATCAATGTTTTGGAGATGGCATCAGTTGTTCAGGCTTTGAAGCGGGCAGCCAGAAGAGGAGGAGGAAGAATTTGTTTGCTTGTTGATTCTTACGTGGTCATGCGAAGTGTTGCAAAGGGCCGCTCTTCATCAAAAGCACTTGCCCCTCTCCTCCGAAAAATCATGGCTATCTCTCTGGCCTTTGGAATTTTCATCTCCATCCACTTTGTCCCAACAAGACTTAATGTTGCTGATGACCCAACACGTTCATGCCCTTTGCGAGAGTCTATTTCTCGGCCCTCTTGCCTCAACGACCTGGACCAGGAAGGTCTCTTCAGATTGGCAGAGCTCCCCCGCATGAAACGATGGATTTCGAATTGGACTTCTCTTTTTCTTGGACTTTGCTCTGTGCACTCCTTGCGTTATGCCAGCCTCTCCATACCCCACCCCAGAACTCGCTCCAGTTCGCCTCCTGTGGACTTCTACCATCATGTCTTGGATTTTCATGCAACCCTTGGCTTCCCTGGTGAAGGTCCCCTAGGTGTAGTTGGATTTTGCTTAGGTTTGGTAGTTTTCGGATTGCTCGTTAGCTACAGCCATGGCATGAACCCTCGGCATCGAGACGATGAGAGACGAGCTGCAGCCCGATCTGTCAAGCCGCTGCACTCAGGAAGGCCTGTGCAACCATTGACACGATCAAACCGTGACAAGCTGCTGGAAAATTTTGGTGCGTGGCTCATGAGTAAGGGTATCAGCTTAACAGAACTTCTGGAGAAATCCTACACGAACCCTGAAGGAGTTGTCTCGAAGTTGGTTGAGTACGGCCTTGCTTTGTATGACTCAGGCCGTCCATACAGCCATTTTTCGGAAACGATAAATGCGGTTGCGGCAGCCCGTCCCACAATCAGAAGAATGCTGACAGGCGCTTGGGACCTTGCGTTCAGCTGGTTACGCGAAGAACCTGGTGAGCATCACACAGCATGCCCGTTTCAGATCTTTCTTGGACTGATCAGCGCTTGCATTCTTTGGGGCTGGCCGACCATTGCTGGCATTTTGGCTCTATCATGGGGTGCAGTATGTAGGATTGGAGAAGTTCTGCAAGCTCACAGAAGAGACCTGGTGTTGCCTCCTGATGTTGGCTACACCTCAAGTTCTGTTTTCCTACGTGTGCAAGAACCTAAGACGAGGTATCGAGCGGCTCGTCATCAGGTGGCTCGACTGGACTATGCAGATCTGGTTGACCTTGTGACATCAGCTTTTGCCGGTTTGAAACCAGAAGAGAGGCTTTGGCCCTTCTCGGCTCAGCTGCTTCGTACTAGGTTCAAACAACTGCTGCGAGGAATTGGATTGCCACATCAGCGTTCAGAGTCAAGTCGATGTCTTGACCTGGGTTCTTTGCGTGCAGGTGGAGCAACTTTCTTGATGATGATTAGTGAGGATGCAGAGCTGGTCAGGCGCAGGGGAAGGTGGTTAGCCCCCCGCACAATGGAGATCTATGTGCAGGAGGTTGGAGCCACGATCTACTTTCCTCACCTGTCCAGTGATCTGAAAGAACCAATCCTTGCTATGGCTTCTTCTTTTCCTGCCCTCTTAGAATCTATGAAGAACTTGCAGCGAATCCATGTTCCTCCATCTGCTTGGTACAAATTGTTTCAGATGCAAACTGATGGGAAAGATGGGATGAATGGTCTCAGGGAGAAGGCACATGGCAAAAATGCCCCGTGCAGCAGAACGAAACCAAAGGATATGCAGAGGAAAAAGGCAGAAGAGCAGCTGACAGTAGCTGCGACATCAACGTTGACTCATTCTGCTCAAGCTGCCCAAACCCGACCCCCCCTGGGATGAATGGTCTCAGGGAGAAGGCACATGGCAAAAATGCCCCGTGCAGCAGAACGAAACCAAAGGATATGCAGAGGAAAAAGGCAGAAGAGCAGCTATATACTTTACTCCGAGTAATCCCCATTTTCACAGAGAATTCTGACATAATTTCTGACATGCCATCATGCCATCTGAAACATATAGCTACATGTTCTGATATTTACCCTCTGGTAAACCAACATAACTATGGAAAATCACCATTTTTAATAGGTAAATCCACTATAAATCACCATTTTCAATGGCTTTTTGTATGTTTACCAGAGGGTACTTGAACCGTACTCGTTCACAGAAACGAGATCTGAGTGAGGTATCTTCATGGAAGCGAGCCAGTGTTGGATGACGGAATCCCAATTTTAAGGGTGAAACATCCCCATTGTTTGATAGTTAAATCATATGAAATCCCTATGAAATGGAACATGAATCAAGCTTTCTACATGTCTGGTGAATTCCACATTACATCAACGGTGTGTGTTTTTGACCACCCAAATCAGTTAAATCTTCACTGGTGAACTCTGATGTCCGATCAAGCGATTAAGAGCTACAATTAGAGTTCTATTCAAATACGTGATAGTTTTGATCATCCCACTCAGTAATTAAGTGGATTGTAACCCCAGTGATTTACATGTGATAAGTAGGGTTAATCCACTTATAACTGGGGTTAAAACCCACTTACTAAGTTGGATGAGCCGCCAAGAGATAGTTTTCATGGTTTTCATAGCTATTTTGCAGGTCTACCCTCCGGCAATCAAACATGGCAATAGAAAATGCACTATTTATAAGTGATTTTCCTACTGAAACCCCCATTTCTAGGGGATTTCCAATTGCCACGTTTGATTACCGGAGGGTAAATCATGTTAAATCCACATCTCTGATCATATTCCAAGCGCGATCGTGACACTTCACCGTATTTTAAACCCTAATTTTGGATGAAGTACCCTCTGGTAAACATACAAAAAACTATGGAAAATCGCAATTTTAATGGGTAAGTCCACTATTTCTATGGCCATTTTCAATAGCTTTTTGTATGTTTACCAGGCCGGGTAGCTCTCCATTTTGGATGCTCAACTCCCCAGCCTCTGATCGCGACGCTAGATCTGCAATTTTCATGGTGAAAAATCCACCAGTGGCCGTGGAAATCAGTTGCAAATGATTATAATTTATAAATGATTTCCAAGATATTGGGCCACAAATAACTGACTATAACTGACTTATAGCTGGTAATAGATTACCCAGATTAGTCAATTATAAGTCAATTAGAGGGTACATATGATATCAAATGATCATAGATTACCCAGATATTGGGTTTATAACTGACTTATAACTGGTAAATGGCAACAACTGAATTGATGGCTATTCTCCCTGCCTTTCGCGGGGTGCTAAGGTACATCACCATGATGCAGCAAGCGATTCAGGCGGTTTGCATCGCCGAAATGGCTGTCTGGTGGGCCAGTTCCCCATTGGTGAACCTTGCTTTACTGGAGGGATTACAGCCATACTTGGTGGCGAACTACCCACGAATCGTGGTTGTGGGTTAGTTCACCCCAGTTCTAAGTGGATTAACCCGCTCCTTATCCCATTTGTAACTTGGGGTTATAACCCACTTACGATTCGTGGGTAGTTCGCCACCAAGTACCCTCAGACTTTTTTGGGATCGCCATATTTTCCACCAAAAAGTCCACTAAAGGTTCACTCCAAAAAGCAAGGGATCAATGAACCGCTTAGTTTCACCATGAAATATGGTAATTTTATGGATGGGTTGGCCCTTAACATCCATGAAAACTGGGTCAAAGTGGCGGATACTTCACCACTGGTCAGATTGGGATGTCAAAGCACAAATGAATCAAGGAACATGGGAATATAGCCCAACATACCCTCTGGTAAACAGCCACATAACTATGGAAAGATCCACCATTTTTCATAGGAAAATCCACTATTTCTATGGTGATGTTCCATAGTTATGTTAGTTTACCAGAGGGTAACAATAGTATTTGATGGTAGTTGGCAACTGGTGATGGGTACTTCACACTTTATTTTCTGCCAACATATCCATGTGAATATCGCATGATATCGGAATATTTGCTACAATGTGAGGCCCCCCCAGTTACAAGTTGGTTTTTACAGTCATGGCCCGAAAAATCAGTTGTAAGTCAGTAAGTCACTCCATTTATGGAACTAGAACCCTATGGATAACCATTGATAACAATTCATATTTGGGTTGTTCCATGTTGCCTGAATTGGGTAGGAACATAATGATACATAGACCACTGGAAGTTCCCAAGCCGATTGGCGTTTTCCCGTTGCAAAAAAGGCAATGTAAGGAGTCATTGGACCCACAGCGTGTTGAAGGTGATGCCCAGCAGTGGGGACGTCCCAATCCTTAAGTAGTGTGCTGAACAAAATAACATAACAGTTAGCGTTGTGATGCTGAGAGGCAAAGAGTTGAGAACCGGATAGAACCTGTAATTTTGCTGGTTGGTGGTTTGGAACAGTTTTTATTTTCCATTTCATATATGGGATGTCATCCGAAACCCATTGACTTTCACTCCATCATTTCTCAAGATGGTGATTGCTTGCACCACCCAGATGATTATTAACATTTATTAACCACCATTAACCATATAATAACCATGAATATTCACCATTAATATTAATAGTTAACCAACCATTAATACCTATTAACCGGTGGTGCAAATATATGGTGAATATTATGGTGGTTACTATAATATTATCTGGATATTCACCTTATAATCTGGGGTGGTTACTACCATTAATATTACCAAGCAATGGTCGGACAGGTGAGTTCACCCCAGTTTTTTCAGTGGATTAACCGGCTCCAAAAATCCACCGATGGACTGGTGGTGCAATTTGCCAGCTGTGACTGATGTGACTGATGTGACTGGTCATGAAGTCCCATGAAATCTGGATGATATGTTTGTTTCCTAAAATGCTGCTACCCAAGAATGGATGGTTTTTTTCATGGACAAGTCTATTAAAATGGATGATTTGAGGATCCCCCATATCCGGAATTAAATCCCAAATCTAATTCCAGATACCCTCTGGTAAACAAACACAGCGAACTGGAAAATCACAATTTTTGATGGGACAACTCAGTATAAATGGCTAATTTTTCAATAGCACAATAGCTATGTTAGTCATTACCAGAGGGTAATTCCATATATTTCATGGATTCTCACAGATTTTTTTTTCCACAAAAAACTGCCATGTTTCTCATGGATTGCATGAGGCTGGCCTGGGTGATGCAGCAGCCACCGTCGGGGAACCGAGGGTTTTTGGGTCGAGTTGAGCCATCGTTGAGCCATCCTTGAGACGTGCGCACGGCAATTCAACATAGGAGAACCACAGGGAAACCAGAGAGGATAACCATACGAAAACCATAGGAACATATGGATGTAATGGGATTTATATGGATATGTACAGCTATGGCCCGAAATACTAGTTACAAGTCAGTAAGTCACCCCATTTATGGAATTATGACCCATTTATGGCCATTTAAAATTAATCATATTTATTAAACTGGTAAACGGCCTTAACTGCATATGGCCCTAAATTGGTGGTTTCCGAAAATAGGGCTTCCCCAAACCATCCAAGTAAAGAATATGATCAGGAGCATATAATAGAAGCAGTGTGTGTATTCTTCCCATATGGCCCATTATACAAAGTGAGGCCCCCGTTGACCATCGCATTCTCCTAACTTCATTTTCCTTACCAGATGCTGCTGGTGCCCCTCAGTGATGTTGGTTTATAAACTCCATGAACATCCATGAACTATAGATATATCATATCTACTATATCTACCATAAACCAAAGCTAATTCAGCCACTTTTTTCAGGCAACTGAACGCAACAACGAACCGGATCTCCATCCTTCACCAGAAACCCTAGAATTTCCCGGGTGATTCATGGCCTGCCCAGGACCCCACCTACCAGGTCTTGGAAATTCGAAAGCAGAAGCTGCGACGCAAGAAGGATCGACGCCTGGCGATTCTTGGCTGATCTTGTTGGGGAAGTGATCATATTTTCTCTGTGAAAATAGATGATGGCAATAGTATGTCATAGAAGGTTCCCCCCATGAAAACCCCAACCGATAGGTAGATGATAATAGATAGCTCAGAGTTAAGGCCCTTTACCAGTTATAAGTACTAAGAAAACCCCATTTATAGAATGTATAATCCCATAGAAATAACAAGTTAGTTCACTAATAGCCATGGCCATAACTGCAGAGTATACCAAAGCCTCCCTTCTATTTATCCTATTGTACAAGGACAACAATGGATGTTTCCTCAAACGGTGATATCCTCAAATCATCCCCCAAACTTAGTAGATGTTCCTGTATTGAAACCGAAACCTGTATTGTGACTTTGGGATCCTCCAAAAAATGTGGGTAAATCTCTAGATTGATAGTATGATGATAGATAACATAGTTGTTAATATTTCTTAGTGAAATCACACAGTTGTAGATCAGATCAGATGTGTAGTAACTTCCACATAACTGGTTGGTATGTTGTTTTTTACTTTAGATACTGTGTACTGCGTATATATATATAGGCTATATAGGTAGATACAGTGTTTGTACATAATGATATAAAGAACAATAATCAGACATAACCAACAAGGAACTGGATATATATGTGGCTTTTTTCGGCCATCTCCGACCAAGGCATGTTAGTGGATATACCATGATATACCCAGTAAATGTATGTGAGGAATACAGGCATATCACATCACTCCTGGTGCGTAAGCCATCTTTGGACTTGGTCGCTGACCCAGCAATATGGGAGACTAACCAAGCAAAACTATGAACAAACAAGGTCATTGGTTAGGAGGTTTCTATAAGAGGATACTGTATCTATCAATAAGGTTATTGGGAAATTTGGATACTGTTTTTGGTCAAGCCAAGTTAAGCCCAAAGAAACACGACGTTATTGGTTAGGACGCTTAGGAATCATCAAGATCATCAAGTCGCAAGTCATGAAAGTCACTTGGTGGCTCATCCCACTTGGTAAGTGGGTTATAACCCCAATTATAAGTGGATTAACCCTACTTATCCCATTTATACCTGGGGTTATAACCCACTTACGAGCCGTGGGATGAGCCACCAAGCATGATTCATGGGCAGTTCTTCCATGACCGTCCATGACCGTCCATGACCAAGGCCAACCAAATTCCAATGTGCTGACATGATCATGGGCAATCAGATGATAGCCTCTGGTAAACTAGCACAACTATGGAAAATCACCATTTTTAATGGGAAAACTCACTATAAATGGCAATTTTCAATAGCTATGTTGGTTTACCAGATGATGGAAGTCACCAACAATATGACATTGGTACTATTCAAAAAGACAAAAAAACACACACACACAAGAAAAAGAATAGTAACAGCGATACTGGAAATAGAACAGATATTGTGATAGCATGGGTCATTTCCATCTATTTCCTATCAACTAACAGGGGGGGATGATCATCAAACAGACAGATTTCATCAGCGAAATTGGCACTGTTGACTGACCATTTTGTTGCGGGTCGGACATCCTTTGGTCAGTATTTTTCTGAATAGCCAATATCTTAGCCCCTAAAGATGACATGGAAGTTTTTACAGGCCATCATTTCTACAATGTGGGGCCCCAGTTGTGTGTTTGTTTGTTTATAAATTATAAAGCCTAGTAACTGTAGTTATAAGTACCATAAACCATAGTTATTGGAGTTATAAGCCAACTTTAGCTATTTGGGGGCCCCACTTTCTATATTTCGGTGTCAATGTCTTGATTGATTGGCTGCACACGAAGCTGGTGAATTCTGCTTGGACACGCTGTTGAAATACACTGCTATGGATCAAGCAATGGAAACACATCCCAGTCCCCACCAAGAATGTTTTACACCATATGGATCCAATATAGCTATTGGTGGATTATGCTGTTTTGTGTTTTGTTTTTTTAAATGACATAATCCATATCATCCCATGTTTCATCATTGCTTCCCATTCAGATGACCGAAACGCGTGGAGGCTTGCCTTGATGACTCGTTCCTTTTTTTTTCCAGCTCCCATGGTGAGATTTCCCAAATTTGGATAGACAGTAACTCATCCTTTAGTTTTTTGTTATACCTTCTGGTTATGACTAACATAGCGAACTGGAACATGGCCCATTTACAGATCATGTTCCCAGCTATAAACACCCATTGATAATGGATTTTCCATAGCTATATGTTAAATATTGTTAAATAGTGAGATGGTACATGGAAAGCCCTATATTTTTTTGAATTTAATCATAAGATAATCAGCTAAATCATGTTTTCTAAATGGAACACCTAGTAACGGGTTATTTTGTGGACTACCAAAGATCGACCATGACACCTGAGGAAGGGCGCGCCGTCGCCGGAGCTTCAAAGTCTTCTGAAACAGCGGCCGGAACGAAAGCGCGAGGAGCGATGAGAAAAAGACACGGAGAAAGGCTACAAGGAGAGAGAGAAAAGACTACATAGACGGTTATGTAGTTATGTATATTATATATATATATATGTAGACATTAACTTATGTAAACATCTATTTATGTATGGATATATTTAAAAATTATTTTAGATTTATATATGTATGTACCTCCCATAGATATAGATTTGTTGGGGCTGGTTTTGTAATGGGATATTCATGGGGACATGAAATGATCATATGCAACGTGGAGCCCCGGAGCCCCGATCGCCAAGTTGTTGAACAAAACTTGTTTCGCTAGGGTTCACGTGGGATATACTACAGTTATGGCCATGGCTATTAGTGAACTAACTGGTTATTTCAATGGGATTATACATTCTATAAATGGGGTTTTCTTAGTACTTATAACTGGTAAAGGGCCTTAACTGTAGGTGGTTGGCAAGTGGATTACTCCCCCGGTTATGACTAGGGACAAGTAGCGTTAAATCCAGCTGCAGTTGTAAATGGAGTTACTGTAGACAGTTAAGGCCCGAGTCATACCAGCTATAAGTACTTAGAACTACCCCATTTGTAGAATGTTTTTTATCCCATAGAAATAACCAGTTAGTTCACAAAAAACGCCATGGCCATAACTGTAACAAACTTACCGGGGCGAAGCACCAAGTAACGTGGTTTTCGGGTCGAAAACCAACAACGGGAAGCCCACCTTGGCCGATATGAATCCACCGTTGCCCCGGTTGCGCCACGAGCAAAACATGGTGGTTGATGAATGCTTTGTTAGGTATGGACAATATAACATACCCTATCATATCCCATGATATCCTCTTGAACATGTAATATATATATATATATAATTATATATATGTATAATATGTAAATATATATATATACATACTTTCAGGGTGCAGAAGAAGATTTGACTGGAGCATTTCATTCCAGGATTGGGTCAAACATGTCAAAATACAAGGCAAGCGACACCACGGACATGGGTCGTTGGACCCTCCCATGACCTGAAAGGAATTAAGAGAAACTCCACTGGTTTCTTCAAAAATGGCGTGTCACCCCACTTATGGCTGTGTTGATGGTAAAATACTGATAGGCAATCCAATGCTGGGGAACCCTACTGGTATTTTCAGGCAAACCCCAAAATTAGGATTTGATGTATGAACTGCTGTCCTCCTCTATATTCAAGCGTTGTCTCTTCACGGACATCCATTCGTGTTATGTGCCTCATGAATTTTATAGGGCACCATGTGGATGTCTTGTAGAAACCCTTTGATTTCTAAAACTTGATTTGCAGAAATCCTTGATTTTGGTTTAGGTAACAAAAAATGTTCCAAAGGAAATGTGGTTTTATGTTGGTTCAGGTAAGTTGTGAGCCATGCGGACGTAAGAGGCTAAAACCTTGGATATCTTGGAATTGAAGCAATGGACCACAGCCCCCTTAGCAAGAAGATGATATGGGGTTTTGGGGGAATACACATCCACTAAGAAGCTATCTTAGGCCTAGGGTACCAGGGTCTTGACTCATAGCACTATGATGCTATGATTTTTAAATGTGTTTGGTTGGTGTTCTCCTTTTGCGTTGTGTGTTTGGGTGGTCTGATTTTGTTTTTCCTCATTTCTATTGACTTATGTCTGGAGATTTCCCAACCTAAAATGGTTGGTACCCCTCATCCAAGTCAGCCACTTTCGCGGTTTGGACCCTAAAAATGGCTCAAACGTAGCTCGAGGGGCTGCGCTTCAGTAGATAGGACCTTAGACAGCGCCGCAGCGCCACAGCTGTATAGATCACATGTGGAGGCGAATTGGAACATCTGGGTAGACCGCGGGTAGTTTACCAGGATGTGGGGAAACAGGGGTAAATGACAAGAAAACCGGAGAAACACTATTATATATGTGGGTAAAGCTTCCGGTGAAGGATTGTTTTACACCCGAAGGAAGTTTAGAAGTCAAACTTCTGACAATATGAAAATATGGAGAGATGGAAAAGCAGAGGTGGGAAGAGTCAGAGAAGAGAAGAGAAGAAGAGAGAAGATCAGAGAAGAGAAAGAGTGAGAAGAAAGAAGATGCAGGTGCGCGAGAAGGTCGAAAAGTTGCGATTCACAGTTTTTTTCCAATGATTTGTCATATCCTTTGCTTAGCTATGCGGATAAGGCTGGCAGTCGACTTCAGGATGAACCCTTGGGACTGACAGCTGCACTCAGCTGGACCTTGTGGTCTACACTGCAACGATAAGCCGCTCAACATTCGCATACGGTGTAGCAAACGTTTGGCAAAGTATCACCAGAAACTGGCACAACAAAGAAAAGGCAGTTAGAGGCACAAGAAGGAATGAATTTGTTGTCGCGATATGTGAGCAAAAAGAAAACACTACCAGACTACTTGAGCGATTTCACCAGCAACAGCGCGCTTTAAGCACCAACAGCTGAGATGGATCAATGTTTGTGCTGGCTTGTTGATCCTGAGCATTTTCTGATTGGTGGCTCCAAACATGCTTTGTTTTCCGTCCTGTTTGGGGTCATGATCGCACTTCACCAATACGTTCACGCGGCTTTGGGTTGAAGCCACCGGCATCCACCACTGTGTATACCCAAACAAATATACAGATGTGAATTTGATTCAATGGCCATTTCAGAAACCTAAGTTGGAGGTACCTACCATACATTTTTGGCCTATTTTTCAGGCCTAAATTTCAGGGGATATCCCTAGAAAATATGCCCTTATGGTACTGAAAATCCCATTGATTGAGAACATGGCTCACCCAATTCTAAAGGACGATCGTTTGCCGAAAAAAAACATGTTGGTGGATATTTTAGCGGTGCCCCAATTAGCCCTATAGATCCAAATACCTTCTTAGGAAGTGGGACTCGGACTGGGGTATGATTTGGGGGGTTAAGTACATTCTCAGGAGGTGTTTGGATCCATAGGGTAGTAAGTGGCTTTGAGCCATCCAGTTAGACTTTCAAATTTCCTTTGATAACAAGCCCTTGCATGTTGCGATTCGTATCCAGATGGGGCACTATCGTTTGTATGCTTTTGGAAATCAGGTTGGTCATGGTTTCAACATGTTTCATCCCTTGAAAATATTGAACCAATGGAGACACAGCTCCGGCAGGAAATACCACTTATAAATCAGTAGATCCCCCCACCCCAGAGCATCCTCACTTGAAAAAATTCAATCGCACTTGATTTTTTCAATCGCCACTTGAAAACTGCAAAAATTCAATCGTTTTTTGTTTTTTTTCAAGTGCAAAATTCAAGTGAAAATTCAATAGAAAATGCTGTTTTTTCAATAGAAAATTCAAGTGAAATTTCAATAGAAAAGTTTGTTTTTTCAAGAGAAACTGAAATGAAAATTCAATAGAAAATTTTGTTTTTCAAAAGAAAATTATGAGGTGAGTATGTGGTGGGGCTGTCCAGCCCATGTTGCATGTGATGTGGCTGTCCAGCCCATGTTATGATGGGGCTGTTCAGCCCATGTTATGATGGGGCTGTCCAGCCCATATGTTATGATGGGGCTGTCCAGCCCATGTTATGATAGGGCTGTCCAGCCCATATTATGATGGGGCTGTCCAGCCCATGTTATGATAGGGCTGTCCAGCCCACAGGTTATGCCAGCCCATGTTCATGGGGCTTTTCACCCCAACTCTCCAGCCCTGGTGTTGGTGGTGCAGCCAACTAAAGCAGCTTTTTTTTCCTTGGAGCTGGCTTTGGTACGCCACAGCAGCTCTAGTTTGCACACCTAATTTCCTTCAGGTTCTTTGCTTTCTTCTTCACACTGGGGCCCTTCTTCAGCTTGTGTGCTTTCTCCTTGCCTCTCATCTTCTCCTTGCCCATCATTTTCTCCTTGCACATCATCTTCTTCCAGGCCTGGAGGAGGCACCAGAACTTGGCTGTTCTCATGTGGGTCAAGTCTCCACCCTGCAGCCCAAAGCTCTGGGCTGGCTGTCAGCTCACCTTTCACATAGCTCACCCTCCTTCTCTTTGGCAGGGTGCCTTCCATGGCACAAGGGCTCTGTTTGTTTCTAGGCCCAGCTTTCAGAACCAAAAAAGGCTGTGGCCACACATTTTGCAAGGTCACCAGGCTGTCCAGCCCAAAGAGTTTCCAATTTCTGCTCAGCTGCAGAGGCTGTCCAGCCTACAACCTTCTAATCTTGCAGGGCAGCAAGGCTATCCAGCCTAACATTGGCTGCTTTTTGGCTCATCTGTTATCATCGACATCTTCATCTAAAGAAATGTACCCTTTCAGGTACAGGTGAAACACAAGCCTGAATTTTTGCAAGACTTTCAAAGGAAGCTTCTCAGCTGGAGTGCCACTTGTGCAGCTGGAGGCGATTTGGACTGTCCAGCCCATGAAGGATTCACTCCCATATGTCCAATTCAGGCAGGGGTGCATGAATTTGCTCTGCTCTGCCAGGTGAAGCAAAACATGGGATTTCTGAACTAAACTCCAGAGGTGCAAGCCTTCATGCAATGCATTGGCTGCCAGCCAGCTGTAGTGGGCCATGAAGTCGTCCACTGCTTTCTTGAAAGCTTCAAAGTCCCAATACTCCCAACTGCTTCCAAGAATCTTGTACACTTTCACCAACTGCTTAGCCAGTGCTTCTCTGTGCTTCCCACTCTTGGTCTCATTGAACTCCTTGGCCAACTCGAAGGCTGCAGGGGCAAAGTAGCGAATTTTTGCTCCTTTGACATGTTTCAGGCAGGGGTATTCTTCTGCAGTTTCTGCTAGGTCTGACAAAGACAAGTGCTTCATCCTCTTTTGGGCTTCCAGCCCAACCTTGTCATAGGCCTCCACCACTTTTTGGTTCAAGTTGGCTAGCCTCACAGCTCTGCTTGCTCCTGGCAGCTCTTCCATAATGCTCCACAGCAAGGAGCCATGGGCATAGGCTGCCACTCCCAGGTCAAGCACATGTAGTATATCCAACTTAATGCTCAAAGCTGATGCATGTGGAGCTCCTCCTCCTCCTCTAAAAAGTGGGTGACCTGCAAATTTCTTCTGAAGTTTGGCTGGAGGTAGAGTAGTCTGTCTCCAGGCTGCTGTGGCCCTGAAGTCTGTGAAAGGTCTGGGGCTCCCCTCCTTGAATTGATCTGCCAGGCAGAAGGGGCAAAGCATATTGGCTGCAGAATATGGAAAGCCAAATTCTGATGCAAACCATTCCAAATCTCCACTCACTGACCACAGCACCCCCTTTCTCATCCTCTTACCTCTGTGCTTCTCAATGGGGTCCCCAGCCTTATCCTTTTTGGGCACCACTCCATCCCATAGCACTTGCCAAGACCAAGCCAAAACTTCCATCATCCTCTTGCAGGTCTCCTTGGTCATGGCCAGCTTTGGCAGGGCAGAGATGAGCATCTGGCTTTGGGTCACTGCTTTGCTGGAGAGCAGGCACCTGGCAGGGACATGGCAGCAGGGGCTGTCCAGCCCAAGGCAAAAAAATGGGCTATCCAGCCCAACACACAGGAATTTGGAAACAAAACAGGCTAACACCCAGGCCATCACAGAACCAGGCCTGAAGCTCAGGACTTGGATACTGTCCACTTCTGTGAAGGGTGCTGCATCTCCATGCAAGAGGTATGGTACTGGGAGCTGGCTTGGCTGTGAAGTCTTTATCACTTGTTTCAGCTCAGGTGTCATTTGGGGGCTCTTCATTTGACTCTTCCAAAAGGCAGCAATCTCCTCATCCTTGCAGCACAGGTTACCCAAGAAGTTGTTCTCCTGGGCCTCAATCACCCAAAGATGGGGCAGCAACATGTGAGTAGATGCTTCCTTCTCAATCCTGTGCCCCCCTTGCTTCACAGCCAAGGGGCATTGGATTTCCCATGGCTCTGGGGACAGCAGCAGTGAGAAATATTTTCTCACCAAGTCCCTGTGAACATTTCCTCTTGCATGCCCCATACCTCCTAATCCTTGCAGGGCTCTCATCTCTGCATTGTCAGCACCACTCTTCACTGCAGCTGAAGCGACCTCCTGCACTTCTAGGGCAGATAGCTTTCCTATGCTGAACTTCCTGAGAAGCAGTACCCAGAGAGCACATGGCTCCTCCATGTTTCCTAAAACTTGGAGCCAAAGCTGTAATGCAGCTTAATTTTGACATTGGGCTGTCCAGCCCAACTAAACCTTGACAGGGGCTGTCCAGCCCAACTTAACCTTGGCAGGGGCTGTCCAGCCCAACTTAACTTTGACCTTGGGTTGTCCAGCCCAGTTCAACCTTGGCCAGGGGCTATCCAGCTCAGCAGTTTTCAGAGGGCTGGCAAGCTTTTTTGCTGTCAAAAACTGTTGGTAGCGGTTCTGTTTGCCAGCTTGCCATTGCAAGACTTTGGCAAGGGATGCCCTTCCCATCATCTCAGCTACAAACAGTGTGCTTCACAGCTTAACACTTGGATGGGCACCCCTCCTCTTCTCAGGCAAAAACCTACTCCTTCAAGGCTTTGGCCACTTGGAGCTTCTTGGCCTTCAAGGCCCTCAGAGTTGTCAGGGCTGTCTGGAGGGCTGGCTTTGCTTCTTTCTTCTTGGCTTTGCTCTTGTGCAGCTTGGCCAGCAGGGACACAACAGCTTGCCCTCGTTTGTGTTCCTGCACAGCCTCCTTGAGCAAGGACTTTGCCAGGCCCTTCTCATGGGTGTAGCCATCCAACACTGCCAAGTCCTTGATCAGCTCCACCTTGAAGCTCATCAGTCTGCTTTGCAGCTGACTTTGGCTCTCATCTTCACATACCTGGGATATCTCCTCCCACTTGTCCTTCTTATTCTCCTTCTTCTCTTTTTTCTCCTTGGTGCTCTTCTCAGACTTGTTGCCCAAAGCTTCAGCCAAGCCAGCTGGCAGGCCATCACTGTCCTCCTCAGAGTCAGTAGGGGCAGTGAACTCTTTCTCAGTCAGCTTCTCCAGGCCCTGGGTCTGAAGCAGTTTGCTCAGCTCCTTGTTGTTGCTCTTGCCCTTCTTGGCCCAGGACACAGCTTTCTCCCTGTTCACAAACACCTTAGACTCCTCAGTGTTGGCCTTGAACTGCCAGTACTTGGAGTCAGAAGGGTCCTTCCTGGCCACTATACTTCCAGAGGCCACTCTTTCTTGTAGCTCTTCTTTGCCCCAGTGCTGCAGTGCCTGGTTCTTTGTCAGCCAAGTGCTGGTGACACCCTCAGACTTCTTCAGGGAGACAGTCTCCACCATGGACTTGTAGTGCTCTCCTGTCTCTTTGCCATCACAGACCCATCCAAACAGAAGCTTTCTCTTCTTGGCCAAGCTTCCTTCCTTGGCACTGGTGGTGGCCTCCAGGTATTTCTCCTGTTCTCCAGAAGACTTCCTGGACTTTTCGAAAGCTTTCCAAAGCCTTTGGCTTGCAGCACCATCCAGACAGGACAAGGCTTTCTCAAACTGGCCAACACTCATGCCTTGAGCCTCCTCACAAAACTTGTTGTGGTCTTTGACTGCCTGAGCAGTCAAAGGAACATGCTCAGGCTCCTCTGGCTCAGCTTCCTGCTCCTCCTGCTTGGAAGCAGGCCTTTGCAAGGAAGCTGCAGGCCTCTTCATGGCTGGGCTCACTAGGGTCTACTGGGCTTCTTTTGCTTTTGGGCCAGCAGCTGCTCTGTAATGTTTGGCTCACTTGGATGTGGCTGTGGCCCAAAGGGCCATGAAACCAATCTGGGGCTATCCAGCCCAGCTTCTCAAAGGGGCTCCAGCTATGTTGGATTTGGCTCAAGGGCTTATCCAGCCCAAAGAAAATATTAGCAAAAACAAAATTACAAAATAAGGATTGAAACATTTTGTTTGAAAAAATAGAATTGGCTCAAGGGGCTATTCAGCCCAAAGAACATTTTTAGCAAATACTATTAAATAACAATATTTGTGTGAACATATTTGTGTGAATAAGAAAAACTTAAAAACTAATATTAAAAATAAATAAATATTTAAAAAAATGGAAAATTGGGGTTAATCATGTTTTTTTTGTTTAAAAAAACAAAATGAAAATGGTTTTGGTAAATTCATGGTTGTTCATATGAATTCATGGGTGCTCATGTGAATTCATGGGTGTTCATGGGTGTTCATGGGTGTTCATGGGTGTTCATGGGTGCTCATGGGTGTTCATGGGTGTTCATGGGTGTTCATGTGAGCTCATGTGAGCTCATGTGAGCTCCTGTGAGTTCATGGGTGTTTTCATTTTTTTTATTTTTTAAGATTTTTTTTTACCTCAAGGCTCTCCAGCCCAGTTTTTCTGCAGGCTACCTAGCCTACACTTATGAGATGTTCATCCCAAAAAATATGGTAGCTATATTTCAAATATCCAGTTGGCTCTCCAGCCCATAGGTTTCACATATTCAGTGGGCTGCCCAGCCCATAGATTTGACATATTCAATGGGCTCTCCAGCCCATAGATCTCAAATATTCAGTTGGCTCTCCAGCCCATACATTTGAAATATTTAGTGGGCTCTCCAGCCCATGGATTTGAATCATTTAGTGGGCTGTCCAGCCCAATCCCTTCCCAGCCCATCAGGCCAAAGCAGCACTTTTTCTTGCCAAAATCTTTAGTGCGCAGATCTGGCTCATGGAGTCTTTAAAAAATATTGTACATGGCCTCCTTTGACTGGCTGGCAATTTTGAGAAACAATTTGCATAGATATGGTGAGGCTAATGTAATCTCTTATTTTTTTAAGGCTTTCCAGCCCAGCCAGTCTCTTCCAGTAAAGGCCAGCCCTCATTGAAATGGCTGAATCTGGTAACCATAGCAGAAACAAATTCTTACAACAAAACATTTTCTTGTGGGGTTGATTTTTGGACTTTCCAGTCCAGCCATTCTTCTGTACCAGGGCTTTCCTATTCTTTGTAGACCTTTTCAATTTCACTCAGCAATTCCCACAGCTCAGCTTTCCTCACATTGCGAATGAGATCCATAGTCTTCATCCTGCCTCTGTAGGATGTGCATCCAGCTCCTTGGATGGTCAGGGAAAATTGGGCTATCCAGCCCATAGTGAATAATGGGCTCTCTAGCCCACTTGAATCAGAACACTCTAATTGCAAGCAAGGCTCTCATACATCCTCGGCAGTGAGTAGATCTCAGGCAGCTCTTCTTTGTGACATAGCTGATCCTCTGGCAATCCCTGCCTCAGCACAAAAAAAGGCTATCCAGCCCAAGAAAATGGGCTATCCAGCCCAAGAGAATGGGCTATCCAGCCCAAGAGAATGGGTTATCCAGCCCAAGAGAATGGGCTATCCAGCCCAAGAGAATGGGCTATCCAGCCCACAAAAACATATTATCCAGCCCAAAAATGGCTCTCCAGCCACACATTGAAATGCTGCCAAAGTCACAGTGGATCATCACATAGTCCAGATCCATGAAGACTAGGGCTTCCCAGAATTCTCTGTCGCCCCCTTCCCAGTCCTCAAGATCTCTGGGGCTCCTGGGCACATGTGGCCATTCTGTGCTTAACATGCATGCTGTGAGAACAACAAACTTGCATGAATTCAATGAAAAAATGGAAAATTAATTAATAGCAACCAACTGAGCCCATGGTACATCTTGCCCTTGGTGTTCCCAAACTCCCCCTCCTGCTCCACCACCTGCTCCACCATGCCAGCTGCCATCTTCCCAGCCTTCCCATCCTCCTTGCCAGCCCCAATCGCTCCAGCCATCCCAGCTTCCATCCCATCCTCCTGCTCCACCACCTGCTGAAGATGAAGCTCCTCCTCCATGTGGGGCTGCAGCTGGTGCAGCTCCATCTCCCCAACTCTTGCCTTTTCCTCCTCCCCCTCCTCCTCCATGTGGGGCTGCAGCTGGTGCAGCTCCATCTCCCCCACTCTTGCCTTTTCCTCCTCCTCCTTCATGTGGTGCAGCTCCATCTCCCTCACTGTTGCCTTTTCCTCCTCCTCCTCCAGCTGGTGCAGATCCATCTCCTTCACTCTTGCCTTTTCCTCCTCCTCCTCCTCCTGCATGTGGGGCTGCAGGTGCTGCAGATCCTTCACTGCCTTTTCCTCCTCCAGATCCTCCAATATCACTCTTCCCTTTTCCTCCTCCATCCCCACTTGCAGCCTCACTCTTCCCTTTTCCTCCATGTGGGGCTGGGTTGTTCCAGGGAGCATTAGGCCATGCTTCTCCTCCTCCTCCTCCTTCTGGGGCAGGGGCTCCTCCCATGGCTCCTCCTGTGGCTGCTGCTGGGGGAGGGGCTGCAGCAGGGGCTGCTGCTGTGGCAGGGGGCAACCATGGAGGCATTGTATGCCCCAAACTCCTTGCAGCTTCCCCCAGCATAGCTGCAAGCATCCTCTCCACCATCACCTCGTAGAAGTCCTGGTCTGCCATTCCTGCAGCAGGACCAATGGGCAATATATATGCTTTTTGTTGGCTCAAGGCTATCCAGCCTAAACAAATGGCTCAAGGCTATCCAGCCAAAAAATGAAGAATGGTGAAACTTAAAAATTGTATATGTTCATTTTGATTGTGTTATTTTGGCTCAAGGCTTTCCAGCCCACAGAATGAAGAGTAATTAAAGGTTGAATATAGTTTCTGTGTGTTACTTGTGTTATTCCTGGCTCAAGGCTATCCAGCCTAACAAAAAAAAAATGGCTTTCCAGCCCACACATAATGGTTACATGTGAAGGGCTATCCAGCCCAAAATCAAAACCCCTCAGCCCAGCAGCAGCAGTCCTTCTGCTACCTGCTGCTTGACTCGAATCAGGTACATGCGGGTTGACTCGAAGTCCAGCTTCATCACTCCTGTGTGCTGCTGGGTGTACAGGGCCAGCTGGAACAGAAACTGTCCAATCTCCATATGTGGAGTGGAACTCTGCCAAACTCCTCAGGTTCTGCCTCCACACTGCTGCACCTCCTCCTCCTCCTCCTGGAGGCATTCCTTTTCCTGCCCAGTTCTCTGTCCACCCTCCCTTGTTGCCCTTCTCACCCTTCTTGCCCTTCCCAGCAGGGTCCATGGCTTCAGCTACTCCCTTGGGCTGGCTGCTACTTGCCAAGCTTTGGGCCTCACTTCTGGTGAGGGCACACATGATGGTTGGTTCAAGAAATGTTTTTGGCCTACCCAGCCCACAAAAATGCTTTGGGCTATCCAGCCCACAGAATGGTGTAGGCTATCCAGCCCACAGATGATTTGGGTTTTCCAGCCCACAGAAATGCTTTGGGCTATCCAGCCCACAGAATGGTGTAGGCTATCCAGCCCACAGATGATTTGGGCTATCCAGCCCACAGCAATGTTTTGGACTATCCAGTCCACAGAAATATTGTTGGCTATTCAGCCCACAGAAATGATTTGGGCTATCCAGCCCACAAAATTGATTTGGGCTATCCAGCCAACGGCCTTATTTAGGCTTTCCAGCCCACAAAAATGCTTTGGACTATCCAGTCCACAAAAAAAAACATTATCCAGCCAACATTGTTTTTTGGGGGCTTTCCTATGCTTTCTGATACCTACACCCAGATGCCCAGCCCACTAAAAAGCTGTAGGCTAAACTACACAGGTACCCCACACATCAGGCCAACACATTTTTTTCTTTTCCCATGTCCTCCTACTTTTGCAACTTCTTCTCCTTGCAGGCCTTCACTTCACCCAAAGTCTTGCCATCCTCCAACATCTTCTTCAGCTCTGCTGCAATCTTCTTGCTCTGCTCCAAGCCCTTGTGACTCTTCACTTGCAGTATCTGCTGGCCCCCTCTGATCCTCACAGCACAGCTCCCCACTTTCTTGTAGGGCATGAGGATCAAAGGCTGTGTCACTGACTGCTCATCGCCAAGTTTGCCAGTTCCAGGGGCCTTGGCAGCAGCTGGTTTCTTGCAGGCAGCAGCTGGTTTCTTGCATGCAGCAGGCCTTTTCTTGGCTACTTCAGCTTTCAGCAGAGCTTTCCTCACAGGGATTGGCTTGCTTTTCCTGGCAGAAGCCAGCAGGCCTTCATCTTCTGATTCCCCTTCTTGAGTGGAAGGGATCTGGAACTCTTCCAACAGTGCTGCTGTGCCAGGGCTTACACCCTTCTTCTCTTCTTCATTCTTCTTCTTCTTCTTTACTGGGGTGGCTTCTTCCTTATCTTCTCCAAACCTTTTTGCAGGCTGCTCATCTTTTTTCAGCAACCCTGCTATCTCTTCCAGCTTTTTAGCTTGGAAACTTGTGAGTTTGGAGCAAGCCTCAGCCAGTCTGCCCTCATCTCTGCCAATCCTCCTGGCATGGTTGCAGACAACCAAAATGCCATCTGCAAATGCCTTGGCAGCATTCCCTTGTTGGCTGACAGGGAACCTGTCCTTCAGGCCAGGGAATTGCTTCAGCACTTCAACAAACACCCTCTTCAGGGTTGAGTACTTGAACTCCAGTGTGGAGCTCACTTTCAGCAAATCTTCTACTACATGCTGAAGGTCTGCCAGGGCACTTCCTCTCACAGCATGGCTGGCTTCTGTGTGGAAGTAGGCTCCTAAGGCAAAACTGGCAGAGACACCAGCTTTCTGGACATGGCTCAGGCAGGTGTCAAGGAGGTGCTCCTCATCCACCTCAGGAACTTGTGTCCTTCTGGCCCCCCCCTTCTGCTTCTTGGACATGGCAAAAAATCCTGCAGAAGCCAGTTCCAAGACACAATTTTGAGGCTATCCAGCCTATAGTGATGAAGCTATCCAGCCTATAGTGATGAGGCTATCCAGCCTATAGTGATGAGGCTACCCAGCCCAGCTGCAAGCATGATTTGGAAACTGCCAAAAGATGAGGCTATCCAGCCTGCAAGGGCTATCCAGCCCAGCTGCAATCAGGCTTGGAAAATTGCAAACAATTGATAGAAAATTGTTTTTTTTCAAGTTGATAATTCAAGTGAAAATTCAAGTGAAAATTCAATAGAAATTTCTCAGTTTTCAATAGAAAATTCAATCGTTTTTTTTTACTTTTCACTTGAAAAATTCAATCGATTGCAAATTTCAATCGCCACTTGAAAATGCAAAAAATTCAATATTTCACTTGATTTTTTTCAAGTGAGGATGCTTTGGGACTTTTGGAATGATAACCCCGTAGAAGCCATAGAAACGACAATTTGTATCAATTTATAACAAGAAAATCACAGGTATTTCGGTCCTTAACTGCAACTAGGGCTGGTATTTCGGCACGTCCAAGTAGCCAGGTTACTGAGCATCGCGCTGCTCTTGAGCATTGTTGAAAGTGTGGCCGGAAGCTCATTTCTAAAAAAGGCATCTGGTGCAAATGTTCGTCACTTGATTGTTTTTTCAATAATTGCGTTTTGTGGTTGGTAACATGTTTGAACAAATTGGTTCTACACATGTATGCGGTATGCGTAATCAAAAACGTGAAATGTTGCAGGCAAACACTTGCAACTGGCTGGCAGATCTGAATGATTAGATTCATGGATACTGGACAATTTATCAATGTGTCATGACACTTCGTTCGAAACCATAGATTCAGTTACTGCCAATGCTGCAGGGCATACCGGCGGCAAAAGGAAAAACATTATTTTAAGAAGTTTTTGTGTAATACGTGTGACTGAGCTGGCAATAAAAAGAGGTCCATACAGAACCATGTAATGGAGAGCCAATAAAAATCAGCATCGATATTGAAATGCAACACAATAACATGTGGACATACTGGACGGTTTCAAACAAAAAAGTGCCGATAATGCTCAAATAAAAAACTGGGGGTCCTTTTTGCATTTTACCTTCCATTGTGCCGGCCACCTTGGTCCCATCTTTGTTCAAAAAAGATGTTGTTCGTGTTTTTTTAATGATTTTGTGACATTGCAGTCGAGTGAAGATAGAACACAAAAAAACACATGTGAGCATTGAAGGCATACTTGAGGGTGTTCCAGTTTTAAGTGGTTATACAATGTTATACAACCATGGTAGGATTATATCCCAACTTATGAAGGTCATGGAATGTAGTTGTAGTTTTACCGCTCCAACTGCACCCCCTGAGGTGGTATGCCCTTCGAAAATGTCGACCGGAGAGACTTACTATTGTTTTTCATCATCTCAGGCGGCTGATATCGGCTGATCGGAAATTCCGGATCAAATAGAGCTACTATACCAGAATATATATATATAACCAATTCCCTGAAAATTAGGCCTTATATATATATATATATATGGTGGGTAACGGTGGGCACCTCCAATTGAGATGATGCACGGGAAAAAAGTGCAGTCAAATCGTACCTCTAACAGCCAACGTGGAACTAATGAGAATGGGTTTATACAATTATGATTTGGGTTTGTTTGAAAATCGGGTGCCCGGAAATTCCTTGGTTTATCAACCTTCAGAAATGCATTTTTTCAGGGTGGACCCATTTTCAGACAAACCCATTTGGAGAATTGCGATTCTCTTGTGTACCTGCTGCTCAGGGTTCTTCTTGGTGCCAGATAATTTGGTAATCAATGTTTATGCACCCAAACATCGCTATAAATCCTGTATGATGGGGGGTAGGCCAAAAAAACAAGTTCTGATTGTTGGATGGGAACTCAATGTTGCCCATGAAACTGCCACATTTCAAAATATTGCCTTGTCATTCCTTGGATTAAAACATGCGCGACCCTTTCAAAATGCCTGACCCCAAACAAGGTTGTTCCAACCCATTCTAGGTAACTTATGGCCATTTGTGTGCCGAAAATTCGCGATTTGGCTGATGTATTTACCCATTCCTCCCCAAAACCATCTGGGGTGTTGGGAGCAAACCTGACCAAACATCAACCTTGGCTTAGCTCTGGCTGTCTCATCCACCCCCATGTTTTATATCTCGGGTGGCCTCACCTTGTATGCAACTTCGGATTTGCAGCTTGGTCACTCTTACATGGATACTTTAATCCTTTATGATTTTGATATTAATGGGAATATCTACCAACCAGCAAAGAATTTATTTTTTTGCAGGGTATCTAAGATTGGCAATGTTTGGAATGAAGATCCCTTGGATGGGGATTGTGGTACCCTCTGGTAATGACTAACAGTTTGCGAACTTGAAGCCATGGCAATTTAGTTCGTTGATTTACCCATGAAAAATGCTGGTTTTCCATATAGTTATGTGGCTGTTTACCAGAGGGTACTTAATAATCCTTTTGCTATCGTATGCTATGGGTCAAATTGTGATTTTCACGTTAAACAGCAACTTTTTATGAACCAATGCAGGCTATAGAAAGCCATGGCCATGATCTACACAGTTACAACCTGGGATGATCTGTTTCCCAATTGGTATTCAAAGCATCACCAACCAACAGCGTTCGCAGGTTTCTAGTCCTGTCCAAAGAAATCAGTTTGCGCAGACTCGGTGATGTTCTGAAAAAATACATTGATCTGGGCAAATTATAAGGACCTCACGTCGCGACCTCATTGGAATCATGCTTAGTCAGAGGGATCATCCCCAAATGGTTTTAATTCAGGTTTAGCCCCTTAGGTTCAAGCCTTCCCGTGGCGGGGGTGTGTGTTCCTGCTAGACACCCAATTGAACCATGGCATTTTCAGCAATGGACCATTTGGGGCTGGACCCAGGGCGTTTGGCTTCTTGGCGTTCCTTGCTCTGCGATATTGAAACCTTAGGATCCTCAAACATTGGGCTTGACAATCTGGGAAAGGGAATGGTGAACCTCCTGGTGACCAATGCAAGTTCACAATCCAATGGTTTGATTTCAGCAGACATGATGGTTCCACTGGGAACTTCAACCATGAGTGCAATGACTAGCAGGATACAATGGGACGAGCAACGCAAGCTTGATGACATCATGCTTTTGTGGGATGTGCGAGACCATCATTATCCTGACATGTGGTTGTTGAAGGCGTATTCACCGTTTCCATGTGATTCACAGTGGGATTTTGCAGTGACAGACCAAACCACACTTGTGCCAGTAACTAAGAATGATTCCCCCAAGATTCACATCCTGGAGCTTTTTGCTGGCGCATACGGTGGATGGTCCTCAACCATTCAACACTTGCAGGATTTTCATGACCTTGATGCACAGACTATTTCAGTAGAGTTTGATTTGAAGACATGTCTCTTCCATGCCGCCAGTAGGTCCACGCCAATCATCAATGGGTTTACGAAGCTTCCCACAAACCTTTTTCAGGGTTTTCACAATGATTTGATGATTCATGCAGATGCAACAAGCTTGGATTGGATTGCGCCAATTGGTGCGTGGCATCCGGACATTGTCTGTCTCTCTCCACCGTGTCCGCCGTGGTCCAGGGCAGGTCGAGGTGCAGGCTTAGGATCAATCGAGGGAATGCTTTTTCCAGAGAGTGTTAGTCTTCTTCGTTGGTTGCAACCTTCCTTGATTTTGGTTGAGAATGTTGCTGTTTTCCAAAGCCATGAGCATAAACCTTTTGTGCTTCGAACTATTTCCATGCTTGGATACCGACTGGCGTGGGCAAGAGTCTTGGATCTCAAAGCACATGCACCATGTTCACGACCCAGATGGCTTGCACTTTTCGAAAGATGCAGTGACCCCATGATTGATCAGATTCCGTTTCAAATGTGGCCGAATGGTGGTACGCATACTCCTGAAACATTTGATTCAATCTTGCCACCGCCTTGGGCTCTGGACCAAGCTCTGAGGATTGATGATGAGACCATGCAAATCTTAGCCAACCCTCTTTTTGCACCATGGAAGACCAACAGAATTTTGAGTAGGGAACAGGTACTGGAAACCCGGAGATAGCAAAAATGTGATACTCTCCCTGCTTTTTTGGCTTCTTACGGCAGACAGCACAGATTCAGCGAGCACGAGTTGAAGTCACGTGGATGCCTTGCCCATTTTTTCCGTGATCAAGATCTGGATAGATGGTGGCACCCTCTCGAAGTGTTGTTGCATCACTGTGCCCTGCGAAGTGCCATTTTACCAAAAAATGTTGAAGAATCCTGGAAGTATCTTGGGAACCAAATCTCAACGCTTCACTCAGCCGTGCTTTTGACCAATGCATTGCGAAAGTTCAAGCCAGCCAAGTTCTCTGCATCCGTCCAAGAGGTTTTTCTAACCATTGCAGATCAGCGTTTGCGGGCGTCCACATGCCAAATTCAAGAGACTAGTGAATTTTACTGCATTTCGCGAACAGGTCAGAGGCAAATGTCAGGTCAGGAGATTGATCAGTTACTTCACTTCCTAGCCACATGTGGAAATGCATTTTTGCCAGAAAATCAATGGTGGGATTTTGCTGGATTTCATGACATGATTGTTTTTACCGATTTGTGTCATGTTCACGTTGGATCACCAATTTCTATCTCCACCAACCATGAGGATGAGATCTCGTATTTCCCAGAAACTTTGCAATTCCAACCCGTCATCAATGCCAGCTTCCATTGTGCAGATGTCGAAAGAACTCTGGCCGTCTCAGCAGCCTTGTCCAACGCAGACATTGTGCAACTTTGGGGCGGTAGATGTCAAGTCGAGCATGATTCACCATTTGGCATTCAACTTTTACCGATTGTTGGGGCACATGCCTACAACAATGCAGAAAAGGTCATTGTTTGCTGCCAAGACGGATCGATCACCGTCTATTTGCTTGATCAGACTGAATCACTGAGAAAACAGATTGATGCCACCACAGATGCCCAGTTTCGTTTCGATGTGTTTGGTGAAATCACTACTGGCCAAAGATTCCACCAACTGAACATTGCTTTTCCACATGAGCTCAAACATGGATCGGTTTCAGTTGACATTATGTTTGCATTGGCCGCGCTTTCCCTTTGCAATGTTTTGTTTCAATATGACCAATTCCATGATATCTGGGCTATTCTCATTCAAGGTGACAGCTCAACCCTGCAGGCAAAGACTTTTGTCCAAGAAATTCTGAAAGCGGTGTTCACAGAAGATGTGCTCCACACCCTTGGGCGTGAGCTGCACACGGACACAGATCACCGAATCCTTTTCAGACCATGCAGTGCCAAATGCCCAGCACCACCTGAAGTGATGAAGACTGTCTTCGCAGTTTTGTTTGCCCGAATTTTGCTCGACAATTTTGCAGTCTCACATGGCCAAGAAACCATCCTTAAATGGAGAGGTCGTCCTTTGTGGAAAGGACGCATGGATACATCCGTTTCAGCTGAGGTACTTGCCAAAGCTCTCCAGTATGCATTATCGGCGTGCACAGATTTCTCAGCGATCCGAATTGTCCATCGTTCCAAACAGTTTGCATCCGGCTTCGTTTCCGAACTTGAACCCTCGCCCGGCAACCCATTGTTGCTGCATTTATCCGAAGAAATTTGGGGAGGAGGTGGTCCCAGCTCAACAAAAGGGCAAGTTAAGCAGAAAATCAGAAACAGCATTGCAGGATCCCTTTTGTCTCAAGGATTTGAACTGGGATGGGTGCATTCAAATGTCGAAAAGATTTTGGACCAAGTGCCACAAAGAACATTGATGCCCATAGTTGCCTTGCCGGATGGACAGCAGAAAGAAACAAAGTTCAAACAGATGCTGTTGGACTGCAACATTGACTTGCCGAAAATTGAGACCAGGTCCACAAAGGCCCAATCACTGATGCCAAAGCACAAAAAGCGACAGACCATGTATCTCAATCCTGCCGAGTATCAGCTTGATTGCTCTTGCTTTCTCAATGAAGATGGCTCACATCCAAATCAGATCACGGATTTCCGTGGTGGCATGACCGGAGTTTGTTTGGTTGATGCAGACATGGCCAAGCCTTGGCTCCACAGCAACAAACAACTTTCCTCGGATGAGTTAGGCATGTTGATCCTAGGACCATTGCCAGTTAAGTGTGATCTTGACCATCAGGAAGTTGTCGTGCCAGGATGGGATCGAATGCAACAGCATGTCTTGCTTAGTGCTACTTTGGTTCAATTTGGCGCAAAGAAGCTTGCTCCCAAACAGTGGGAGAAGACCATTTTCACTGCCAACATTTCCAAAGTTGTCGCTTTCACCTTGTGGAGACAGGATTGGACAAAAGAAGAATGGGGTGCTGCTCTGTCGCAAACAAATCAGTTCATCCGTGAAATCTTTGCATCGCAAGGAGTCCATGCCATTGTCGCATTTTGGGGACGTAGCCTCCGCTCAGGGCGATCCCAGGCGACACCAGACAATGCCACGAGCATGCAAATCCATGCCTCTATTGAGTCCGAGAACTACCTCAAGTTGCTAACCCTCACCGGGTTCAACAAAGTTTGGGCAGCACCAAAGCTCGAATCCGGGCGCCTGAGCGATGAATTCCGCATTTTGTGGCTACCAGCTACAGTTGATGACTTGCAGAAAGCAGCCGCTATGTCAGCCACCATGTCAGGCAATTGCGGGCTTGTACGCGGAAGAAGTAACTTTGGCATCAGATTGTCCAAAGCAAGCTTTGAGTCAGCATGGAAACATTTGCACCCATCAGAACCTTGCCCGCCAGATATCCCCTCAACATTTGTGTACAAGCTTGAGCCATTGCCATTTGGATCCAACCCGCAAGTTTTGTTGGAATGGGGAAAGCACGTGAAGTGGGTCTTTCGACCAATGAAGCCGACTGGACCAAGGGCATGGCTGGTATGCACGGGCGAAGCGCCACCTTCCACACAATTGGCATTTAACGGCCAGGTTGTCCTCGCCACCTTGCTGCCACCGCGACAAAGTGCCAAAACTTCCATGATAGTTGCCGGACCACGTTTGCCAGCCGCTGACAAAAGAGTCACAGAGAAGAATTCAAACACCAACACAGACCCATGGGCAACATACCGAGCCATGAATCCATTCTCTGCGCATAGCTCACAGCCCACTGCTGTCGCCACACCTGGCCCCACTGAAGCCAGATTTCAGCAGCAAGAGGAGAAGCTAACTGACTTCGAGCAGAAACTGAATGAAATCCAGAGCATCCAACAGCAGCAAGCCCATACCATGTCTGCCATTACAACCGAAGTCCAAACAACCGAGAAGCGATTGCAAGCTTCGGTCACCCAAGCAATCGATGGCGTCAAAGCTGAGCTGACCAACTCGTTCGCAGCAGCTTTGGGCGCACAGACAAAACAGTTTGACCATGGAATGAATGAAATCAAAGCTCTGTTGCATGCCTCCATGAAGCGCAAAACAACAGAGCCAGGAGATGCCGAAATGAGATCGTGACAAACCAAAGGGAGGACTTTATTAATTGAAGAGCATTTTGCTTTGCACACCCATGCCAGTCATAGGCTTGCCACGTGTAGCAGTAGGAATACAGTGCGAATCGCTGAGACTGATTCCCCACCCAGTCTCCAATGGGCCGCAGCCATTGTACCGCCTGCTTTAGGAGCAACCATTTTGATGACCAGCGTCCAACCATTTGCCATTTTTGTACAGACTTTTGCATCCCTAAGTTTTATGCTATCACAACCTTGGAGACCGAGATTAGGATGTGCATTCCGTTTCGGCGAAGCCAAAAATCCAGGGCCTGAATCACCTCGGGATGAAATGTTTATTAACTTGGGCATCTGTAACCCAACCAGTATTTTCCATAAATTTGATACCATTGACCAGCTTTTTGCATCAGCCAACTTGCACATTTTGTGCCTATCCGAGACATCCGCCACAGACCACACACAGCAATGTTTCCAGAAACAAGCAAGAGCAAAGAATATTACATGCTTGTGGTCACCGCCCGCGGCCGCCCAAAGCACACGAATCACAGGTGAACAAAGTAAAAGAGGCAGAGCAGGTGGCACCGCCATCATGTCCCAATTGCCTTGCCGCCTAGCTCGTAACCCACGTGAGCAAGATTGGATTACTTCCACTCGTTTCTGTCATTCAGTTTGCAACTTGGGACCCATGCTGGTCCAGGTGGTTTGTATTTACGGTCTCACATCCAGCCATGCCGGATCTAAGGAATTCACTGACTCCATGTTGCAGATGATACTCCAGAGGGTCACTTTAATAGGCTTGCCGTACATCATAGCTGGTGATTTCAATTTGGAGCCATCTACTCTTCCCAACTGGGACAGTTTTGTGAATTTCGGATGTACAGACCTGATTCAAGCCCATCTTGATTTGACAGGACACGTAATGCCCAATACTTGTTTAGAAGCCACCAAACCAGATAATGCCATTTTGTCCAAGGAGCTTAGACCGTTTCTCACACACATAAACGTGTTGGAAGCCACTTGGTTCACCACGCATAGGCCGGTTGCTTTGTCTTTTTGCTTTCCAATAAAGCCCATCCTTACCAAGGTTTTGCGTCAGCCTAAGACTTGGATTGGACTTGGAGTTGACCAGGAGGACATTCAAAAAGTCATGCCTTTGCTTGCCACCTGTGACGCACCCACAACCCTGGAGGAGTGGGGAAAACAGGTTGAATTTGCAGTAGATTTGGCCATACAACATGCAAAACCATGCACTTTCCCGGTATCAAAATTGCCCAAAAAATACAGAGGTAGATGCATGCCATGTTCTCCAGTAAAAACATCTTTGACTTCCCAGCTGAGACCAGCACGAAATGGCGAATATGACCCCGAAAATGAAGTTTTCTGCATAGCCACTAAGCGCTGTATCAAGCAGCTGCGTAGGATCCAAAGTTTGCAAAGGAGAATGAAAAAGGTTGAAACTGAAGGATGCGTGTGGTTTCGCACTCAGCAGGAGTTGCAGACAGAATGGAAAAAGATACTGCATTGCACGTGTTTCAAGATGCCATTTCCACGATGGATCCAAGCAATTCCAGAATGTGGACCGGCACCCATTTGGCCATCCAGCCACTGGTTGCATACTCTCACACAGTTTGTTCGGTTTGAAGTGGACAAAATGGTTCAACATGAGCACCAGCAATCTCTCGCCTTTGCCAAATACAAAATAACCTGCGATGAGAAGTATCACGGTGCCAAACATGCCTTTGCCAATATTCGTAATGCTACGCCTTTGCCTGTCACACATGCAAAAAAGGAGCAAACATGGGAAGTCACTTGCACATGGGATGTACAGGACAGCACTGTTACATGTCACATGCCCACACCGCATGAGTTATGCCCATCATTGCCAGTTGCAGTTTCGAGCCAGGTTGCGCACATTGTTGAACTCCAGAGCACCCATTTTGTAGCTAAGCTTGATAAAATGCCTGAATGCCTGCCGGAGCAAGTCACCATCAAGCAATCCAAGGTTTATATGCACCCTCATGAAGTTGCTGAACAGCTCAGTGATTTTTGGTTGCCTTTGTGGCAAGCTCCACATAGACCAATCACCGTTGAAGACCAGCTGCTTTTCCAAGAGGTTGTCTCTTGCCTCCCCGTGAGACCAAATGTTCAACTCGACTTCAGCTTGCCTGCGTGGAAACATGCCATTAGTCGCATCAAACCAACAGCCGCTAGGGGCATTGACGCCATAGCACCTGCTGAATTGAAAATGTTGCCTGACCTGCTCATTGAGCGTTTGCGCCAAGTATGCATGTCATATCAGACAGGTTTCCCACCATGGTTTATGACCGCAAAAGTCACGCCCTTGAATAAAACCACGGGGACACCGGCTGGGCACGAAATTAGGCCCATCACTATCTTCAGTCTCCTTTACAGACTTTGGGCTTCCTTAATTTGTAAACAGACTTTGCAGCAGTGGAACAATTGGTGTCCAGCCGACATCAGTGGACTTATGCCAGGACGTGGAGCACACTTGGCCTCATATGATACACAGGCAATGCTTGAGTTTCATCGGTTTTCGCATGAATTTCCCTCAGGACTAACCTTCGATCTCAAAAAATGTTTCAATTGCATCAGGCAAAACATCGCATTTTTGCTTCTGGTTGAGATGAAGCTGCCGCCTGAACTTGTCCAACAGATGCAGAGATCCATCGAACACATGTCACGATATTGGCAAATTTCCAATGAGCATTTTGGCCCACACCATGCCACATGGGGTTTTGCTGAGGGTGATCCGTTCAGCGTGTTGATCATGATATCCATTGCACTTGCTTGGACGAGTTTTATCAAGGCGAAATGCCCCTCCATTTTTCCCTCTGCGTACGCAGACAATTGGGCTTGGAAGGCGCTTGAGACAGAGCCACAAATAGACGCATTCAAGCATACTCTCCAGCTCACACACCTTTTTGGCTTGCAGATTGACTCCAAAAAATCTTGGGTCTGGGCGGTTGACACCAACCATGCCAATGCCTTACTAGGAGCTTTCAATGAGATCTTGCCTGGTGCCACTTTCTGTAGAGCACATCATGAAAAGGATTTAGGACTTGAAATTCTCTACTCCGGCGGAGTGAGGCTAGGACATCGCAAACAAAGATTTGAACAAGGACTTGAAAAACTGCAAAAACTCCAAAAGCAGCACTTAAGCCTTAGTTTAAAGACTAGATTGCTTCTGGCCAGTGTTTACCCTTCCATGTTCCACGGAGCTGAAATTCACCCGGTTTCCATCGATAAGGTTGATAAGCTTCGTAGCAAGGTCGCAGCTGCAGTGGTGGGTGAATCCCATAACCTTAATCCCGCTGTTGCGCTGTTATTGGCTGGTAACCAAGTCTTGGATCCCAATGTTTGGCTCATTCTACAAGCTATTAGGGCAGCACAGACATGGCTTGCTGTGCAAGACCCAGACATACAAGCCACGTTTTTCAAAGTTGCATCCCAATTTCTCGGGGGTGCGTTAGCTGTAAAAGGCCCTGCAGCAGCTTTGAAATGCTACCTGCGACGTGTTGATTGGGACATTAGCCCTGATGGAAGTATTCACACATCCGCATTTGAAAAGCTGCACTTGCTCAGTGACCCGCTAGCAAAATTCAACATGCATTTGACACTTGCATGGCAAAGGGACCTGCTGAAACTCTACACCACTCGTAGAAACTGGCATTACCTGCCCGACATCAGCCGGCTCGACACCATTCAAGTCCTTCGCAAGTTTGAGGACAAGCAGCGTCGGCAACTAATTCGGCACATTAGTGGAGCATTCCAGTTGGAAACGCAAAAGCAACAGTGGACCACTGCCACTGATCAATGCCAATTCTGTGGTGAGACAGATAGCTATGCGCATAGACTGCTAAATTGCCCCACATTTGCGGATGTCCGAGAACCATACTTGCCATTGCTTAAATACATAGATGAACATGAGACACACCACGCAGACATGCCTGTTGTTTTTGTTCACCCTGAATCCGATGCTCATAGACTGCTCCATGCGGCAGAACCAGCAGCAATAATCGCCGACGCAATCCGAAGTGAATGTGAGTCCCGTGCCGCCGCCCACGAGCAGATACACATTTTCACTGATGGTAGTTGTCAACATCCTTCATCTCCAACCACTAGGTACTGCGCTTTTTCGGGGGTGCTGGATCTTTTACATGCTGATGCAGAAAGAGTTGACGCTGCAGAGCGGGCCGTGGCTTCGCACGCTGCTCCTACGACGTTTCAGGGTATTTTTGCAGCCAGGTTGAAGGGGGAACAGTCGATTAACAGAGCCGAAGTTGAAGCCATCATAACAGCCTTGCAACTCCCAGGCAGGTTAGTTATTCACACAGATAGCGCTTATGCAATTCTCTGCGTGCAGCGATGCCGTTCCGCAGCATCTTCCCATGACTTGCGTAGGTTTGCCAACTTTGACTTGCTGACCCGACTAAGTAAAGCACTCAGAGCTGAAGTAACCGTTTGCAAAGTCGACGCACACAAAGAACCTTTTGGTGTTTCATGTCCGCTGCAGAGGTATTTTACTTTTGGTAATGCACAAGCAGACGCTACGGCTGTGTACGCATGTCAGCATCTGCAACCCGCATGGGCTGCTAGTCTTGAGGCAAAACACCATGACATCCATAGTGATAGGGATATGCTGCATCAGTGCTACAACCTGATTTTGGAGCTACAGGACGCCAGGGCTGCCTGCTCTCAAACCCTAGGGCGGGATGACGATACTTCAGCTGCAGCACATGTAAGTCAACAAGCGACTGTTTCTCAAGAGCTGGCCACATGGCGGCCAATTAACGGCATCGAAATCGAAATGCCAGATACCACTGCGTGGGAAAAATTCTTTTCATGGGGACCCTCGCTTGCACGAGAGTTCGCCCACTGGTTAGTGCATTGTGTTTGGCAGTCAGAACTTGAACCAGGAATGGCCGGACGGGTTGGCGTTTCATGGCTTGAGCTTGCGCTTTCCTTTTCCCTGTTTCGTAAGAAGGTTTTGCCTATCATTCGCACTGATGATGAGAATAATCAGCTTCTCATGTTCACAGAAGACAATGATGACATCAGCCATCACTACATAACCCATGCAGACCAGGCTCATTCCTTTCAGACCATGTGGGGGCAGGCTATCGGGTGGATGCCTGCAGGTACTATCCCCGTTGTTCCACGTGGGCTCTGCAGTTCCCTGTATGTTCAGGGCTTTCTTCAGCAGACATCAGGATTGCAGATGAGAATTAGCTTTTTTGGTCAAGAAACCATTGCTAAGTACGTGGTCGACCACTTGCGAAATCAGAAAGACTATTCACAACTCTGCAGGTACCACTGGGTTGAGGCCCGCTCTTCTAGCCTGGAGGTTGCAGATTGGTGTCATTTGCAGGTACAACAGCGGAAGTTCAAGTGCGATGCAAAGCGAAGCTGATCGTTTTCACCAGTCATGAGACTCCACTTCGCCAATCGGCCGGGTGGGAACTCGTTGCATAAGGCGAAAGAAAGAAAAGGTTTTAATTCAGGTTTGTGAAATATTATAATTTACCCAGATTGATGTTCAAGATGTTGAATCAAAGTGAGGGTCCTAGAAAGGGCTGTTGTGTTACTGCATGCACAGATTTCGTAGAACTGGTTGATGGGAGAAGAGTTTCTGGAATCCCCCCACCTAGTCATGGTGTGGAGAAACCCATTCCATAGTTTTCCTGGAGATGCTGAATTGAATCAACCCATTGAAAGTTTGAAGTATAATTAACCTTCCTGAATTGGATGATGGGAAAATTGAAAACAGAAAAAAAACAGAAACTCCTATATATAAACATATATATTGATAATATAAGTAATGGTATCCTCTGGATTTTCTCCTAAACCCATCCATTGACTTCTAGAATTCAGTTCTTTTTGAGGAAAACTGCTTTTTTAGCAGGATTTCCTGATCCCCTCCAACTTGGCAGGGGATTAGTCAAGCCCCCAAGACCATTGGATTTTAAGAAACATGTGGCGGGAATGAAGATACCTTCAGGTAATCAAACATGGCAATGGACAATTCCCTATTCATAGATGATTTTCCCAAGAAATAACATTTATAGGCGGTTTCCAGTTGCTATGTTTGATTGCCGGAGGCTATTTGATTGTGTCTTCTTATAGGGTACGCGAGAAAACAACAATTTCCCGCGATTCATTCTTAACTTTCCTCGAACATATTCATACTGGGGTACACCCAATTTCTCCAACAATTCCATTTCTAGGGATATTCACATGTCCCAATTTTAGATGACTGTGGTGAGTACCCAGTGAGCACATCAAGTAAACAAACATGTCATGTTCAGAACATCCTGAAAACATTAAAAACCTGCGGATTTCCATCGGATTTCCCAAAATTAGCACCTTTTTTCCATGGGTTTTTCATGGAGCCATCGATGGTCAGCTGCAGCCACCCGTGAAAACCCACATCGGGGTCCGCGGAATCCGTGGAATCGCCCATGGTTCGTTTTCATATCTTGGCCCTCGTATGGGTCGTATGCTACAGCGAAGAGCTTTGTGCAGCTTGGCGGTGGATGCTGTTTGATGTTGATCCTATGGACTACTCTGCGAAATTTCCGGTAGTTGCCCCACAGTTATGGCCATTTATTAGTTATAACTGGTCATTTCTATGGGATTATAAATTCTATGAATGGGGTTCTGTTAGTACTTATAAGTGGTATAACTCGGACCATAACTGCAGATGATATGACATACTGAAGTACCATTAACAGAGACCCGCATGATTTTTCAAAATGCGGCTGGTTCATCATAGGCATTGCATGACACTCCGAGCCTGCAATGGTATACGTTCTCCTTTGTTGTTGGTTCAGTTTATGCAGCCTTTGATTATCATCTAAGTATATCTAAGTTGCGTATTAAAAGTATTATCCTGATTGCCCGGAAAATATCTAGAAACATGTCTTCAGCGTTGTTGCTGATGTCTGTTGCTGAGTAAAAATCTCATGAGACAATCGGAGGTTTCCTCCTCGGTTGATTCCATGCCATTTTTTGTTCCCTGTTTGTTCTTTGTTACATCTACAGTTAAGGCCCGAGTTATACCAGTTATAAGTACTAAGAAACCCCATTTGTAGAATGTATCATCCCATTTATAACCAGTTATAGCCAATAAATGGGCATAACTGTAGGTTGAGTGAGTTGCGACCTGAGAAACCCAATCGGGGGTATGCTGGATTGATCTAGTGCCGAGCTTGATATAGTAGATCAACATGCACGGAATGGTGGACTAATGTTGAACTATGTTGATCTAGGATTTCCCTCCCTCCAAGTGGGGGTTGGAAGACTACTTTCGACGCCAACAAAAATCAAAAAAACACGTGGAGTTCTAGCCCGTTTTGGATTGCCCCCCCCAGCAATCAAACATGGCAATCAGAAATTCCATATAATTCATTTGATTTTTTTAATCGGAACATCATGTATAAAGTGTATAAATGTGTGATTTCCATTCCACGTAAACATCAAATACAGTAACCCTTCAGCTATCACGAACGAAAATTGCAAACGATCAGCACGAGGTCAACGAACCACAATAGGACCGCAATAGGTACAAAGTGGGGCACCTGTGGCCACGAAATCGCTAAGTTGGGGTTCCAATAACTCCAATAACAATGGTTTAAATAGTACTTCTATATATATATATATACAGAGTTACTTGGGCTTAGAAACCAACAAACATAACTGGGGGGCCCCACTTTGTAAGAAGGATAAGTTGGAACAGTTGAAACCATGTTTGTTCCTGGGTTTGCTTGAGGTGAGCTCTCATTTTCCTAAGGAAATCGAAAGGACATTATCAGGAATACTTTGGTCAATCCAAAATCAACAAACCTTATATATGTACCCAATGTTACAGTTATGGCCCTTTACCAGTTATAAGTCAGTTATAACATCATTTATGGAATTATAACCCTATATATAGCCAGTGATAATCATTTACAACTGGTAAATGGCCTCAAGTGTATCAAATTCACAAAATAAATGCCATTTGACAAACTGTTTCATCATTGATTTTATCAGGGATTTGCCCGATGTGCCATGGTCAAAAGTCGGATAATCTATCCATATTAGGGGATGGTCATATATCATGGTCGTATATCATATCATATAATTTCATATCATATCATATCATATCATATTCATAATCATATGTATTGGGAACAATAATCCCATTTGACTAGTATTTTTCAGAGGGGTTGAAACCACCAACCAGATAAGGTTATACATCATGATCATCCCATCAAAATAACTGTTGTTAAGGGCCATAACTTGCGTACTTCTAAGCCTGGGAGAGAGTCCCTCGTTGTTTGATGATCTTAGGACGGTGACTGCGGTGTGAATTTTGTGCCTTGGTTTCCAGATTTCGAACCCCGGGCATGTGTCAACATATAGTTTTACATCAACATTGACATTGCAAATTCATGATTGTTGATACAGTTATGGCCATGGCTATTAGTTATAACTGGTTATTTCTATGGCATTATACATTCTATTTTGATGGGGTTTTCATGGGTTTTCTTAGTACTTATAACTGGTATAACTCGGGCCTTAACTGTACCAAATGTCATCTCCAACTTGACATATTTCATCCACGTGGCAAAGGCTCAGTCGTAATAAGATTGGGATCAACAAAAAGGCATCAGATCGGTCTGTGGTCTGGCATGAGATTTCTTTGGTAAACCAATTTTTTGGGGAACCCATAGGATCCATGTATGCTATATATGCTAACATTTGGGGTACATGGATGGTAAATGTTACCATATATAGCATACATGGATCCTATGGGGAAGGACATGGTTCAAAAATTGTGTACCAGCCGGCAAATTTTCTGCATGTGTTATTGAAACAATGGCAACTACACTCCAGTAAATTAACAGTTTGACCCTGAAAATCGCCAATTCTTAGTGGAAACTAGTCTTCCAACCCCGATGACTGCCAGGGTCGAACTGTTACTTTACCAGAGGGTACAGTAGTCACTTCAGAAAGTTGTGGACCATTGCAAAGCTTTTTTTCTGGCCACTTCCGAACCGTTTTCCTTAGGATTCCCCTTTTTGTTACTCAACAATAATCCACCCAAGAATTACCATTTATATGACTAACAGTTCGCCATGGTATAGATGGCCCATAGAAATAGATGATTTAATTACCTATTAATAGCATGGTGATTTTCCATGGCAAACTGTTAGTCATAACCAGAGGGTATCCATCCAAATATGCCACCTTTCAATAAACATCCATCTGAAATGATTCATCCAAGTTGGTTGACCAAAAAGACTGTATAGAACATAATCCCATGCTTCACTATCATACTTTCTATTCAACAAGCAACCGAAAAACCTTGGATTCTTTTTGTGAAACACACAGAATTTTGGTGACTTGCTCAGCAAGTTCATGTGTTTTTTGGTTGCCCGACTCAGGTGCAGTTAGATCTTTTAAAGACGCGGGGACAAACAGAAACCTCCAACTGGCACCTTGGACCTTCAAGACCTGACTCGAGACTCACCCGATTTCCTGACCAAACGTGCCCTACAGTTATGGCCATGGCTATTAGTTATAACTGGTTATTTCTATGGGATTATACATTCTATAAATGGTGTTTTCTTAGTACTTATAACTGGTATTTCGGGCCTTAACTGTGGGCCCCCCTGGCCACGAGTCATCGCGACTGGTTGGGGTTCACATAACTCCAATTTCACTATGGTTTAAATGGTACTTACAACCCTATGGATCCAAACACCTCCTGAGAATGTACTTAACCCCCCAAATCATACCCCAGTCCCACTTCCTAAGAATGTATTTGGATCTATAGGGATAGTTCCTGGGGCTTAGTGCCACCAACGTTCACATCACGTTTGGGGGCCCCACATATCCAAAGACTCGGTCTCGCTTCATTTCGACGGGGATTATCATCCCTAGGAGGTCATGAAAAAATCCCCAGCAGTTGATCATTGCCAAATAACATGTTATACCCTCCAGTAAATTATTGGGTAACTATGAATCACTGGGATTTTAGGTAGGATTATGGTGGAGGTTTTGCCCATCTACCAACTGGCTTGTCATATATATATATATATTATACTCCTGCACCACCAAAAGGATGGTTGAAACCCTATAAATAGTTGGATAAACTATCTATCAACTGGTGCAGGATTTTTTCCAACCATCGTATTATAACATATTGTAACATATTGTAACATAGTATAGTTCATTCCTAATCATTACATAAAAAGGGGATTGATTCATGATATTTCATTATAACATATGGCAACCAATCTATATATTGTTCAATGAGAAAATTCAATCATATACCCTCTGGTAATTTAACACTTTGCTATTGAAAATGGCCCATAGAAATAATACTATAAAATGATATATTAGAATATATACTATATAAAACCACTATATACTATATAGTGAAATATTACAGTTATGGCCATGTCTATCAGTTATATCTGGTTATTTCTATGGGCTCAAAAACATTCTATTTTGATGGGGTTTTCTTGTTGTACTTATAACTGGTATAACGTAACGGGCCTTAACTGTAGAATATAACACTCCAGAATGCTGGGATGACCATAGTCCAAAGGTTCAACGCCCGCCTCGGGGGGTCGAAAAACGAAGTTTCGAAGTTTTTTTCAGTGGCACGAAGTGGAAATGTGTGCAGTTAAGGCCCGAGTTATACCAGTTGTAAGTACTAAGAAAACCCCATTTGTAGAATGTATAAGCCCATAGAAATAACCAGTTATAACTAATAGCCTTGGCCATAACTGTGGCACACCATGTTTTGATAAATTATTGTTGGGGGGGTTAACGGTCAAAATGCTTTGGAAACCAACCAATTGATGATTTTTGTGTGTTGATTTGCCAGATATGGAATACCTCAAGGTAGTTTCAACAAGTGTTACGCGTGCAAATTGTGTCAGGTGTGAGTCAGTTCAAGAAACTGAACCCTTATTCTTTATGCCCAGACATGAACGATGTTTGTAGTGCAGTACTGTCTAATGTTTGAATGAAACGTGTCTGCATGCAAAGACGTGAATGCCAGTGTGTTTGATTGCAGTTTGCTTGCACTTTGAGCCAAAGCACACTGGTGTATCAATCATGATGTCCCACAACCAAAATTATTCGTTCACAATTGACACATTTCAACCATGAAGTTGGCAGTTGGCCCAAGTCGTTCTTTGGCAAAAGTTGTCATTGATTTGTTTCAATTGTTTTGTGATTTTATGTTTTATTTCACTCCCCGCAGCGCTTATCAAAGATGCTTTGGTTTGGCATGTATATAATGTGATTTGCAATTATGATCAATTATAGGAATATCCTGGACGTAAATTTTATTATATGGGAAAATGTACTAACATGTACTAACTATGTATTGTGTATTACCACTCTAATTCTGGGAATATATATATAATACATATTATATGCTATATATATATATATATATTATCTTATATTATATTGTATTATATTATAACCTCTATATATTTATGATATTATATATGTAATAATGACAATATCATATATATATGTGTGTGTCCCATGGTATCCCAATTATATTCCCCAAGAATGGGGCATGACTGGGCCCTGGGTGTGCCCACTGGATCTCAGGTATCCCAGTAGAGCCATTGATTACAACAGATCTGGACAAAGCTTCATGCCGCAACGGTTGCGCAAAGGGCGCACAACGGGCCGGGGAGGATGGGGGTTTTCGATGGAGATGGTGTGGATTTCTTCTGATTTGTGGGTGTATCATGGATAAATCAGGGTGATAAAAATCGTGACACCATAGACAAACCAAGCACTTTAAGGTGATACATTAGGAATATAATGAGATATAATCGATATACAACCATCGATATAATGATAATGATAAAATTGTTGTGTCTGAAAATCGGATAAACGGTATACCCAAAATTGCCATTTGAAGAGCGAACATGATAGGCTCGACCAGTCAATTCCTGGTGCGCTTGGCGCCTGGCGTTGTTCGTTATCTACGTTCCAAAAGTGCAATCCACGCTGCCACGGCCATTTACCAGTTACACATGATTAATAAGCGTTAACGGCCGTACATGGGGATATTGTTCCATTTAATGGCTATAACTCATAACTGACATATAACTAGATATAACTAGTATTCAGGCTACAACTGCACATTCTTGTGATTTCTGCTGGGAAAAGTGTTGCCATTACCTTCTACATATCTACATGTCACTGGTTGGTGGTTTGGAACATGAATTTTATGACTTTCCATACAGTTGGGAGTTTCCATCCATCCCAACTGACGAAGTCATATTTTTCAGAGGGGTACAAAGTGGGGCCCCCAAACGATAGCTAAGTTGGTGAACATAACTCCAATTTCACTATGGTTTATGGTACTTATAACGAACTAGTTATTGGGGCTTATAAACCAACAAACATCACTAGGGGGCCCATTGTAGGCTCAACCACCAACCAGACATGTCATGATTTGAGAAATGCCATCGGGCCACAGATTTCTAAGACATGTCAGTCTGACGCCACAGGTGTAAAAACTTTCTACAGGGAAGGAAGGCCATATAAACCAGTTATAAACTGTTATTGGATGTCAATGGATATATATATATATATACATGGGGTTATTGATTCCATAAATGGGGTTTCAACTGACTTACAACCAGTAAAGGGCCACAACTGTATGTTTGCTTTCTGTTTGTTGCTATGTTTACTATGTATTAACCCTCCTGTAAACCAACGTAGATTCGTGGTTTTCGCCCATGAAAACCCATCATTTGTAGATCATTGTCCTTGGGATTCAATGGGAATTTCAGGGTCCTAAAATGGAGGTACTCTACCATGGTGGGGATATTGCCTTACATAGACCTTATACATGGTACGTACCTCCAATGTATGTCCCTGAAATGGCCGTTGAACTATCCCACTTATATTACCATACATGGGTTGTAATGAATTCCCAAATCATGGTTTTATTGCATTTAGTTTGCCACATTATTATTAATTACTATTGGTTGTTTTTCCTGCCACAAATGATGATAGATACTAACTGCATTGATTTGTCAAACATGTTTGTGCAAACGTTCATCAAAACATTGCTATTGATCAGTCAGGGAAGGGCAAAGTCACAAAATACAAAGGAAATTCAAGGTTTTAGCGGAATAGTCTTCTACAATGTGGAGTCCCCCAAGTTATGTTTGTTGGCTTATAAATCTTACAATGTGGTGCCCCCCAGTTATAGGTTGGTTTATAAGCCCCAAGAACTATAGATATATCTACCATAGTCCTAGTGAAATTAGATGAAATTTACAGTTATGTTCACCAACTTAGCTATCATAAATCAGCTATAAATCCCACGAAATCTCATTTTCCTATGGTTTTTCCTATGATAATATAAATATTATAGTTCTAAAATGAACTATTATAGTTCTAAAATGTTATACATAGCACCTCGTTCAATTGCACCAACTTAGCGAAAAGTGACACCGTGGAAAAAGTGCCGTCGAAAGTTGGGCGCAGGAATCACAGGGACGGAAATTTTGGAGGAATCCGAGGATGAAGCAACCACAGCCACACCAGAGGAGAAGGCAGTGGAGCCAACTTGAGCCAACAGCCACCGCTCCAACCGCAGAAGATCCTCCAACCGAAAGCGCAGCAGCAGCACCTGCCAGATGGATCTGAAAATCAACGGGAAACACCCAAAATCATCCAATGGTCAATGGTCAATGACCATTTTGGTAAATGGATAAATATGTGGATAAAGCATACAATTTTCTAGGGCTTATAAGCCAATTTTTTGGAGCTTATTGCCATATTATAGCGACGGACAATCACTTAGAACGTATTTTTCCAAATTTTTATTTTTGCACTTAGAACGTCAAAAAATCGCATCACTTAGAACGCAGGACAATTTATCACTTAGAACGTAAAACCATCACTTAGAACGTAGGGAGGCCAATTCAACACTTAGAACGTAAAACCAACACTTAGAACGTGCTAAGTGATTGTCCGCCGCTATAATTATGAACAATTAACATATGATATGTATATACATACATATATATATTATATAAATACTACTACTATCCAAGTACCCACCGTTTCAAATCAACTGTGATGGTTCCCTTCCATGCACAATAAACATAACCCTCCAACCTTCAGAAAGCAATTGTCAGCATATGTATGCACACGTATATACATAGCTTCTTGAAGTGCGTCACCAATACATGTCTATTTGGTCCCTGCGTGGCTTCGCTGAGTGCGGCAACATGATTTCACAAGCCTTTCCACTATCATCATTGACCCAGACACGTTCTAAGTGTTAAATTCCCCGGTACGTTCTAAGTGATGAATCTTGATATTTGGACGGGTACACTTAGAACGTAGAGAATTCATCACTTAGAACGTCGCTGACGGCAGAATATTCAGATTTTTCTAAATACGTTCTAAGTGATTGTCCGTCGCTATATACTGGTTGGTGGTTTGGAACATGAATTTTATGACTTTCCATATATTGGGAATAGTAGCTCCAATTGACTTTCATATTTTGCAGAGTGGTAGGTATACCACCAACCAGATAGTCAATGGCCATTTCAGGAACCTGAATCGGAGATACCACAAAAAAAGGCCTAAATTTCAGCGAATATCCATACAAAAATATGGTGTTATATGGTACTAACGTACCTCCATTTTAGGATCCTGAAATTACCATTGAAATAGTGTATCATTAAATGGGTATGGGTCAAACTCGGGTACTCCAAGAAGTAGATGGTGACTACTAAAAATCAGTGGGTTTTATGGGTCTTCAACTTTGACCCATTTCCAAATATGAACCACGTCGGAAATTGTTTAGATATTCTTTGGAGAAAGAACAAAACAGCCCACAACTATTTCACCATAAATGACGGTAAGGGGCATCATCCCAAATTTGTTGTTTCTTTCCAGTTTTGTAATCATTGTAGTGTGCCCAGATTTGAATGTGTCCAAGCTGTTTTTTGACCACAGCCTATAAATGTCTACCGAATTTCCAAAAGAAAAACCCAGTTATAAATCATCCAACAAGTAGATAAGCGAATGCAAAAATAAAGCAAGTGGAATAGATACATGAATAATCTGAATAATATATATATATAATATGTTCCCCACCATTGAGTCACATCATCTCCAGTCGCTTAGCCCTTGAGGTTCTGCTGAGGGGCCGTTTCCTTTAAAGAAACCGGTGTGGGAGTGACCCGCCGGCAAAAAACACCTGCGGAATCCGGGACAATCCTGGACATCTTGCAGAGATGGACTTCGAAATGATGCAAGGTGGTGCCCCCCCAGTGATGTTTGTTGGTTTATAAGCCCCAATAACTATAGATATATCTACCATAAGTCCTAGTGAAATTAGAGTTATGTGAACCCCAACTTAGCTATCTTGGGGGCACCACATTGTGGCTTTGTCTGATGTTTTTTAGGGGAAAACATGGGACAACCCCAAAATCACATGGTTTTGATGTGTATTTTCCTTGTTAAATGTTGCCATTGGAGGATATACCAGATTTTCAAACACACCCCATATTATTCTAAATATGCGTGATTTATAATTTGATCACAATTGTGGATTGGGATATATTATAAATATGCAGTTTTTTTTGTTGGAAAAGATTTGAACGATAGAAACATCGTAAATAGACATGATGATTAGTGCAATCGTTTATTTGGGATTGGGTAGACTTATGGTTTAATTAAGGATTGTGATAGTTTGAACCCATAGCTTGAACCCAGAATTGACGCTATCCATGATTTCTTGGGATGTGTATTTTACAGGCAATTGATGGACTTAAACCAGAACTTACAATATATTGATATATATATATATATACCAAGGCTATACTTGGAAGTGCAGTTCCAGGTATAAGTGGATATATCACTTACAACCATATAAAATTAAGGGCCCCATATCCCAACTTGTGGGGTTTCTGTCACCATGGTCTTGCCCATTTGTACCGCCAACTGCACCCCTTCTTACTTCAACCCCCATTTCGGCATGAGGGACTCCCAACTTGCAAGTCACCTGATTTTTGTGCAGTAAACCTCATCAGTCCTTGTCACGTTTGATTACCAAAGGCTATTTCCTACAGTTCTCTCCATCCTTATTTACCCTCTTCCAAACGAAGACAGATGTGGAACACGCACCATTTGCAAATGATGTTCCTAGGGAATCCATGGGTTTTCCACATTTTTTGTGTTCACCCACGGGGGTTTTATGCCGCAATACTGGGTAGCACCGTTCATGGCGGATTCTTCACATGTGAGGTACACTGTCAAAGGACTCAATTTTCATCAAACACCCTGCAGCTTGGCGAAAACACCTGGCTGCAGTGGTGTCCCTGCAGTGTGTTGTTTCATGGTGAGTTTCTCCAAAGAATGTCAACCCTTGATCAATAACCCCCTGGGCTGTTTAATTGGAAGGGTACCATTTAAGTATTTGATTATGGCTATTGACTATTGGAGGAGTACCCCCCTAATTAATAAACCATGGTTTATAAATCCGGGGTTGACATTACTATATATATATATACACATCCCTTGGAATCAGGATCTTACTCAACTTACCAGGCGATATTAATAAACCCATATCAACTGTGTTCATATTTATTAATAAACCCATGTAAACTGGAACTTACTAACTATATCGGGGTTGGTTTATAAGTGGAACTTACTTTAAAAAAACAGTGATATGAAACCCATTTCGGTACATCCATTTGAGGCCCCTCAAACAACTTCAGTCTCGATTCGGGCCTAGCACCCCGTCGTGGAAGAGGTGCTTAAAAAACATTCGGGGAATATTAACGAAACAGATGGTTTATACCCCATAGGATCCATGGTGCTGGTATATATGCTAACATTTGGGGTATATGGATGGTAAATGTTACCATATATAGCATACATGGATCCTATGGGTACTACTAAACAGCTCAATTCCCTTAATGATATATATATATATATATAGTTGTTATTTCACCAATTCTTCTATTCTTGGTGGCTTTTGGGAATACGCCCCTGGACATCGAATTCACTGTGGGTGATCAAGTGCCCACACCCATGTACTTTTCACCACCGGCAGGTTTGTCTTCTCCGGCTGGTTCAGATGTGTCGCACGAACAGTCAAGGGAATGGAAGACTCTGTGCGGCCTGTTCCCTGAAAGTGGCATGGCATCGACGCCAATGCCAGACAGTCTGGCTCAATTTTGTTGTGGCGGGAAGCTGAGTTCCGAATTGGATGGCATTGTGATGCGTGCTGCTGCTATGGCCACATGTCTCGAGCGGATAGCTTTGACGGATGGATAAGAACTTCCGGGCCATCACCATGGTGGAGGTCGCAAAAGCCGAGCTCAATGGGCAAGTGGTGTTGCCGTACCACAGAGCTTTGAACGCGATGGGTCCTAGGGGAGTACAGCTCATGCGTAGTCTCATGTCTTCGAATCCATTGAAGCAGAATTCGAGTGGTGAAAGGATGATGTTGAAGATGAGTTGCTGGCCGCAAATACCAGGTGCAGTTCTGGCAGGATTGCGAGCGTTGGAACTTTAAGAAGGGCTGCGCGGAACGCCTCTGGAACTGGTTGCGATGCTGAGGACATTGATGACCTTGTTTGGTCAAGGAGCTGCTTTTGTTGGCTGATGCATAGGGGTTTCAGGTCGTTTCTTCATTTTGGACGTTTTTCCTGTGGATTCTCCCGAGGAGTTCTGCTCACGTCTGCGCCCTCTGCGCTTTTGTCGAGTGTCGGACCTGCGTGGGTGTAGTTGTTTTCCGTTTTTGTGCCATCTCTGCCCACAGCTGCTTTTGTCCGCCTCTGCTGCGAGCTGGCCGTTGCACAGTTTCTTTTTCTGCGGCCTATGTGCAGTTGTTTTGCTCCTGATGTTGGCCTTTAGCCATCAGTGAAGGCAACTTTTTCCATTCCCCCAACGTTACTAATGATCAGTAGTATACTAAGAGGTATTTATCATGAGGGTAACATTGCTGGTTGCATTTTTTTCTGTTTCCCTGGCGATGGTCATCCCCAGTTGATCGTTATAACGACGTTTCGTGAGCAGGTTGAAATCAGCAGCGATTTGTCACAGGTTAGTGTTGTACTCGGTGGCTCATCCCACAAATCGTAAATGGGTTCAAACCCCAGTTAAAAGTGGATTAACCCTACTTATCCGATCTATAACTGGCGCTAAAATCCACTTCCAAAAATTCACATGGACCTTTCCTAATAAAGGTTTGGAGCATTCATGTCCAAGGAAGGTGACTATGTCAGGGTCTATGTTCAATGAGGTGAGGGTACCCTCTGGTAATTTAACATAGCTATTGAACATGGCCATTTATACTTGATTTACCCTTAAAAAGTTGTGATTTTTCATAGTTATGTTTGTTTACAGAGGGTAAGTGTGCAGGTGAAGATTATCCATGTGTTGTTCAGTCCCGTTTCGCGTGTTTTTTTCAGCCGTGCGACTCCACCTGATACGTTGGCAGCCATGGGAAGCAGGTCTTGCCAGAATGATACTCTTAGTCACCAGAGGGAAAAGTAGATAGATCGTTTATTAGTGTAATATTGTGCGGCAAAGTTTCATAAGTTCTATGTTTTTGTTGGTTCTATAGGGGTATCTAAGATTTTCAAAAGTACCATATGTTTTTTGGTGTTCTTTCTGAAGTATGGTGGGAAAGGTGGGGGACATCCGCATACAAAGATATTATGTTTCTCTTCGCAGAGTGTTTTTTTCAGCCGTATGGGGCCATTGGGATGTCTCTTATCTTAAACTGGCTGAAATATGCCATATGCCATACTATGGTTATATAAGTTATATAATGTCATATATCCACTCAAAAAATAGAACATAATAGAACTTGGATATTCCAAGTATAGTAGCATTTCTGTCACGTTCTTTTTTGTTCGTGATCGCTCAATGAACTTCCAACTCACGATGAGCATCCGATGCCTTCGAAGAATTAGACTCTACAAAACACTACAAAGTGGGGCCCCCTAGATAGCTAAGTTGGTTTATAATTCCAATAACTTTTGTTTATGGTACTTATGACTTAAAACTATAGTTACTATAGTTTCTGGGGATTATAAGCCAACTTATAACTGAGGGGCCCCACATTGTATGTTGTTGGTTCATTGGTTGATTCAATTTCCTGATTTATGGTGATATGATGGAGGGTATCGTGGCATTTTTGATGGGATATACCCTCCGGTGTCAGCAAACATGGCGTTCACTGGGACATCAAGGAAGGAAATGGAGGTTTCGTTCGCTGGGAGAATCATATCATCCATACTTGGTGGCTCATCCCACGGCTCGTAAGTGGGTTATAACCAAAGTTATAAATGGGATAAGTAGGGTTAATCCACTTAGAAGTGGGGTGAACTAACCCACTTACAATTCGTGGGTAGTTCGCCACCAAGTGGGGGATTATCCAGCCATGTTTGATTATCAGGGGCTACTCGCCAGCACCCCTGGTCAGCATTGGAGCTCTTCATGAAAAGGGGCCTTAAAGAGGGTGATGAGATGCATGGGTGAGTTTTTTTTTCGTCCCAGTTTGGTCAGAAGAATTCCTGTCTTTGGTCAAATACCGCCCGGTAATCAACCATGGCAATTCGAAATACATGGAAATACAGTAAATGGAGGTTTCAATCAGAAAATCATCTATAAATGTAGGATTTTCCATTGCCATGTTTGATTGCTATAGAGGGTGTGTTTTGGTTTGCCCAAAAATCGTAATGTAAATCAGGTCCCGAATTTAAAACATTGTGATCAACTCTTATGGAGCTAATATAGTGGTACAAGATATGTGGCTTTCCTCAGTCATGGGGGGACCCCAAATCATCCAAGCCATGAAAGCATGCGTATTGAACGCCATGGTGACTCTTGGGGGTTCCCCCATGACTTACAAACTGGGGCCCCCTAGATAGCTAAGTTGGTGAACATAAGTCCAATAACTTTGGTTTTTGGTACTTATAACTATAGTTACTGGGATTTATAAACCAGCAAACATCACTGGGGGTTCCCCCATGACTTAAGAAACTTCTTTTTTTTTCAGTCATCCAACGTAGGTGCATAGTCATAAACCAGCCATTTGGATTATTGGGTTTTAGCAACCATTTGAGTAAAAATTGGGGATGGTAGATTGGTAAATCCTATTCCTGTACTAGCAGTACGCAATGCCATAAACACAACTTGGAGACGGTTCCTACAGTTAAGGCCCGAGTTGTACCAGTTATAAGTACTAAGTACTAAGAAAACCCCATTTATGGAATGTATAATCCCATTTATAACCAGTTATAACTAATAAATGACCATCACTTTATGCGCTTGTGGTTTTCCCATGCGCAAAAAATACCAGGTATCGACGACCAGCACAATGTTTCTCGAAAAACGGGGCGCGTGGCGATGCTGGGAGGATGCAACTAATGACCATGGTATCTTTAATGAAACAAAAGAGGTTGCAGTTATGGCCATTTATTAGTTTTAACTGGTTATAAATGGGATTATACATTCTATAAATGGGTTTATAAGTACTTATAACTGGTAAAGGGCCTTAACTGTGGTCGGTCTGGAAAAATCAGGGCAAAACCGTGGAATTTCGGAACAAGTCATGGTAAATCATCATGTTCCCTTTTAAGATTGCCGTAACTGCGGGGTATACCTCATTCTCAGACACGCCCAAATGATGATAGGACTGGGATTGTTGGGGTTTTCCTAAAATCTTTAGACAAATCATCACCTGACATTTCGAATGCTTTGTGTCTAGCCGCTCGGCTGTGCACTGAATCTGCTGGTAAAAACCTCCAATTATTTTGCTGTAAAAATCCCCGAGTTGACGGGATCCCCGGGATGCTGACCTGCGAATCTCCCAACATATGGCGCCATGTCTACAATATGGGGCCCCCTGAAACGGCCACGAGTCATCGCGATTGCGGCCACATAACTCCAATTTCACGAACTGGTTTGAATGGTACGCAAATAACGAACTAGTTACTGGGACGAATCAAAACCAACAGACATTTGGTGGTTTGGAACATGAACTTTATGACTTTCCATATATTGGGAATAATAATCCCAGCTGACTAATATTTTTCAGAGGGGTTGAAACCACCAACAAACATCGCTGGGGGGAGCCCACATTGTAGGATAACCTCGATTATTGATGAAAAGACTCATCGATCATGGGTTATGATGTGGACCTTTCCAACACCTCGCTCGTACATGAAGACCTTGGATGATAGAAAAAAAACAGTCATCCCGCTGGACTTCACCAGATCCGACATCGAAACGATATTCCTAGAAGCAATACACAAAACAGGTATGAACCATCTTTACAAAGAGATGATTGTGGTGTATGAACCCCACAAGAGATTTCAGCCAGATGGTCTCGAAGAGGAAAGGATTTCAGCTTGTCACTGATTTGGCGCCAACATGGTGTGAAAGGGCATATGTCGCAGCCGCGAAAAGGATGGATTTCAACGGCTCGATATGTGCCTTTAGATTCAGCGATCAAGTTGCCCGTCCACCTGGCATGTTCAGACAAAAAAGGGCATATTGTAGGTGTGAAACCAGCCACTAAAGAAGAACTTGGAAGATTTTGGATGTGATGACTGACTCACAGAATTGGATGATGGTAAAATTTACAGGAAAACCCTATATTTAATGAATGGTAATAAAAGGACCGGATAACCCCACAAGTCAACTTCTTCCAATAATGAGCAAGAAATGTTGTAGCGGGGACGGGGAAGGAAGGAAAGACACAGGAGGAGGTGGAGGAAAGATGGTAAGGTGAAAGATGGTGTGTGACAAAGATGGTGTGGTGAAAGGTGGTGTGTGAAAGATGGTATGTGACAAAGTGGTGTGTGAAAGATGGTGTGTGAAAGATGGTGTGTGACAAAGTGTTGTGTGTGACAAAGTGGTGTGTGAAAGATGGTGTGTGAAAGCTGGTCTGTGACGGTGTGTGAAAGATGGTGTGTGTGTCAAAGATGTGGTGTCAAAGATGGTGTGTGAAAGATGGTGTTTGACAAAGTGGCGTGTGAAAAATGGTGTGTGACAAAGTGGTGTGAAAGATGGTGTGTCAAAGATGGTGTGAAAGATGGTGTGTCAAAGATGGTGGGTGACAAAGTTGTGTGAGAAAGATGGTGTGTGAAAGTTGTGTGTGAAAGAGAGGGTGTGACAAAGTTGTGTGTGAAAGATGGTGTGGTGAAAGATGGTGTGTGAAAGATGGTTTGTGACAAAGTGGTGTGAAAGATTATGTGTGAAAGATGGTGTGTGACAAAGTGGCGTGTCAAAGATGGTTTGAGAGCCAACCCAGAGCTCCTCCAGGAGGCTCTGCGTACTGCGCCTGCCACGCGACAGCCGGCCGCGGCCCAGCGGCGCCCACGCGCGCACCAGCTCCTCCAGAAGGCTCCGTGTATACTGCGCCTGCCGCACGAAAGCCAACTGCGGGCCAGCGGCAGCCACGCGCGCACCAGCTCCTCCAGAAGGCTCCGTGTACTGCGCCTGCCACACGAAAGCTAGCCGCGGCCCAGATGAGTTGTGCTGTGATGCGTGAGATGTGCTGTGTGCGTGATATGTGCTGTGATGAGTGAGATGTGTGAGTGGTGCTGTGATGAGTTGTGATGAGTTGTGCTGTGTGCAAGTGGTGTGATGAGTTGTGCTGTGATGCGTGATGTGAGATGTGATGAGTGGTGCTGTGATGAGATGAGCTGTGATGAGTGGTGCTGTGATGAGCGGTCATAAGTGGTGCTGTGATGGGTTGTGACTGGATGGCGGCAGGGCGGGCGGACGCGGAAGCGGCGGGTGCAAAGCGATAAACAAGAACCCCACACAGTGATGCGGGGAAAAACCATGGTTTCCGGGTAAGATTTTCCCTTAAACCAATCCAATGACTGACGTTGCAAGTGATTGACGATGGTTGCCTGCGAAATGGGACAGCCCCAGTTGACTCTTGAAAAGCTGGCTTCACCAATAGCGACATTGGCGTAGAACTGGGTGAATTCTATAGTCTATATTTCAGATGTATCAGACCAGTTCATGGGGTTTATAACCAATTTGATTCTATGTTTAGTGGGGTTATAAACCATCAAAGATGGCTTGGTTCTTATTCTTACATGAAAAAATCTTTCATCCTGACAGCAGTCACGTTGCTTAGCACATCTGTTGTGCCACTGTTGAGGTGGCGCCCAGGCTACTGGTAGAGTCTTCCCTTCGTGGGTAGCCTTCCTCATCTTGAGCACTTGGTTCATTGTTCACATCATTTGCCAAGCTTTCAGCGGTCAGACACCAACCGTGTCAGACATGGCCTACCACCTACATGCAGTGTGGTACTTCTTGGGATCTTCCCCTGGTTCAACCCTATGGTTGATGGGGTTTATAAACCAAGTTATAACCAGGGAGGCTCACCTTGCAGCTATAATATGGTTACTAGCCGTTCAATCCCACACTCACATTTTCTGGTGATCGCCAAAGTCAGTCTTCAGAGTCGAGTTGCCATTCCCATTCCAACTGATGCGGTGTATACTTGGATGATCTTCCTAGATAGTAACATTAAAAAAATAGTAACTGCTAAATAAGCATGGTTTGTAAGTTCCCCTATTTTTTCAGGTTCTCCCACTTCAAACTGGATTGTGGTGTGATCCTCCTGCGTGGATGATCCACCATTTTTAACAGAAAACAACAATTTACTGGCTATCATGATCTAGGAATATCACAGCAAGTCTAGGTACTGCGAGATACATGTAGTTGGAAGTGCAATTCCAGTTTTAAGTGGGTAAATATGTGGATAAGGCATAATTATAGGGCTTATAACCCATTTTTTGGAGGTGATCGCCATATTATATCCATTAAAAAACCCAATTGTACTTTCAAGTAGCTAGTCATTCCAATCCTGGGATCCCACCTCTAGGTTTACACTGGAAGCGATGGCACGAGGATACTTTCCTTCGACAAGCAACTCGTCCAGAATCGGTTTTCTGGAAGGTTTTTATCAGTTGTTTTTCAGACCTCAATCCCATTTTCACCAGTATTGAGTTTCTGGAAATTAAGATAGATGTGAGTTCAAAGCCCCGGTTGGTTTATGTTTTTCGGGGATTGCACTCACTATGAATCAATAGAATTGGGAATATCACGATCCATGGAGGGAAACCGTGTACCAGTATATACCTGCTGGTAAACTAACAGTTTGCTATTGAAAATGGCCCAGTCGAAATAGTTGATTTACCTCGTAAAAATGGTGGATCTTTCCATCGTTTTGTGTATGTTTACCATTATATAGTGCAGTTTTTGGAGTCCCATGATCAATTCCCATTCGGCTGTTCCCAAAAAAAATCCGATGATTCATCCCAGCATGACGGCGTTTTACCATGGAGAAGTCACCTGTTGATTTATTTTCCACACATCTTTGAGAACACCAAAATGCTGCAGATGAAAACCAGGTCAATCTTACATGGATACCCACTAATCCTTTAGTCTTTTGGAAAAAATGGGAATATCTACGTTCACCAGCAAAGAATTTGTCATTTTTTGCAGGGTATCTGGCTGATTGGCAATGAACAGTCACCATCCGTTGGTTGATCCCGATATCTTCCAGAAATTTTCCTCAACATGTTTTTTTCCTGCCATTCATCAGAAGATGAGTTTCCACTAAAAATGGGGAAAAACGGTTCAGGGTCAAAGTGTGTTTTTTTTTTTTAAACCAGAGGCTATCATCCAAATTAGATCTACTTGGTGGCTCATCCCACGAATCGTAAGTGGGTTAGTTCACCCCAGTTACCCGCTCCTTATCCCATGTAAATCACTGGGGCGAACTAACCCACTTACGATTCGTGGGTAGTGAGCCACCAAGTAGATTGATTCCCAAAATTGTTTTTAAGTTGTTGTGAAAATCTATGTTTTGCCATCTTTACTGGATCATTTCCAGATCAAAAAAGGTGGTTACTGCAGTTATTGTCCGAAATACCATGTATAAGTACTAACAGAACCCCATCTATAGATTTTATAGTCTAACCATTAACCAGTTAAGTTAAAACTAATAGCCATGGCCATTGTAATAAATGGCATATATTCCTAATCCCGCCGCGGTTTTTCCGCGCCGAAAGTCCGAGGCATGGTCAGAAACGCTGGGAAGTCGATGGTCCCAGCGGATCCTGCCACTTGGCGACAGTTATGGCCCGAGTCATATCAGTTACAAAGTGTGGCCCCCATAGGAAAAACCATAGGAAAATGGTGATTTCATGGGATTTATAGCTGATTTATGATAGCTAAGATGGTGAACATAACTCTAATTTCACGTTTGGACTTATGGTAGATATATCGAACTAGTTAGTGGGATTATAAACCAACAAACATCACTGGGGGGGCACCACCTTGTATAACCCCATTCATAAGTCCATTTACTGGTTATGTTTCACAGTTCGCTATGGAAA